CTGTACAAAGTTGGAATCAGAATCTGTACCTCTTAGCTTCTCATTGTATCAATCAAGTGCAACTTCACCCTCAGGATCATTCAGGTTCTTTACGCGGAGTTCAACGACCCTCAAATCCTTGAGATGTTGCAGGATCTCTTGGAGAAGATCCACTCCCTTGTCTCCCTTCTTTATGGAGCCCATACAATGCTTTAGAAACTCCCTGTCTGCTTCAAGAGCTTGTAGCCTCTCATAAACATGATCCACCTCCTCTTCAATGGCTATTTTGTTATCATGCAATTCAAAACTGGTAAATGAATTCTGCATTCCAGTAGATTCAGATTCAGCTTGTTCTTCATGCATCAACCCTTCCTCAGTTTCATTGTCAGTTGCATCCAAAAGTGGAAGAAGCCTCTTTGCCATGGAACCCAACGTTTGTCTCTCAGGATGGTGTTGATCCTTAGAAAATCCATTCGATATCCCATTTTCTTCTGGACTACTAAAATCATGATTCTCTTCAAAGTCTTTGACACTACACGTTGAGGAATGCTCAATTGATTTAACATCCTCGGAGAATTCCTCATTTTCACCCAATGTGATTAGCTTCTCCTCCAATGCTTTGAGCTGATCAAGAATGGACAGCCTCTCTTCCTCAAAGCCTGCTAGTGATTCATCAAGAACACTCATATTTTTAACACAATCCAAAGCTATTTCTTCCAAACTTAGAGCTGCATCATCTGTAGTATTGTGGTTACTGCTTTCTTGTTGGCCACCGAAGCCACTATCTTCATCCCTTGCTTGAGAATTAAGATCAATCGATAGCGCATCACTATCCCATGAATGGCTGCAAGAAGCAGAAGAGTTTCTACTTCTTACACTTCCATATTTAATTCTGCTCACAGTCCTCATCTTCTCTTTTTCCTCATAATCTAGGACTTTCTTTTGATAAACTTCCACTTCTTTCTCTAGTTCTTGCTTTTCCTTCTCCTTTTTGTTCATCAACTCATTCAAAAGTTGTAAGGCATCCTGATCATACTCAGATTGTTCTTCCATCATCCTCTGGTATTGCAATGCCTCCATTTGCATTGCTGCCTTCTCTTCCTGAAGCCTTGTTATCATAGCCATAGTCTGGTTGGCAGCAATTGCAGACGCACTCCTCTCTTCCTCTAGTTCTGCATATAAAGAACTTAAAGCTTTACGTTCAGCTGTCAGTGCTGCTTTGAGCCGTCCAATGGTTGCAACAGGATCCCCAGCTTCCATCTCACTTACCACACTTCCATCTAAATACTCTTCTACTGCTGATTCCTTTTTTTCATCTAGTTTCTTGTGCAAGTAACCAAGACTGTTTACAGAAGTTGGTGTGGCAGGAAAATTCTCTTCCTCTGGTTCATTAGGCTCTGAACACATGCATGAATGATTTATTTCTTCTTGAGCCTTTTCAAGCATACTTGTTTCCTCTTGCAATGTAGCTCTTTCATGCCATATACCTGTCAAAACAAAATATATTTTAAAAGCCAGCTCTTGATAATTACACCACTTACAGTACTATGTGTTCCCTCCAATGGATTTTTGTCTGTAGGTAGAGGTAAGAATGAACTTGAGATTTACCATTATCATTCTCAGCCAAGAATGTGTCAGGTACATTGGGAATTTCGAAGCATGGCGATGAAGAACCTTCTCGAGCTTGAGGCTGATCAGTTGCATGGTCAGACACTTCCATATTTGCCAAACTTCTTGATAGAACGTGATCAACAAAAGTACTTTCTTCTTCAGATGCTGCTTTCATTAAGAAACATAGTTAGAATAGGCCATCATGGTCCGGGAAGAGAAATAGATTGCAGTGAATAAATGTCATGAATAATTCAATTTCTCTGTACCTGGTGGATCATTTGGTTCCTTCTTATCCGGCTCTTCAATGTGAACAAATAGTTTTTGACCTCCTGGAGCAGTGACAACTTGATCAGATGGCATGCCAACCAAATCTTGTTTTCCCTCTTCTGCATCTACAACAGAAGAATTATCACTAAAACCCCTGGCCTTCTCCAGGCTTTCAAGGTCCCCATTACTTGTCTTCAGTGAACTCTTGTTTATCATGAACAATGCTGCTTCTCCCGAGAATTGATGTCGCGATCCAATACTTGGCTCAGAATCAAAACGTCCTTCTTGATGATCATGCTCTCTCACATCTTCCTCTTTTGCATTGCGGATTCCTTGGTCTATTCTTGTTGAAAAATCAATCAACTCAATGGGAATCAACCGATGATTGAGAGCACAGACCATACCATTTTCGGAAGGCAGGGGTATAATTTCAAGAGAGTAATCTTCTCCAAAGCAACACTGGATGGTAGTAGCACTAGCATCAGAGGATTGATGGACAAGCTTCATGCTGTTAAAATCTGACTGTATAATGTCACGAGAACCTGCTTTGTTATTTGCATTCGTGTCCGTTTCATGACATAGAAACGTCGATCTAGACCTTGGACAATCTTCCTCTGCATTGCCTCTGAAGCTAGAACTACAAACATCAGATGAGAATTGATGTTCATCTGCCACTCTATCATCCTCATGTTCTTCATTAGTTGTTTCCATCTCATAGCCATTGTCACTGTGGGTTGACAGGCTATCAGGTTTGATTGTGCCTTGGTATTCTATAGTTGAATTTCCTTTCTTGGCATACTCCAAGGAACCCCAAGATGGCTCAAACGGCGAAGAAGGAGAGTAGAGCTTGCTGTTCAAGCTCTCACTGCAGCAAGAACATACACAAGGTAATTTCTCTTCTTTTTCAAGCTTGTTCTCACTCAACCACGAAACAAAAGCCATACTTGTTGGCATTCCAGTAGAATTTCCTCTAAAATTTGGTTGAGAAGCCAAGCAGTTGCCACACATATTATGTGATTTGGCCAGTTTTTTATGATTCAAACAGTAGCACATGTATGATATCTCAGTGGCATGACTCTCACATACATCATCTGCGTAAGACTTTGAGCTCTTGCCTCGTTCCAAGATGTGCTCAATTCTACAAGTACACAATGGGCAAGGTGGTTTGAGGCCAAAGTACTTGGAAAATTTTGTGATCAAGTAACTGAACAAAGAGTTGAGGAGGAGGAGCGTTATCAAAGTCCATTCAAGGACAGCATACACTAGAATTACAATGAACTTGGGAACGCTTCTATGCAACCTGGTTGCAAACTTGTTGGGAGCCATGGATGTAAAGAGAGAGAGATAGAGAGAGAGAGAGAGAGAGAGAGAGAGAGAGGAATGCTTTTCAAGTTTAGACAGAACAAGACTTAGCTGTTGCAAGAGAAGCAGAGATGCTTCCCAGTTTGTTGTACATTGTTTTAACAGTAGTATATTATAATGTACATGCCAAATATTGTCTTGGGAAGAACGTGGTAACATTGGTTAAAGACCTTTTTTAACTTTTTTTTAATTAATTGGTGAACTGAATTCGACTTGAAACCTCTTCCAACTTTAATAAGAGAAATACCACTAAACAAAGAGGTAATTGGTTCCGAATGTTTGTTAAAACTGTATTACCGCTGTATAAGGAAGTACATGCTATATCTAATACTCATAATCAGACCCCCCTACACCTCCAATTTAAGCTTTCAAGTTTCAAGTGATGATCACTAAATTCAAATTATTCTTTAATAGTTTTCTTAGTTTTCAACTTGTTAATTGATACTTAGATATACCACTAATATAAACTATATGCTACTTGGGATTCTTATATTGAAATTAAAGTGACAGGCAGGGAATGATGAAACATGGGTTGTCAACAGTGGCAGGCATGATGGAAAAGCTATGAAGAAAGAAAAAGGTTAGTGGAAAAAAAGGGGAGGGAGTGGATCAAATTGGGGATTGTGACAGTGATTGAAGAGCCTTTGTATGAATAAAGTTGGTTAATAATGTTTGTGGGTTATGGTCTCTCTCCCTGCTTTTGCTCCCTGGCGGGCCTCTATGCTCCTTTAACTTTTGAAAAGCTCACTCATGGGTCTTGAGGCACCTAAGAAATATAATCAAAGATTCTAACTAAAGCATACCAAACCAATGCTTTTTTGAAATATTTAAGGGTACTATTACAAAAACAAAACAAAGCCCATAAATACTTTTTTTTTAAAAGTCAAAAAGAAAAAGTCAGAGTTACCAAACACCCCTAATAAAGGCCAGCGGGGTCTAGCCCAATGAAAAATAGCATCGACTTCCAAACCATTGGTCTTAGATTCGAACCCCATAACATCTTAGTAGTGTATGTGTGAGAAAACCAACCTCTCTCTTCCTAACTTTGACAACCAAAAAATAAAAAAAACAAAAAACATAAAAAAGAATAGTGTTTAACAAGAATTAAAAAAATAGTAGCCCCACATGCTTTTAAATTGCTCATGCAAATTCCAATCACAAAGGCAAACATTGGATAATGGTGTGAACTTAGACAGAGGACAGACTAAAGTTGGGAGGGACTAAAATGATGTTATGGGGTCGTCTAGTCTCTTGAATTAAAATCTGTCGAGGTGCAATTCATGTGCAACTCACCAATATTAAGTGGACCCTGATGTCGCTTCTTGTAATTTAGTTTCTAGAACAGATATGGTTCAATTTTGTAGCATGTTGTAAAAACGGAATTTTAACCCATAACCAAACTAACTGGCACCAATAAAATGATTGAAACAAATTTTCCTTTTATCATGGTTCAAACATTTGCAAACCAGTCATCTGCCGTAGTTAATCAAATCAGTTATTGAACTTGACTAGCATTTGACACAAACCAAAACGAAGCGATTCGAATATGACTCGATAACATTATAGGATTTGTAACTAATCACCATGTCCCAAGTTTGAATCCCGTAGATTATCAAAGCATGGTTTTTGCAAATGATTTGACATATATTTCAATAATAACAAAAAATCTAGCCTTTTATTTACAGAATTTTGATCACTTTATGGTAATTAGTGAGGGTCTATATCCTACAACTAATTTTAACCCTCCATGTGAATACCTAGACTACAGTTGTCTTAATACGTCAATCTGTATCTTCATTGTCATCAGCTTCTTGGGTTTCCCATTCTTCAATGGGGTTTTGGTTCATCGTAAACCTCCAGCTATCTCCTTCCTCTATCTCCCATTGTCTCTTAAGTTCAAAGATTGCTTTAGAGGCAGCGGCAGCAATTGCCGGATTGCTATCCTCCACGAGTCTCTGCAAGGAAAATGATAGGCGTAAGTTTCTGGCATCATTATGGCAAAGAATGATGATTACCATTATGTAATGACCAAGTAACCTGTAGTGCTCCCATTCCTGCATTTCCAAGAGTCCACATCGATGGGGCTGCAGCCAAGGCATTGGCTAAGGCTTTCCTATACAACAAAAAACAAACAGGGAAGAGTGGATGATATACAGTATAAGTAATGTTAGAGTAAAGAGCAATGAGGGATTTAAAATTCATAATTCATACAGGGTTCCTTGTCAATGGCCTATGTCACTAAATCTTTAGAATTTGAGAGGTTTCTTTTTACCCTCTTCTTCTATGATACAAGAGGTTTCATGAGCCTTGTACATGCTCATTGGTTGGAAGATTAAAGCATATTACATTTGGCTTTGTACTTTGACATCTTTGTTTCAGAACCATAAAGACCAAACTCATAGCTTAAGAGGGGACCAACATTGTCTAGGGGGACTATAAGATACAGAACTAATGCTTGCATCACTTACCTGGTATTGACATCAGGAGAATTTGAACACTCTGCCAATAACGATACACTACTTTTACCATCCATTGCGTCGAGATCAATAAGAGTTGCAATTAACAGCTCAAGCTGCTCCAGATACAAAAGATAAGTTAAAAGAAGGACCCCACAACCAAACTAACATTAATTGCTCGACCAGATTAGGAACGTAAATACATAGAGATATGAACCTCTTCAGGATCAGTATAGTCAATTCCATCAGCTTCAGAGAGAGCAGATGCCATACTCCAGTAAGCTTCCTGTACACCATTTATATGATTATCAATGTCCTGAATCGCGAGAAAGTGAGAAGAAAGAGAACTCGAGATAGCCAGGAAATAGGGACCTGAATTGCAGTAATGCGATCAGTAGATACTTCACCAAAAGGGAAATCAAGACTTTTGCCATTCTTTTCAAGCATTATACGCCCCAGCATGTCATTTTCTGATACAATACCATTTTCGCTATGCAGAGGACTGGATATGAGCATGTCAGATATTATGTTTCAAAGGTAGATACACAACTAATAGAGGAGATCAAAGATCAAATGAATAAGGAAGTTAACAATCACAAAAGAAACTTACAAATTGTACATTTTGCTCACCATCCGTTCATGAATATTTTTGACAAACTGCAAAACAATATGAAAAAGGATCAGAGACCATGGAAAACTATAGCTGGACATGATTAACTAGGAAGATGATCTCCAACAAGTATCCTTGAAGAGTATCGCAAAGCAAATGAAGTTCACCTCCAAAGCCATTAGGGCATCTTCCATTGCACGTTGTTTGGCACGGAAGTCAGCACGGCGCAAATCAGCCTAAATGAATCAAAATACAGCATCAAGAATGTATACTTTAGTGCATTAGTGCAGTTTTAACTGATTCATCAAGACAACATCAAGCAGAGCACTGTTTTCACCGTATATGTTGTCTACTCATTGTAAATACACTATTTTACGAAGTTCACATGGTTAATTGATGCACTATTGTATAATTTAGATTTCTTTAAAGTTTTATTCAAAATTTCTATGTTTTAAGAACATACTACATTGCAACAAACAACAGATAGAACCGAACTATTTTTTTGTCTCTGCTTTTTTAATGTACCTCTAAGGCTCCGTCACTCCAATGCTTATCAGCGGCAGTTTTCAATCTAGACTCTGCTTTGTCTTTTAAGATCTGTGGAGGATGGTTAGTTATCAAATATTAATGTGAAAGCCAGGTAAAAAGTGTCTTCACCTCCAAGACAAATAAATAAAATTTTGACCCCCCAAAAAAAAACAAATAAAACACAAACCATAGCAATATGATGAAGGCGCTCAGCTTTCTTCTTCACATTACGGTCAATTTTCTCCGTATCCTCTCGTGCTCGAGCTACAGAGCAGAAGGTCAGGATAAGGAAATCAATAGAATGGAACCAAACACCATATTCATTCTACAGTTTTTGTAATTCAATAAAGAATAAATTCATTCTAGGCAACCAAAAGAATGAGAAAGATGGCTGCATGTTAGGCAACCAAAAGAATGGAACCAACCACCATATTCATTCTACATTTTGTAATTCAATAAAGAATAAATTCATGTAAGTGCATTCAAGAATAAATATAATTTTTAAAGCTGCTATAGAAAAGCTCTGCACTGAACAAAAAGGTGAAAGAGTTTTACCATTAAGCTTAAGAAACCCGGACCCAAGAATAGCAACGTCTTGACGTGCACGGGCATCCAACCTCATTATGCCACTGACAAGTAGTGGCAAAACATGAGCAGTGATCTATATGTATGAACATTTCAATTTATTTAAAACCACGAATTAGATGACTATCTTGATAAATTAACAAAAACTACCACATGCAAGTTGCAACTGCATGTTTACATCTTTTTTCTCTTGTAAACCATGCTCAACCTGACTTTATAATGCATAATCTACAGAAAAAAGCCAGAAACATGGTGTTACAAATTTTGCACACAGGTCCTAAGTACTTTTAAGATTCCTAAAACTAATTGTAATTTGACAATGCAAGATTAGTTCTTGAAACTAAACAATAAAGACCAAGAAAGGTGGATTTATGATCAATTTGCAATCTCTTCTAGGGGGACAAAAAGCAGTTTATGGAAAATTACCGAGAAAGCAGAATAATGTCATTGCGAGCCCTCTCATTTACAAACTTTGCATCATTGCAAACAAATTTACAAGCTTCAGCTAAACTGGAGTGAGTAGTTCTCTCAGAAAAGACTGGATGCTCATCTTCCTCATCCCCACTCTGTGAACTAGTACATAACAGGAGTTCTTTCAAAGATATTGCAAAAGAAAATGGCAGTGTTTACAAAATTCATGCATTAATTTGTTCAAGTTGAGAAACAGACTAATTTGGTCAAGTTGAAGATATAACTATAGAAAACTCTGAAAGAAGATGAAATAAATCATTATTAAAAATTTAGAGACAGTAATAAATGAGGAACAAATTGGAGAACACAAGACATCAAACAAATTCATGAAGTACCTCCTTCTGATAAGTGAAAAAACAACAATTCAAACTCAAATTTGTATTATTAAAAGACAGCGAACTAATTGTAGGTACAGTTATAATTGACAAGGGAGTAAAAGGAAGAGGAAATCAATTAGAGTGGCACATAACAAATAGATGTATTTCAGGAAAGTGGAAGCTTGGTCAATTAAAAAGCAGGTACACATACCATCAAGGGAAAAAAATAAGAGGAGAAATTTATTAAATGACAGCCATGGTAGAAGATGAGGGTCAATGTGGCCTAACTGATCCTCAGTAATTCAAGTAACATCAATATCAGGATAATTCCAAGATAGCAGTTACAACCCCATTTGAGAAGGTGATGTAAAGTGCTATAGTCCAAGATATCAAAGATAGCGTAAAAAGCTAATGGAAAATGCTATAGTCCCATGGGAAATGTTAAAATTTCGTGGGGTTACCAAAATTGTATCTGGTTCTGAACAGCCCCCTCCAGACTCACAATGTGATAGGCTGAAGCATCAAGAATCTTCCAAGAAGAAACTGGACACTCAAACTGGTGTGCAACTTTGGGAAGTTAGGCATCCTTATCTTCTCCTTCTTTGATAATCTAGGTATTTCTTTTGAAATATTTCCAATTCTTTCTTTACTTCTTTCACTTCCTTCTCTCTCTTGTTCATCAGCTTTGTTCAAAAGTTAATGGCTTTCTGGTCATACTCACATTGTTCTTCCAACATCCTTTGCATCGCAATGCCACCATTTGTATTGCTGCCTTCACATCTTGAAGCCTTGTAATCATAATCAGAGTCTGGTTGCCTATTGCAGACTCACACCTTTCTTCCTCTAGTTCTGCATATAAATCACTTAAAGCTTTGCGGTGGCTGCTTTAAGCTCTTCAATTGTTGTGACAGGATCCCCACCATCCATCTCACTTACTACACTTCCATCTAAATACTCCTTTGGCTCTGATTCCCTATATCAGAGAAAAAGTTTCTAGAGCAAGTTATGGCTTGTCTACAGAAGTAGGTATCACAGGAAACTTTCCTCTGGTTCATTATGTTCTAATTTAAATTTTTTTCTGACCTTGACCCAATTATCTGAAGATCTAGATGAAGGGAATGCACATGCACTTGACCTTAGTTTGAGGGAAGTGAAAGCTGCCTAGAGAGTGAGGCCCCTGCCACTAGATATATATACAGTACTGTACTTGTTCGTCTGATTCTCCTCTTCCTGTTAAACAAATCCTCCTTGTGGTACGTTTACATAATCTTCAATGCCTTATAAAGAGTTATATCCTCCGGTCTTGTCTTGATAGAATCCCTATGAGTGATTAACCCTCTCTACTTCCAAGTGTTTATTTCTTACTCTAAAAACTAAGCAAGTAAACTTGGTGTATCTCCTTTAGTGGTCTAAGTCCGCTTGCTTACTTAGTGCTTGTGCGAAGGAAAAGTTCGATCTATAGAGCTAGATGTGGCTCCTATTGAGATTAGAATAAAAAACTCATTATATCAATCAACCCAGTAGCCAGGAGAATCTATTCCTACGTCTGTAACTTCTTGTTTGCTCATGTACTGTTTCTCTCTTCTCTTTGGCAGCCAGATGGAGACATATAAATTGCACTTTAATACCTTCTATGTTTCAGATACAAACCCCAAGCTTCATGTGAAAAATTACCAGGGATCATAAATCTCTACACATCTACAACTGTGTAAGAAATTCACAAGTTCCCATTTGCCAGTAAAAGTTGAAAACAGTAAAATCATAAGCCAATTGACAGGTTGATACATAAAAAAGGCTAGCACTACAAACAAACAATTTGTTATATGCACTAGCTATGTTTATCAAATAAAAATTGCAGAACAACTGCATCATTCTTTTAAGTAAATTATTACTCCCTTTGTCCTCCTATCATTAATGTTTGCTCCAAATACACAGAATAATATCTATTTCAAAAAATTAAATTCACAGAGTGTCAGAAACATAAAAGCTGTTTCTAAAAGTCATAGATAGTTAAATAAAGGCATGTTTGAGATTCCTGAAACGTAGAAAACATAAATGCAGATTTTGATAAATAAATAAATTTAAAGTATCCTTGTAATGAAAGAAAGGGAGGGAGGGAGAGGGAGGGAGAGAGAGAGAGAGATGTAAAAATATTCTTGATCAGGTGTACGTGTCTGGTAAATGAAATTTATATTAATTTCTAACTGATTCTTACCTAGTCTCCCCTGCAGGATCACCGTAAGTTATAATGGGTTCTTTTGCTTTGGTATTATGAGTTCCTCTTGACAGATATAAGACAGTAGATCTCTGAGAGTCAGTGAAACTAACAGGTTTACCCAATATACGCCACAAACCATCATTAGAAAATATCATTTTATCTTTCAACAGACGTCCATAGTTTAGCTGCCTCAGTTCAACCCCTTGACTTGGACAATGAAGGTTATTTTCGTTGCACTGACATGGCGTAAGAATTTAAGATTCCATATGAGTTAGGAATGGTTTTTGTATTAGTCACCGCAGGACAGCTTAAAACCTTGTCTGCAGTAAGTGCCATGGGCAGGATCAACACAACGACGAAGTGAAACTAGCCAGAATTTCCCTCACAAAAGCTTAAAGCTTCAGCAAAGACAGAGAAATGAAACAACGAAGTGTTATATTCTCATTTAACATAAAATAACTTATGAAAAATTACTACTGCACTAAACACAAAATTTTATTGTACCAAAAAATCCTTATTAAAACAAAGTAAGTTTTTACAAGCATCAAATACACACTATTTCATTTAGCCTTCAGTCAGGACACTAAGTCCCCTATATCTGCACTCTAACATGTAAATGAAGACCATATTTCCTTGAGAATCCATTTAACTCATAGGTACATCTTTTTCACCACAAGAAATTCATAACTTTAGGCTAGAGATATGATTGGGTTCAAAATATTTCACCAACATAATCCTTAGAGCCAACCAATAAGTTTCATGTCCAGTGTTTCTTATTAGGGTTCCAGAATCAGTGAACTTGAAAATGTTCAGTGTTCAAATTCCCTTAACTATGAGGTTGGAGTGCTTCTGCTCTATTCCAAAATCATGTTGTGAACATAAATAAATTTTCTCATTTTTTTTTTATTTCAATTCCAATTCCAAAATCATATTGCAGTTCAAATTCCCTTTGACCGACATCATAGGATGCCCACATCTATAATTATCTCTTCTTCCATTTAACCACATTTGACGGTCTTGGTAGTTTCCTCAGGAAGTAGTACAGTTAGTTCTTGGCAACAACAGGTCTATTTTGTTCTTTCACTTGTAATGGAGAAAGCTGTTGTTGTCAGTTAGAATTCAATTAATCAGGAAGTGATCTATTTTCATAGTATTAAAGGTGTTACATAAGCTGGATGAAAATTATTAATTTCCACTTCACTTTCTGGATAAGATTGTGCTTAACAACTCTAGAATGTTTAGATATTCCATTTGCCTATTACGTACAGCTAATGGGTAAAGCTTAAACTTTGATGCAGGTGCGGGTAAGTTATATAAATAAATAAAAATTGATAGCTTATGGAAAACTAATATAGTTTACCGCAACATTTCAGTTTAAATTTTTATGTCATTAATGTAGACGCATTCCTGCATAATTATTTTGCCATGATCATAAAGCAAACGCATAATTGTAAATGCAAACTTGACCCTGCATATAGTGATGACGAAAACCCACTAAACCAAAGCTTAAAATTGAAAATTAAAGAAAACCCACAAAAGAATTTGCAGAATAATGACATGAAAACAGTTCAAAGTCAGTGAAGCAAGCAAGAAATGCAAGGAAACTAACTAACCTGCAGAAAGCAGCACTGACTTTCCAGAGAGAGAGAGAGAGAGAGAGAGAGAGAGAGGAAGTGAGTAAAGCAGCCAAATTTGTAGTCACAGAGGAGGCAGAATGTCAAGGGAATGAAAGGAGAAATTGCAACCACAAGCAATGGTTGTGGCCCCAGAAATGCCAACGCAAAACGTACAAGAACAAGGAATTATAATGAGAGAGAGCAACATACACTAGCCACTCCGCACAAGCTTCCGCTCATGTGAGAGGTTTAAAAAAATAAAAATTAAGGGTTTAGAATTAAAATAGATAATGGATAGTTGTATTCCATAAAAATAAGATTTATTATCTAATTTAATTTTAATTTTTTTAATATAAAAAAGTATGAATTTATCATATTATTTTTATTTAATTAATAATTTTAATTCTTAATATTTATATTAACCAAGAGTATTTTCTAGTATTTTGAACATCTTTTACTTTATATATAGGGAAGATGTATGGATGAAGGTATGATTTTTGGCATCCACTGCAGTCTCTCTCTCCCTCTATTTATTTTATTTTTTGACTTTGCCTACTGTGTGCCGGATGTTATGGATTGGGCTTACCACAACTGCAGAAACTCTTCGCTAAATGACAGAAAACCTAATCCGTTGTGGATAAATGTAAAACCATTTGTTTTGGCTATGGCTCAAAACAAGAAATAAAAAATGGCGTGTATACTAGAGCATGTTCGAGGTAGATGTCGCAAAAAATTAAATTTTAATTTGATGGTCTAGATGGTAATTGGTATTTTGTAAAATTGTTGATTAGACTCGAAATGTTAGATATTGTATTAAAATTTATTATTAAAACTGTTGATTAAACAAATGAGACTCATATGATAAATAAAACTGTAAAAATAATAAATAATAGAGGGGTTTAAAAAAAAAAAAAAAAAAAAAAAAAAAAAAAAATTAGAAAAAAACATAACTTGACATCAAATTTTATGAGATTTTTTATTTTGAAATTACTTTTCTCTTATTGTCTTAACATCTATGTAGGAATTGACTACTCAAAGCCCAAAAAGTTTAGAGGCCAAAATGTGCTCCAAGCCCAACACATCCCATGCTCATAAGGAAAGTTCAGCGTAAATTTGTGCAGTGTATCAAATCCAACAAATGGGAACAAGGATTTAGAAGAATTAATTTATTGATGATATTTGTGTCATGCCGAGCGAAAGCCGAATTTAGCACTTGGGAAGATCACACCAAGCCTATGCAATCTACTCATTCATTAGGTGACGAATAAAGTCGTATGAAGTCCATGCCCTTCAAGCCCGGACCTTCACCAAGCATAAATACCATACCAACTTCCAGTCGTCGCAATTCAAGCTTTTAATCTCTATTATAATGACCAAGCATAAAAAAAACACTTAAATGCATCTTTGCAATGCCAAGCACCTTCCTTTATATCAAACCATCCAAAGTTCAAGTGGGTCAAAGCCATACAAATGCAAAGGGCTTGCAAGAAAGGTTGTGGTGTGGAAGGTTACGAAGGTTTACAAGAACTATGGAACATATTGGATAATGGATAGTTTGGGTTGCTTGGGTGCACCAACGTTCAGCCCATGTACTGGCCCTTCTTTTATCCACTAGAAACAAGACTTACCTGCTAGAAATAAGCATGTGATGGCGCTCCTTTATCATATTCCATGTAAATCATAATCTTAAGCACAACCCCATACTTTCCCTTCATTCTCCTACCTTTGGAACTCCTAAATCCTATAAAATCAAATACATAAATACCATAACGTCCAAGTCCCAATCTTTTCCTTCCATGGCCTTGATCTTTGAAACCCTTAAACACCCTAAACACTTAGCCTTCAAATTGACTTGAAAAATCCCTACACCTAAAATCAATCATCCATAAAATGCCATACCCATTGCTCCAAGCTCCCACTTCTCTTCTCTCTCAAATATTTGAATCACCATACCACAACCCCACAACAAATTCTTCTGACTATTCCATCCTTTCAACGTTGAAGATTATAACTTCATCAATATAACATGTACAACATGTCAAATGGTAAGTGTGTGGGCATATGTGGGCATATGTATATAGTTTTGTTATATTAAGGTCCCCTAACTTTTACAATAGGGAACGTCCTTAAGACTTTAGTAAGATGCAATGCAATGGATGGCTCAATAAGCTTCGTGCAACAAGGGTTGGCTTCACAAACCCCTATTCTCCCTAATGTTTGTTATTGTAGCAAAAATTACTCCTCAAAGTATTATCTACCCTAAACTTGGGGAAGTTGAGCTACAACCAAAAACATATTTTCCTATTTTCTATCTATGACTACACATGAATGAAATCATGGGATTAGTGGGACTTGATGGCCAATTCCTACCAAGGCAAACATTTCATATGCCCATGATCAAAGGCCAACGAAAATCAAGTAATATAGTTGATGATAAATTGAAGATAAGCAAAGTTGTGTTCAAAAGACAAGGGACTCTATGAACTGGTTCTTGAGTAATGGCTTAGGCATGGCCAAATCATATCATATACGGTTTGCTTTTAAACTTCATAAGCTATCTTGGTTCATATCAATTTATCTACAAATGTGCATGTTGTCTTATTTGACACCCTCAAGAAAATTCCACATAGATCAAACTCCTACAACGATTATTTTCTCTCACCATATCTGAGAATGCCCGTCTTAAGAAAGAAAAGGGGGCATATGTGGAAGAAAAAATTACTCCTCAAGGTATTATCCACTAGCACCCTAAACTTGGAGAAGTGGAGCTACACCTAGAGACATATTTCCCTATTCTCTATCCATGACTACACATGAATGAACTCATGGGATTAGTGGGAGTTGATAGCCAAGGCCTACAAAGACAAGCATGACCTATGTCCATAATTAAAGGCTAGCATGCTTCATGCCACATGGAAAAGTCTACATGATCACCCACTACCATGCCCATGATGGAGTGATTTTGGATCATGGAGAAAACCATAGAACATAGAACTTGGAGCCCAAGATTTTAAATGCCTATAAAAGGCCAATTAACCAACAACCCAAAAGGGGAAAAATAGATATTATTCTAAATTCTCTTGCAATTATACTCCTACTAAATTTAGCATGAGAGTGTTTTCCTCTAGGTATCCTGACGCGATCTAATCTTTAATTCATCATGCGCCTCTCTGATCAATGCAAATCTTTCTTCCAAGCCATCTGAAATTAAAAAAGGCAATGTATGGGGAGATGAGCAAAACGAAGCTTTTTTTTAATCAGCCTCTTCACAAGTTCTTTAATCCTCACTATACTGAAGAATGGGGAGATATTGTATCTGTAAATCTTTGTAACCGTGGTGCAATTAATTCAGGCATTATTCAAATAAGAGAACCATTTACAACAACCCATCTTTTACGTTAGCAAGAGTTTGGTTGATGCTGAAAAGATATACACCATGCTAGAGAATCTTATCCTCACCCTTGTACGTGTGTGAGCGTCACCCAAGGCAACTCTCATCTCTCTGTCATAGGCATCAAGATCGACCATGACCTTATGGTGATGGGTTGTTGTCCTTGTACGCACCCAAGTCTAAAATGTCTACTCAATGTGGATGTGAGCATAACAAGCATCAAACTAATCTTTCTTCACATTCTCAACACGCTCCACCTCGCTGTTTAGTCATGCTATTTCTGCATGGGTATCCTTACACTCAAGATGGAGGGCAACAACTTTCTCCGTGAGGCGAGAAAACTGATATTTCCCTTCCTCTCATTTGGTCTCGCTTGCCTTAAGGCATTGTTCTTATGAGACTTTAGAAAAATTTCTTATGAGACTTTAGAAAAATTTCTAACTCATTCTTTCTCCCTAGACAACTTAACCAAGCGAAGCTGAGTCGTCTCTAAAACATTTACACGAAATTATTGTCATGTAAGTCAAATGAAGTAAACCAATAAAAGATGAAATGAAACATGTCGAAATCAAGTGATGAGAATGTTGCAAAGAAAGATCACAATAATCTAACTCTTCTAATTCCCTAAGGTCACTAGGTTACCGATTGTCGTGCCCCATTCATCAAGGCCCTTACATAAGCGTAATATTATCGGGACCCCATAATGCGATAAATCATTCACCAAACCAAAGGAGTACATGAGCAGAGCCTCTCTCTTATCCACACATGAGCCTGGTGAAACTCTTATGATTTACCACTCAGTATCTTCCATTGCTGTTAGCTTAGTGTTGATTCGACAACCTACTAGTGTCAGACACCTAGTATACTATGTCAGCAAAGCACTACAAGACGTTGTAGCTCGTTACTCTGACATTGAGCGACTTGCCCTTGCCTTGGTTGTTTTGGAGGCCTCCAACTTCTTCTTTAACTCTTTGTTTTGTCTCAAAATTTTATCCACCTTCAGTTGGAGGCTATCCACCTTCAGTTGGCCACTTCACTTGTTAGGGTCAGGTACATCTCACCATATGACTACAGAAAACATAACAATTGTCAAAAAACAATAAAACAAGAATTTACTTTAACATAATGAGCTTCAACACTTACGTTCGAGATGAAGAGGACGGTCGTCTCCACTTGGTCGGAGAAGTCTACGACCTTGGTCTGTGCTAACTCTTCGACATCAATCTTCACCCCGGTCAAAGAAGAATTCACCAAAGGCACCTCCTACAGATACACAGCCAGGTTGACCTCCTTCTGCCGCCGTATGTCGACAAAGTCGACTGCTTTGGCATCGTCAAGGAATAGTTCTTCTATGCTGAGCGACAACTTCAAAGGCGCATCCAGGTCAAAGGGTGATAGCTTTGGCCCTCTCCCTATCCCACTATAGTGGGCTTCCTCCAGCGCCCTCATCTTCCAACCAGGGCATCAGCCACCAGACCATCACCATCATCCCATGGTCATTTATCCATTGCTCTATTTATGGCATGACCTTCTTCTTTGACCTTGTTTCTTTCAGATGTTTCTATTTATCTGCCTCATCAATTTGGACAACCTTTGGTAAATACATCACCTTTGTTGTCCCATTGATAATACCAGCCACTGCCGAAGAAACCAGGGTTGTAAAAAAAAATTAAAATTAAAAACACAAATCTTGAAACTACTATCAACTTACTTCCTTGAAGAAGCCCCGAGTTTAAAAAATTACCAAGCGTCACAAGATTTGGATATTCGCGAGCCTTTTAACACAACAAACGTTGTACTAAATCAATCATGTCATTCTCTTGTGACAATCCTTCGTGCTTCGCTATACCTGTACTGAAGACAAAACAAAATTTTTTAATATAACAAGCACTAAGTATCCTTATTTCGGCACAAGGAAAGTATATAGCTAACACATGATTAATAAAATAGACTTAGACTAAAGGTTCTAAGTAAAAACCGTTGGTATGGAAGTCGGTAGGCACGCGTGTGTCAACCATTCTCCCAGCTACACCCACCCAATCCCCGAAGGTGAAACACCACTTCTTCTTCCAAGTTTTCTGAGATGAAGGCATTCAGCCGACGAAATACCCTATTTTCTTCGCCTTAATGCAATTGGTCTGAACCCAACCGAACCTACCATTTTGCCTTGACACCGAGTACAAATGCATAAATTGCCCAAAAGTTTGCTCCCCAAGCTTTGCCAACCACCAAGCAATATACACCATATCGAGAATGATCCAAAAGTTTAGATTACACTGACCTGGAGCATACCCAAGCTTCGCCAGCATAGACTACCCCTTAGGATATTTGGGTAACCTCAACCCATGTTTAAACATGGCTGCAAACATAAGTACACATCCATGAGGAGGAAATTTTACCGTCTACTTCAACACCTGCCGAAGTAGATGCCACATTAACTTTCCCAGAAATAGAACCCCTCACCTGATTGTTGGACCCACTTTCAGGTGTGTAGGGAAGAGCCAGCACGAGATCACATGTCGCTTATAGTACAACGTATTTAACCTATATTGCTTCATAACGAGCCTCACCAGAGTCTGTTGTTGCTTGGTTACCTTCTCCAGCACACACCACAACCTTATTCTTCTCTATTGAGCATTCTTCAAGATACTTAGATTCGACATTTTCCACATCGGTACCCACATCATCCTCATGACTATTACTCTCAATTTCCTCCCAACATGGGCTTTTTCTATCTTTTTCACACAACTCTCAGACATCAAATATAAACAAAAATAGAAAAAAAAAAAAAAAAAAAAAATATCCAATCCCATAGGGAGCCTAGATGGTGGAATGCCTAGGGTTTTTTACTCTAAGGATGATCTTGAATATTCATCCAAACATTCACATGTTCATGCAAAAAATAAAGGCAAAATGGCCTTTTAATAAAAAATAAGGGTGAAAAGGTAGGCTTACCTTGTTATCACCACAGTATAGTGCCACTAGAAATCACCTCCGCCTAGTATAAGTTCGTCAGAAATCGCCTCTGCCGCTACCTCTTTCGCTAGAAATAGTCATTGCTTACTCTTTCGCCGAAAATCAAAAGGCTATGTGTCGATTGTGTGGGCGGAGTCTCTTGTGCAACTTGCACAACCCCTTACAAATCATTAGGATCCATGTCGATTGTGTACGGAAACGTCTCTCGTGTGACCTATGCCGATTGCTTGCCTACCTGCCTGACTTCTACTTAGCTACATAACCTAGTTACCTCCTTGCCGAAGCGACTCTTAGCTTACAAACTTGGGGAACTACCTATTGCATGTCAAAACACTCAGTTTGATTATTCGAGATTTTACAAGTTCCTAACCCACAAGCCACTTCCTGATCGGCAACTTAGGGGACTACTATTTGTACCATAATCAACCAAGCACGTTCCACACAGGTGGACCACCACGCAGACATACCCATAGCCTGTCGAAGGTAAGACACTTCTGGGAATCCTTAAATACTAATGACACCATCATGATCTCAATTACCGAAGACACCTTCCTCCAATGTGGCAATTGCCTGCCGAAGGCGATTGCCGAAGCTCTCAACTACATAACCTGAGTCTTGGACACGTGTCGCCATCATGGTGATTTACATAAAATTTCATATCGAAACTTTGTGCAAACCCCCACTTTCATTTCTCTGTAAAAGAAGAACAATGCCTAGGTAAAAAGGAAAACTGCTTTTCACCTTTACGATTACTCTATTAAAATTATTGTGTACCCTACACTTGCTGACTTAAGCATCAGAGAGCCTTCAGCAAGTACCACACCAATACCCGAAGCTTGACATTTGCTTCTTCCATCCCTTCTCCTGTAGGGTGACCTTGTGACCGAAGATCCGCTTTTTTGAAGGTCCACAACCCCTAGTCCAGTTGAAGACTCCACATTTCTTCGATCTAAGTTGAATCTAACTTCGAATATTAACACAACACAAGATTGTAATAGCGATGCTCCCAAGTAAGATAAGACGGTCGAAAAAAGCATTTTGGAAAGTGTAAACCCGGAGTCCAATCGTAACATAATTGTTTTCTAATCAAACAGAGTCCAACAGCCCCGGTTTAAGTTATTTGGAGGGAACACAAGCATTAATTTAAAATTCTGCAAGATATTCGTCATTTATAGGAGGGCAAATTGGCAATAATATATAGATACCAAGTTAATAACAAAGTAGTATTGAAGAGTTTATCGACATGTTATTGATACGTCATTGACATTATTGCAAATCCAAAGGAGTATTAAAAGTGGGACTAGTCCAAAACAAGTTATTCACAATTTTAATCCAGTTTATCGAAAACACCTCCTACAAGAGGAGAGGTGTGGCTATCAACTCTGTCCTAACCACACCACATTATATTAGGTTATGCCCTTACATAAGCCATAACAAAATAAAAGAGACATACTATTTTCATCTAAGAATATAGCAAAGCATAACAGCGATTTACAAAAGTTGAACTTCATCAATCACATTTTAGAGCCTTTGTCACGAAGATATTTGATATGAGATCTTGGTTGCTAATTTTGGTATGAGATCCTTGTTGCTAATTTGTACAGTTGCCCAACTGGTTTCTTTTAGTTCGAGAAATTTCCTCTTTTAATGCTCTACTACCAAGTTCAACTCTAATTACTGTAAGCAGTTGTTTAGTATTGGTTATACAATTATAAGGGAAAAGGCATCCACTAAATTCATCCACTTAACTTCAACCTCATTGCTCATGCCTACAAGACATCCTTCAAACTAGCTCATTTCCATTGATTTATGAATACCTGTCATAGTACATAAAATAGTTAAAGGCAAAAAAAATAAGTTAACTACAAAAACTAAAAGACAATCCCGAAGTTAAGAACTAAGAAAACATAAAAAAAATTCCTATTATGAATCCTAAGTTAACTAAGAACAATTATGGTTGGCTTTCATTGTAGCAAGCTCCTAGTTAACGACTTCATTGTACTCTAAAATTATCATGTCAACGAGATAGCTAGTTGTCTCAACCTCCTCAACTTGATGCTCAATACACTCCACTCTAGATACACATGTAAACTTTAATTCTGAATTCACCCCGATCAGTCTTCCAATTAGTTTGGGTGAAAACATGTAGGACAGTAAACTGTATCACTTCACTAGCACATATTAATATGAGCATATGAAAGACCCTGCAAATGAATACAGAAAATATTAGGGGTAAGGAAACACGAAATGCAATGCAATTCGTCCAATGTTATGAACAATGCATTTTGTTATGGATCCAAGAATGTTGGAGCATATAACATTCCATAATGTAATGTCATGACTTAGTTTTTTAATGTTTTTTTATATAAATAAAACTAAGCGAACTTACCATGTTATCGATCATTTTGAAAAAGATATCCAACCCACCAAGCACGCCCTGTCTAGTGGTTGCACAAGTGCTACGAATAAGCTTGCAAACACTGATAACAACAATTGTAAGAACTAAACATTGTAGAAAATTAGAAAAATAGTTTACCTTTGTTTGTGTCTAAGGGACTTCATACCGAACTCTTCAATCAATTATGCAATAGTCATCGCATCAGGAATACTGTTCTTGTTGACTATTAAAAGCACACTAGCATCCCTCCATTCATCCTGAAGCCAAACTCCACAGTAAAGAAACATAAGTAATGGAGAAAAGACAGATAACTTAATCTAAAGGTGTATAACTTTCATGTCTCCTTTACAATGGGAACTTAACTTTGGAAATCACAACACAAATAAGCAGAATAAAAAATAAGATGTATGAATAAGGAAAATTACCTCATTCAACATCCTATGTAACTCATCCCTAGCCTCCAAAACTCAATTCCAGTCATTGCTATCAACCACAAAAATAAGACATTTCGTGCTTCGAAAGTGCTATGTGTATAATGAAGGGATCTGCATTTAGAAGATCTTAGATCAATCACTAACTCACTCGCTATGTATAGCTAGAACTTTTGAAATATGTCATGAGGATACATTTCTTTTCTTTTTTTTAAAGGAGACGAAATTATATAATTAAAAAAGAGATACAAGAGACAGTGGCTAAGAAAGCCACACCAACCAAACAACCCTAAACCCTAAAACTCAAACACCTAGGCAACAAGACTACATTACAACAACATTCCAATCTAAATGTGAACTGAAAATTAATCACCTTGAACTCTGAAGAGTTAGAAGCCCAAGGGGATGCACAAAATCTGATTCTTTTCCCCCCCAAAGGTACGTCCAGCTACGGCCTTGTAAGTATTACAAACATGGTAACTTCCTAATTTCAAATTATTCAACGAGACCCAAACATGTATTCACTCCACTGCCTTGTAAGCATATATAAGAGAGAGAGAGAGAGAGAGAGGAGAGAGAGAGAGAGAGAGAGGACTTACAATGTTTTCACCACCAACATTAAAGGCCGCTATGCTGGTATAGGGATGGCTCAGCATCTCTACACTAAACCCGGCAAAGTAAACAATGGGAACATAATGCAAAAGTTTTCAGAGAAACAAAATATCATTATGGAAAGGGCACAAGGGATAGGGGGCTCACCAAAGGTGAGGATCTCAGTCAAAACTTCTTCAGTATGGATCTTGTTCAAGATGGTGGTCTTTCCGGCGCTAGTGAGACCTGCCATCAAAATGACTTTCTCCTTATGAGACTTTAGGTATGACAGCAACATATCTAATTACACAAAGACAAAACCGGACCTTATAGTCATTAAAAGAGGTATATGATGAAATAGAACTAGATATCATAAAAATATATCCTCATTATTTAAGCATACTTGCATATTTAACTAAAATAATGTTAACAAAATCAGCTTGAATGGTGGAGTAGGATATATGAAGAAGGCCACAAGGACGGAAATTCATGTAAAACATGGATACAAAAAATCAATCATAAGCTTTCATGAGACAATAAATGTCAACTACAATAAATGCTCTACAAACTTCAATTTATTTATCCAATAACAAGGAATGATAGGGGAAAGAAATATGATACTACATATTACTTGGTTCTGCCATGTAATTGTTTTGTTTTGCGGTGTACGAAGTAGTGAAATTACACCTAGTACACAATAAAATAGTCCTCTCCTTTACTACTACACAACTCAATTACCTAAATTGCCAAGCGTTTGAAGCTGTGATTTCTTTGTAAAGCCTTCCCCAAATCTTGCTTGAAAAATCAATTAAACACAAAAGGATACAATAAAAACAAACAGATTTCACTCAAAACAAAAAGGAGAACCCTAACAATGATCAATGGTTGAAGTCCCAAGAAATATGCTAAAATGTGGAAAATCAAGGAGATGGTCCTACTTCCACAAATGATGACACAACACACGTATACAACCAGCCAAAGTCGACATCTCTTTTGCTCCAGACATGGTGGTAAACCCTTCTAACTCAGACTTTTTGGACTTTAGCTCTAAACCCTTGCTAAAGATGACCTCTCACATGACCTTTGTTTTTGAGACTTTGCGTTCCCATCAATTACGGGGTTAAACTCTCAAGTGCACATTTGGGCAGATCACTATTGATTACTTAATCCATACTATTTCAGGATCAAGTGTGGCCATTGATTACCAAGGTCAAATGCATTCTAGACTGGCAAGTTCCAACTACCATTAAGGGTCTACTCGTATATCTTGGTCTCGTGGGTTACTACCACAAGTTTGTTAAGAATTTTGGTATTATGGCATGTCCTCTCACTGATTCCTTAAAGAAAGACACTTTTTAAAATAAAATAAAAAGCACTTACTACCACCCATTTATTAGCTTTGCCGGAAATTTTCAAGTCTTTTAAAGTGCAATGTGACATATCGAATAGTGGTTTAGGTGCAGTTATTTTATAGGACTAGCATCCCATTGTTTTTTTTTGTTTTTTTTTATTTATAGAAAAGTATTGTTTGCAAAATACCAAGCTTTCCCCACCTATGAGCATGAAATGATGGCGCTCATCTATGTCGTTCAAAAGTGGCGGCCCTACCCTTGGAAATACCTTTCACCATTTTCATGGATCATCAAATCTTGAATATTTCCTCAAGTAGCATATTTCTACTTCTGCTCAGCACAAATGGTTACTCAAATTGTTGGGGTACAATTATACTTGTCATTATCGAACGGGGTCTTCTAATGTGGTGTTGGATTCCCTTCCATGCCAATTAGAATTTTTGTCACGTATAGGTCTTTCTCGGCCCATTATTTATTGCCTCAATGATATCCAACAAAATATGTTTTTTGATCTCGCTATTGCATCTATTTTCAAGACCTCCAACGTGACGCATTGCGCAATCTCATCCCTATTTTTCTCTCTGCGGTGACCTGTTGTATTATAAGAATGGTATTTATGTGGCACCATCCTCACACTGGAGCTTTTGCATCCTTAATGAGTTTTATTCATCTTCTACAGCTGGTCATTCCAATTATCTTCGTACTTATAAGCACAGTCTCCATAATTTTTGGTTTCCTAACTTATAAAAGGATGTCAAACACCATATCTCCATTTGTGACACATGTCAGCGCACTCAATATGCGGCCATTAAATCCTCTGTCATGATGCATCCTTTACCTATTCCACCACAAAATTGGAGGGATAATGCTATGGATTTCATTAAGGGTCTTCCAGCTGCCCATGGTCACAATGCAGTTTTGGTTGTAGCCGATTAACTTTTCAAGTATGGAAATTTTGTCCCACTCAAAAATCCTTATTCTGCCCATAAAATTGAAGAGATCTTTATGTGTGGGATTTTTCGCCTTCATGGCTTGCCTTCAACTATTGTCAGTGATCATTAGTCAATTTTAGGAGTCCTTTTTTTCTATCCAAGGCACCAAACTCTTTTGAAGTTCTGCATACAACCCTCAATTGGACGGCGAATCCAAGGTGATGAACAACACCCTTGAGCACTAGTTGCAAAGTTTTTTGGGTGATCAACCCAAGTATAAGGTCTAATGGCTACCTTGGGTTGAGTGGTGGTACAATATCACATTTCATTCTGCCATTCAAATGACCTCGTTTGAAGAGGTGTATGGATCCCACCTCCCAACGGCTCCACTTATTTACGAGGTTCATTTGATGTTGATCTAGTAAACAACACCCTTTGAGACTATGACACACTTCTTTGTATTTTGTGTGTGAACCTTCAATTGGCCCAAGATAGGATGCCGCCATAACACTTATCATAAGTGTTCCGAGCACAAATTCAACATTGGGGACTGGGTTTTTCTAAGGTTGCAACCTTACCAAAAATCTTTAGTGGGTAACACCCACTGCCCTAAATTGGCTCCTACGTATTATTGAGCATTTGAGATCATTTCCAGAGTTAGGAAAGTCTCTTATACACTTTAAGTTCCTTCTTATTCACGCTTGCACCCTGTTTTCCATGTTTCTCTTTTGAAACCCAATGTTGCTATTTCCCTGCTTCCTTCAATGAATTCGAATGGTCAAGTATTATGGACTCCTGAAGCTATCTTACAACGTGGCATTGCCAAATGCCACAATGTAGCTGTTATGCGTTGGCTAATCAAATAGCATGGATAGCATGATGCCACTTGGGAGGATGCATCAGTTATTCAATAACGTTTTCCTGTTTTCCAAGCATGAAGACATGCCTATTTTGATAGGGGAGGATTGATACAAGCTTGTATTGTGTTAGAACCTATTTCCCTTATTAGACCTCTAGTAGTAGATGTATTTTCCATTCCAATATTGTATTTCCTATTTCCAGCTAGATATTTATGGTTGACGTTAAGGTCTTTCCTTTTGTATTTTGGATTATGTTAAAACCAACTTCTTTCCATTATTGGAGGTTATGAATGAAAACATAATATCTCCTTTCCATTATTGGAGGTTATGAATGAAAATATATTATCCCAATTACCTTTCCTTTCTCTAGTTTTTATCTGGTAGCTGTTATTCACTCGCCTACAACCCTAACAAGCCCATTTGAGGGATGCACATTGAATTCGCTGAGAGTTAGGATGCGCATAACTTGATACGAGTTCAGATGCGCATAACCTGATATGAGTTTAGATGTGTGTAACCTGATATGGATTCAGATGTGCACCACCCAACATGGGTTCAGATGCGTACAACCCAATGTGGATTTAGGTATATATCATTCAATATAGGATTTGACTCATCCAATACATCTTTGTTATTTGAGAAGTTCGAGATTTGAATATTCAATCGCTCATATTCCCATATCCTCATTAAGTGCGGAGCAAGACAAACGTGGTAAGGGTTGTCCCCGCACAACTTTCTGTGACCTGAAGATGGTGAAGGTGCGTGTAAAATATGCAAAATGAAGCTTACATCCTAAAGTTGTTAGCATGTATAAAATTTGGGCTTCACAGCTAGATCAACATAGTTGATTTTGAATTAATTTGTGCACTTCAACAAAGACAATAAATGTGGAATAATTTGAGCATCGAAGTACGTTTTGTAGGTCCCTTCCTCCTCATACTTATGGAAGATCGACATCAAAGGTGAATTTCTATTGAGTTTTTAGAAGAGTACGAATTTCAATCGAGAGCCTGGGGAATAATTTTCTTGTTGTAAGAATTCATGCTCCAACATTTGTCGTGAACAACGGCAGCTTTCCTTGCCCTCCAAGTGACTAGGGGTGGTGGAAGAAGGAGTCAATGTCTTTGACATGAGTACAACGTCTTGTTTTTCTCCCTTGTTTTCATAGCTATTTTAAGTGTTGTTTTTCTAGGTGGGTGCCTTTAGTAGTTTTGGGGTGCCATGTTTAGGTAGCTCTAGTTCTTTTGTTGTTGTATCTTGCTCTCTTCAGTTTAATGGAATCCCATGTTAAATAATAATAATAAAAACTCCAAGCTTCATTTAATGGAAATAACATAATAGTATGTAGGGTTTAATCCTCTATCATACCTCTATTTTTCTTAGTGAAAAATTAGCACCAAAGGTGAAAGTGAGTGGGCAACAAATCAGTAATTTTGATTTCTTTTATAACCATATCAAACATTCACAACCTAAAGTAAAAACAACAAACTTGTTAATGTTTTAAATCTTTTTCTATCATCTACTGAGGCTTTCCTATGACGGTAAACCATTTACAACCCAAAACCATTGATAAATTTTAGTTAACGATCTATTAATAGAAGTACATCCATATATGAGGTCACATAGGTAGGTTCTTTGTCTTTTATGTGATGGTAGTTTCTTTATCTTTTATGTGATTATCACTCGAGCATCATCCCAATTTGAAACAATATATATAGGTAGAGTTGACTATATGAGATAAAGTGAGACACAAAAAGTCGATTTAAGAAGTAAGTTGTGTTAAAGTGACTTATGAGGACAAATCTAATATCTTCCGGAGGAGAAAAACTCTCATGTAACTGGAATAACACTTTTTGCTATCCCCAGCCAATAACGCAATGACACGTAGGATAAAGTGAGACAATATATCTAGGTAGAGTTGACTATATGAGATAAAGTGAGACACAAAAAGTCGATTTAAGAAGTAAGTTGTGTTAAAGTGACTTATGAGGACAAATCTAATATCTTCCGGAGGAGAAAAACTCTCATGTAACTGGAATAACACTTTTTGCTATCCCCAGCCAATAACGCAATGACACGTAGGATAACAAAACAGTGTTATCCCAGCTATAGGTAAGTTTTTTCGCTTCCAAAGGGACCATGGAGTAATTAAGCAAATACTACTGAAAACTTTTAAAATTTGATATAGATAATGTATATTGACGTTCAAGGAAGAAACCAGCTATTGGGCTATATGGGCCCATATAGAATTTTTTTAAAATTTTATATGTGATGTAGTCTTGACCAAATAAATAAATAAATAAATCTATGTAGTCAAATAGAAATAACCATAGCCTAGCCCAGCCCACCCTAGTTTTAAATATCATGCATGACTTTATTGAACAAATGGGGTTGCATTCTATATCTTGCTCGAAAATGAACATCAGAGTACAGAGATTGTGGGATAAAATAATCTTCCAGAAGATTCTTACCCCGAGAATGTCTATGTCTGTCCACATTCGATGCCCGGCCTTCTCGTGAACCACGACGGCTCTGGTTTTCTTCCTCCATCAAAGCAACGGCCACACCAAGTTGCTCATCTAGTTCTCTCTGCGCCCTTTTGCTTGCAGCTCTTCTGCGCATTCTTGCTCGCCTTTCTCGCTGTTGCCTATCCAAAACATCTTCCATGTCCGACTAAAATCTGAGAAATGAAATCTAAAATATGAGAAATGAAGATGCAGAGAAGATATGGTGTGGGAGGTATGAGCTGAGCCTCTGGTTTTATAGAAAAATTTAGACAGATAGAGATGACACGTGGCGCAATTTTAGAGGATGAAAATCTTATCTGAAATTTGAAATTCAAATGAAATTTGGAATTGGTAATTTATCTGGAATTTGAATTTCGAAATGTATCTGAAATTCAAATTTTGAATTTATCTCAAATTTGAATTTTGAAATGTATCTGAAATTTGAAATTTATCTGAAATTTATCTGAAATTTGAAACCGAAAATCTTATCCGATATGAATAGTATTGACACGTAGGAACCCAAAAATCTTATCCGAAAATATTATCCAAATTAATTGTTTAAATAAACAAAGTTGTGAAAAAAACAAAAAAATGAATAGTATTTGCCATGGCAAGGGGCTAACTGCTGGAAACACACATTTGCTGGGGGGAGCTAGGGCAGCCACTATTCACGTGAATAGTAACTGCCCTAGGGCTCCCCTTGCCATGGCAAGGGGCTAACTGGTGGAAATGCTCTTAGGGTGGAGTCCAATTTTCCTCTTTCCTTTCCTGTGTCCTTCCTGTTACCTATTTAATTTCTTGACACCTATCCCTACACTTAACTTCTAACATAACAGTGTTAACCATTTTAATAAAATTAAAACTAAAACAAAAACCAATTATTAAATAAAAAAGAAAAACCCAAAAGCCACCATAGCTCCACCCCCACCCACCCATCCAACCTGGTCAGCCACCCCATCTCGTCAACGGCAACCCCGACCCTCTAAGCAGCTTGTTAAGCCTCGGGATCCATCCCAACCCTCTAGGCTCTTCACTTTCAAGCTTTGATTTCGCATTAGAGCTATGGTCCATTGGCGCAGCGAAAGGAGAAAAATATGAAAATATGGATTAAAACATAAGGGAAAGTAGGCGTAGGTGCGATCGGAGAGCGTGGGCATGGAAGCCGCATCGGCGACTGCCATTGCTGTGCACAAAGATATCTTTGAGGCAGCCATGGATATCTAAATAAAAGTTTGAGCTTTGCTTTAATCGGATTTCCAAGTTCGAGAATTCATAGGTAAACTCAAATGTCTGTGCGAGCATGAACCTCTTCGACAGTAACCACTCTCCTCCGGCGAGGTGGGGGTGGCTGACCAAGTTGGATGAGTGAGTTGGCTGACAAAGTTGGGTGTTGTGGTGGCTGTTAGTATTTGTTTTTATTTTTTTTTATAATTGGTTTTTGTTTTTGTTTTAATTTTATTAAAATGGTTAACAGTGTTATGTTAGAAGTTAAGTGTAGGGACAAGTGTCAAGAAAGTAGATAGATAACACGGAAGTACAGGTAGAAGGAAAACAGGAAAATTGGACTCTAAGGGTGCAACTCAAATAGTTTATTTTTTATTTGTATTACATATTTATTTATTGTTGTCTTTTTTTCTTTTTTTTATATACTAGTTTCTATCTTATGTAATAGATGCATTTTGAGAGTTACGACTCATTATGTCCTCTTGACTAGGTATATCATTTTTGTTAACAATTAAATTCACTCGTGCCGTCGAATTTTTTTGTAATATAAATTCAACCCAATTCATTTTGAAATCCTGAATTCGTCCCTGCTGACGTTAATGTTGGACATAAAATGTTCTTACACTAGGAGTTAATATGAAGGTTAAAATCTAGTTTTCTTGACTTTTCCCGATAAGAGTGAAGCTCACTACCTGATTCAGTTTGCCATTGACGGGCGTTACACTCCTAGTAGGGTAGTATCAAATAATCATTTGGCTTGGAGAGGAAGAAAAAAAAAACAGCATCATTCAAATCAAACCATCAAATCAATAAGGCCAAACCGAAACGTGTTTTGGCTTATTCATTTTAGTCCTTTTATCATTTTAAATTTTGCAAATCAATAAGGCCAAACAATGACGTGTTAGCATCAAATTTTACGGTCTACAACAGTTTTGTGCTCTTTCGGATTTTATAATCTTTTGCAATGACAGGCTGCCACGCACATCACAGCCAGTCATTGTGCTTTTACTTAAGATGCCTTAATAGCCATTAGATTACAACTTAGGATGACCCCACCCAAGCCTAATAATTATACAAGTCTAGTCTACCAGAAATTTATAAATCTTGAGATCTATGTGAGCAAAAAGTGATGAATCCATTATACTTTCGTGTGTAGATTAGAATGCAAAAATGGGGATGGAAGAGTGCTGTTAACCGACTTTAATGTTTTTTCTTTTGGTTATGTTCCTAGAGAACTCAATTTAGTGACTCATAAATTATCTCGTTATGCCTTAACTTTAAATGATGCATGCATCTTCGTGATACGAGACTCCTCCCGATACCGTTCAAGGTTGTTTGGTTGAGGATCTCATATAATGTCTTCATGATTTCATATAATTTCACAGCTTTGTGACCAATTTCTTTCATAATTTTCAGAGCGAAGTTACAAAATTGAATCAAGAGAAAATAAAACAGAGCCAACACAACACAAGTATTGTGGGCTCAAGATCATTAGGTTACTAGAGCCTAAGATATATATACATTAGGATCGTCCTAATGTATTAAACAAGTAATTGCTTGCTGCCATGCACCATTGTCACATAAATATAGAATCAATGGCAGGCTTCTTAATTAATAATTAATTTTTTTTTTTTTTTTTTTAAGGGCATTTGGGTCGTCCTTCTTGGGTCTTCCAGTTGTTGTAGCAAGGGCAAACTTGTTTGTTGCCATAAACGCCTGGAGGAACGCATAGGCATGTGGCGCAGCATTTTTGGCAGAAGAACATGCATGGCTTCTTGTGCGATGTGGCAGAGCAACGGTAAGTACATCTCGGCTTGCACTCTACAAAATTAACAATCAATCTTCAAATTTTAGATTTTCATGCTTTATCATAATGATAATGGATTTTTCCATGAAATTTTAGTAAAGTAAGTTCAGTTTATGTACCTGAAGGACGAAGCTTGTTGTAACCCTGTTCATGAATTACAAAAACGAAAACAAATTTAGACAAAATAGACAATATATCCACGGTCATTAACTTCTTTGAATGTGAACGGTTGAATTTTGATCCAACGGTTAGAGTTAGCGACCGACTTTGGATTTTTAGGGTCGAGAGCAAGGTACCCAAGAGATCAAAAACTTGGACAATGTATAGTAATGAAAATAGATGATGGTATATAATACGAACGTACCTCAGCCACATCAGAGAATGTGAGTAGAAGAAGCAGAGAAACCAGCAGGAAAAGGGAGGTGTACGGACGTCCTGCCATTTCTCTGAGTGAGCACTAACTGGTACTGTAAACACAAAGCACAAGAAGGAGAGATGGATTAGATTTTTATGGCTTCAAGGAATGAAGATTTGTGGGTTTATTTATAGGGGAAGTGTGGGCATGGCCAATCCAAAATGATTATGAGAAGGAATAGAAGGAGAGGATTGCGCGGTTTAAGGCGTGAAATGGGCAACTGCGCACCAAAAAGTCCATGTGGGCTTTTCATGTGAGCGTTGAAGGCGCCGTGTCTATTGTTTGGTTTATTTTTGGATTTTGCTTTTTTGTGTCAAATCCAAATCTTCATTTTCTTCATTGGTTTTTGTCATTCCAAATCTACTGAAATAGTCACTCCAGATTTCGTTCATAATAATACTCCGTGAGTGTTATTAAGCAACGCATTTTTCTGTAAAGAATGTGTTTTCGTTTCTGATTATAATACACTCTGATTATCGATCGTATTAGTTTTTAACATATAGTTGTTTTGAACTAACCAACTTTTTTTTGTTGTTGTTACAAAATGTAAAATTGTTTGCGTCTGCCGGGAGTCGGACCCACAAGTTTTTTTTTGTTTCGAATCAAAGAAATATATACACTCAAGAAATGAATATAAAAATGAATATGAATATAAACCTATCTCCATTATATATAATCCCACTTGGATATTTTGTTCTTACTTTTGTTAGAGGAATAGATGAGATCTGGTTCATCTCATGTGAGGTGGTCCTTTTGGCAGTACGGTATGCATGTTGCATGTGAGAGAACATGCATAAATGGTTTTTGATTAGTTGCTCTGATCTAATGCAAGTCAAGCCACCGACTAAAATAGTGACCTGAATTGGTAAATTTTGTTATTTTAGTGCCAAGAGGTCCTCTTTGAGACGTCACCCAACATGGCAACATTGGTAAGCATAATTATGAGTGGATTATTTAAAGGAACACTCGACATAAGTATCAAAATAAATATAAATAAATAAAAAGGAAGAAGAAAAGTGGTTTGCATCAGAATTTTGTAATCGTGGGTGATGCACCACAAGAAGAGGTATCCAATTAATTAGCTGCTTTTGTTTTGTTTTTTTTTATAAGTTCCTTGCAGATATATATGACATTAGTATTAAGCAAATGTTAATTACAACTTGTATTTAAGCGATGATATGAAAGAAGAATCAATCAAGTATATTAAAGAAGATATCAAGATCAAGAGGATTGAAGTACTTACATGTCAAGATCAAGAACAAAGGCAAAATCAAGATAATCAATACTGAATAAATGCATAATTGCGTATATATGCTTAGCCAAGTTAGCTAGAGTGGATATATTCACCAATCTGCACCGAGCTCGAATTCCCCTTGCCTTAGTTTAAATTAATTTAAAGTAGAATATTACTTGTATAAATAAAAAAAAAGGTTCAAGTTTGTTTTTTTTTTTTTTTTTTTTTTTTTTTTTGGTTTTTTTCTAACGGTCCACTATAGTTTAATCATAGTTTAATGACATGTTGGGGTTCCTTTTCGGCTGCTAACCTGTAATTAGTATTTGAACCCTGATTTTGTATTGGTACTAGTATTTAAACATATGTTATTCTCGTTTCTAACTTCTTCAACTGCTAACATGGGTCCTGGTTAACGTGAAAGGAACCGCTTAAATTCAGCCAAAACTAAGCACCAATAATACGAAAAGAACAAAACTCATTTCATGTGACCCTAACATACCAAATTCATACCAGCACGTTATATGTGACCCTGCCAAACCAAAGTTATCAATCAGGACAGACAAGGAATCGTAACGTTAGGAACTTGAGAGAAGATTCTGTCACCCAGAAAGTGATTTGGTAAGGGTCAAAAGTTAAAAATACAATGATTAAAAAAAAAGGTATGCACTTTTTCTTTCAAGCACTTATTCCATCATTCATTTCCACCTTCTTATGACCATTTTCCATGTCCACATTTTAACAGACTTATTAGACTATGAGAAAATATAACAAGACAACCCGAAAACACAAGCCACTATAACTTAGTCCCTTGCAAAGGAAAACAACTCACTCAACACATTGACATTGAAAACTAGATAAGCCAAACACCCTATGAAATAACAACCCGGACATGGGCTCCGTGGCTGCTTATACCTTAAATTTCACTTGAGACCTGTTACAAGTCGGTCAAATGCTGAACTTCAACTCATCCTCTGCCTATACTGTTATGGGCCACCCTTTTTTAGCTGACCTATGCCAGACATAATTTAAACGGTATGCCGTAAAATTCCGGTGAGTAACCCCATTTACAGAGTTGGGGGAAAGTTGAACATGGCTGCAAGTTTCTTGAGGTCCTCAGGTTGTATGTTTTGTGACATGATAGCAGCGCCCACAGCCAGGGCAACAGACACAAGCACCATGCTCTTCATGCATCCGTGCCCTTGAGACAATCGTCCCAAAATCAGCTTGCAATATTTGTCTGCATCCTTCAAAAGTGAATGGTGGGCAAAATCATCTCCCGCTGCCAATGCTTTATCATTCTACACCCAAAACAGAAATCAAGTTCATAATAGTAGAGTTGATAGTTAAATTAGGCATGCAAGGCTAGATTAATAAATGATAAATGAAAAATGAAATCACAAAAACAAGTTAATCACTTCAATATCTGGATATGATTACCTTTTCCCTGAAACTCTTTAAGGTTTCCCTCAAGGGGTCAAGAGAAGTATGTTACTGGCATGCTCCTTCCACTCGTCAGATAGCTTTTTCAGGACAACAACACTTGCATCAAGATTCTCCAGATAAAGCATGTCCTGTTCCAAATATTCACAGTGAAGCGACAAGTTGATGAAAAAAAATTGTTTGTACAATGCCTTTAATGAACATATGCAAAAGTAAAAGAACAATAATCCAAATGCTTACCCACTGCCTGTAACATTCAGGGTTTTGTGTCAAACACCAAATAAAAATGTCACTTGCTTCCTTAGACAGATCAGGGATGCCTGCAAAATGCTCCATGCATCAAGCTCCAATAGAGAATAGGCCAAAATTCATACTATTTTTACTTCCAAACACAATTTGAAGGGGTTGTAATGGAAAATCAGTTTCTTTGTGCTTGGCTTTACCTTCTTTAACAGCTTTAACTGAATATTTCAATATCTGCTGTGTGACCTGCCTCATTGTTTTGCTACCCGGGGAACCAGCAAGGGAAATCTCTTTCAAGGTTGGATAAACAGCCTCAAACCTCTCAGTTGCCTTAGCAAAGCCAAAATGTTTCAGATATTAATCTTTTGGTTAAGGGGAGTAAGAGGGGGTGGGGGTTATGCTTGATTAGCATGTTTAAACGGAAAATTTTGCAATCTACAAATGCTCCTAAAAGAGGCACACCTTAACTCGGGCAGAAGGTGCAGGAAAAGAAGCTCTCATCAACAGATCAAGGGCCGATGGTGGCACTATGTGCTCCCCCTTTCTGACAGCACCATTTAATAGAATAGGACGAGCTTTGGGAGAAGACAAAATTCTGATATAATTCACCCGGAAAAAAAAAGGAATTACTACCAGAAGAAAAAAAAAGAAGAAGATAGTTCTCTCTCTGTGACAAGGAAGCCAGATGTGTACATACGTAAGATCAAGGAATAGAGCTTATGTTAATCTAAATGGTGTCCAACCTTTCCACCGATTGCAAAATCAAGTCTCTAGCCAGCGGATTACTACTTGACTTGCTACTCAATATAGGCAAGAGAAAATGAACCCATGTGTACAACCCCACAACCAGATCTCCTTGAGAAGCCTGTATAAACATAGTTTCCCTAGTTAAAATTCATATTTTAGAAAAGAAAAAACCACTGTTTTAGGAACATTAGGTAAAAATAATTACCTGTGCAATCAACCACACTGTGATTGGAAGCTTATCTTGGCCTTGATATTTTGGACTTTCCTTCATCACTGGAAGTAAGTTAATCAATACATCAGGTTTTCGCCGCAACACCATTGCTAAAACCACGAATATGGCAACCTGCAGTTCCAAGGTTACATCTAATTACTCACTCTGTTTGAGGATATATAATCTAAACTGTGAGAATTTTGACCAATGTAATGTAAGGAAAAAACAAAAGCTTATGGAAAGGTGTAGAGCTTTAAAAACTATTTACTGTTGCATACATAATTCAGTAGGCAGTCGTTATGAACTGAAATCCCATTGGTGCTATTTTAAAAAACTCTTGTCTTCCTATGACTATTTCCAATATTAGATATCAAATTTTCCACATTGAAAGTTGAGTCAGCCTTCAAAACATGATAGAGGAAAGATAGAACTATACCAAATGTATACAATGTTCCATCTTCAAGTTCAACTAAATTTTGCTAGCCTTTCAGTAAGAAAACAAGAACATGATGAATTATTAAGGGCGCTGGGCGCAGGAAGATAAAAGTGGGAGGAAATGTAGTCACATACAAAGGTCTGGAAGCCCTATCAAACAAACCTCAAAGGATCATAAAACACTGTCATGATAACGTTGCTGGATGCTCCAAATCAAAGCATTGACAAAACTAGGCAAACATACAGCCAACCATGGCCTGAGATGATATATGCAACAAAGTTGGATGAGCCATAGAAATGGGATTATATGATAACTAAAGAAGGTTCATTAATACTTGTAGCCCATAGAAGCCTCCTCTGGGATGCAGCCACTGAACAAGAAACTTACTTGAAAAGAAAACAAGAATGAAAATGAAGAAAACAAAGAATAGTCGTAATTACACAGAATAATAGCAAATTCAAATAAAATCAATTCTAGAAACAAGGGGTTAAAGAAATTGAATCATGCCAGCACACATAACACTAACAATACCACACTATATTTTGCTATATATACAATTACGCAAAATTCTACAAAATATTCACTTGACATGATATTCTGGTAAAGTCCTACAAGGGGTGGTGTAGTATATATATCTCAAAAATATGGATTGAAAAGTTCAGAGAAAATCTGCTCCTATAGTTTTAAAAAAGAAAGATGGCCAAGGTCATTTTTCTTTAATATCGTATGTCTTTCCTAAGATGTGCCACTAGTGTCCATCTATGCTAAAATCAATGGCTCAAACTGTTTATAGTAGTAACTAGTTTATCCACCTTATACAATTTGCCACAGACCACCAAGGCATAGAAAACAAGCACAAAATGTTTTAACACCACCTGAGACTTTAATGGGAATTTGATACATGCTACAATCCAAAGTTACCTGAGACTTTGAAGGTGCTTGCTGGGCCACCTTTTTGGATCCCTTGGCTGCTCCTTGATGATTTGTAAGGTCAGCAAGAATGCTGTCCAATGACCATAGCACGAACGATCCAAGTGCTTCAGTAGAGCAGTGGCCGATCCAGTCAACTGATGTCTTATAAACATTTTCAGATATATGATAAAGAGGGATCTGCTTAGGCAAATAATATAGTCATTAGAAATTAGGAGACACTGTTAAACATATTTATAAATTCCACCAACCAGAAATAAACAAAACAAAAAGGAAGATATAAATCACTGATTATCAGCCATTAAAGGTGAAATCATATGCCTACAGACCCAATGGTGTAACCATATCCATCATGAGACATGATATGCATGTAGTCACAATCATCAATCATGAGACATGACATGCATCTAATCTCAAACATAGCTTCCATAATATCCATAGAAAAAAAAGGGGGGGGGGGGTGGTGGTGGTAGAAATCAGCAGCGAGTGTGAACCAGATAATGTGAAGCTACCCTCACATTGTATCCAAAACCCACATGCATGTAAAATTCAATACACAGAATAAGCAGATAAACACCAGGATACGATCAAAAGCCCTTCTTTTCTTCAATATCTCCAAAGTTTGATGCTTTATTAAAGCCATTTTTTCTTTTTCTTTTTTTCAGACAAAAATTCAAAATCGAATCTATAAACCAAACACAAGCAAAAACTCACATCAACCAACTTTGCCACAGTGGATTCCTTGAACGTCTTCAACCATGGAAATTGAGCCGAACTGACCGACGCAAATGCTCGACCGAAATAATCCGCCAAACGCATAAGCTGTATGTCTTGTTGCTTTTCATACGAAGCCTATCCAACACCCAAAATAAAATCAGAAACAATATAGAAAAACAAAAAAGAAGCCACATTTCCATTTTCCATAACTACATTTTACAAAATTGAATCCCCAATTTACCAAAAGAAAAAACAACAGAAGCAATCAGCATCTCACAGTAATATCAGCGAGAAAAGCGCCGAGATGATCTGCGTCGATCTTCGAAGCCGCCTCAGCCACAGTCACCTTCGGCTTCTTCGGCTTCTTAGTCTTAACCTTCTTCACCTCGCCATTTTCCACAGTCCCAGACACCTCAGCATTGCTATCCTCATCGTCGTCATCGGAATCCAGCTTCGATCCGCCGCCGGCGGAATCTCCGGAAGCGGCGGCCGCCTGAGCCTCCAGAGTTTTCCGACGGCGCTCCTCGGAATGCAGCTCGATTGGCCGGAACACGTCGGAGGCGGAGGAAGCTCCGATGTGGAGATCACCGTTCGAGTCCGCCGGAAGTGCCTTGGACGAGACCTTTCGGTTTCGCTTCTGATACGACACCGTTTGCCAGCCATAAGCATCGCCGCTTTGGGTCCTCTCATTGTTCACCTTCTTACCATATCTTTCTGCCTCCTCCTCCTCTTGCTCTCTGAGAATTGATTCGATTAGTGCTGAATTCTCGTCCATGCTTCAGCAATTGCTCTCCCTCTCGCTCTCTAGCTTCGTTCTCTCTCTCTCTCTCTCTGTGTTCTGTGAAACTCTTGACTGGGAGAGAGTTAAGAAGTACTGTCGACTCGTCGATATCACACAAGGAGAAAACGAAGTCGGGTTTTTGAAGGAGAAAGGACAAGAAAGGGATTTTCGTTAAAAAAGAAGGACAAGAAAGGGATTTTCGTTAAAAAAAACAAGGACAAGAAAGGGACTCGGTGTCAAAGGACACGTGGGTTTTATTTTTATTTATTGTGTTGACGGGTTTGGCCTTATTTCACTAGCTATATAACGTAAATGCCATTATGCGTTTCGGATAAGAGTTGTTTTAGGATTACTGTGGCATCATCAACGATCTTTATCTCCTAAAATTATTGAATGTCTTAACGCAAAAAATATTTTATATATGTCTCTATAAAGTGTTAATTTGATGCATTTGAAAAGTGCAATATTCGAAAAGAAAAAAAAATTGTTCATCACTTTAACCCAATGTGTATTATCACCATCATTCTCACATTAGACACGTGTCCACGAGTATAACCATAGTTCTATAAATACAAAGTAAAAAGTTATCTATGGTTAGGCACATAAACACGTGTCAAGTATTGAAAAAAATAATAATACACACTGGGTTAAAGTGATAAGTAAAAATATTTCCCAAAAGAAAATGCAATGCACAAGTTTCAGCCATCTTATATTAAGCCCAACAGGAATGTGCAAAATCCAATCCAAACCGATCAAACTGACCAAAGCAATTTAATTCAATTTTAATTGGATTGGATGTTAATTTTATAGTGTTCAAAACAGATTAAAATCGAATTAATCCGATTGTGTTTTTTTACAATAGATTTGGTTTTTAGGTCACTTATTTATCCAATAGCCTTTTATCCGACAACTTCTTTATCTAAAATGTTGTTTTCCGTTCTTATTTCTAGATGTGTGTTCCAATTGTATCCAATTTGGATATTTTTTGCTTTCGAAATTGTGGGTTTTTCTTGTTAGCTATCTTGCAAGAATGTTTTATATATAAATCTTATATGGACATTAAGTATTTGGACTTGAGGACAACATGAATTTCATTATTTAGTTTATTTTCTCTGATATTCTTTTTTTTATTTCCTTCATGCTGATCCAAGGTGGTCCTTCTCACTTTCTAAATTAAAATGGCTTTGGCTACCCAACTATTAATGTCATGATAAATAATAAAAAAAATATACAAAATGTATTGTATAATAAGCTTGTGTGCTTAGAAAGATCTACTTTCAAGTCTTTCAACTTTCACGTTTTCTTTATAGAACCATTATTACATTGCACACACATCACATGTGTGATTCATTCGGTAATAACTTAACTCAATATTGTGTTCGAATCACTAATTTAGAACCAACTAGAAATTTTGAATCACTAGTTTAAAGCCAACTAGAATTAGCATGGAACTCAAACTTTTACTAGTAGTACCTATGTGATGTTTTAGTGTTGATAGGTGTATGGATTAGATATATTGCTTTGACTTTTAGCCCTCATAAACCATAGTGTACAGTTTTTGAAGGTTGGGCATTGTTTGACTTTGCACCCCAAATCATAATGTGTGATTTGAAGAAGGTTGGGGTTATTAGTTGACTCATCAATAACCTCAACCAATACCTACTATCATTATTGTTTTGTGATGATGTGATGAATTTTTTCAAAACAAGTGGAATAATGGAAAACAATGTGCAACCAATACCCAGTCTTACCACCACCAAGTTGTAAATAGGTAGCAACTTTACCAACCCTTTGACTCATGGCAGCTTTGTAATTGCAGTAAGACCTCAGGGGCAAAAAGGGGAATGAAACCAGATCCCATATGAACTAACGAGGATATCGTTTTATATATACACAAAATGTAATTGGAGGTGGGGCCCTCCGCCCACAGCCAAGAGGGCCAACTTTTTAAGTTGGCAAAGGCCTTTTATTATTTTATTCAGTTACGCTAAATCGCCAATCGCTCTCCCATATCCCCAATGGCGACATCATTCGTCGTCCTCATCCGCTTCTTCTTCACAGTGAGCAGAGCATCACAAATTAATACGCGGGCCCCACATAAACTTGCGGTGGGATGCAAACTTTTTGTTTTGCTCGATCGGACGGCTAAGAAGTGGTGGTGGGTGCAAACTTGATCACATTATTACGAAAGAGAGGATCAGAGGGAGCTTTGCATTGCATTTGCATGCTATGGAAAAGTTTTGTCTTCTACTTTTGGGCAGGCAGTTACAAACAACTTTTACAAAGTTTGGATGGTATCTTGTCTCCTGCTTGTGGTGTCTGCTTGGAGCAGAAGCATAAGCTATTTTGGGGACACTTGTTAAATGTGCAGTTTCAAGCTTGGTGCATGTCAGACAAGTAGCAAAAAGAAGAAAAAAGAAAAGAAAAGAAAAGTAGCGAAGGTTGAAGCATTGGAGAAGGAAGGGACGTGCTGGGCCAAGTGAGAATCAAATGCGTTCTGTATGTCATTTCTACCTATTTCGTGTTCACAATTTGCAGCTTACTGATACTCTAGTTTTGTGTTTGGAATTTTTTTTGGGATCAAATAGAAACTTCATTAGATAAACTTCAATAATCAAGACATCTAAAATATCAATTCCAAGAGAGAAACAAACTAACATGCTAAGAGCAAAACTAACGTGGACAAAAGTCACACTAAAACTATTAGCCAATATCACCACAATTAGTCATAAGCCCAAACAAAGCCCACAAACTCAACATAAACCATAAAAGAACACATGAGCCTAAACGAACCCTACCATTATCACCTGAAGAAGAGTCGTCGCGACCACACCTACTACCGCATCCATAACAAATTTGGGTAAAATATGATTTCCAGCGATCTACCTGCGTATAAGAGAAAACAAATAAACGAAAACAACAATTTTGCCAAAGAACGATTGGGTGATTTGCAAGAATCTCCGTCAAAGACAATGTAGAATCAAATTTAGAAAACATGAGCGGTGTTAAGGAGCGGGTTTTGAGAGTAGGATTTGATTGAGAACATAGACTAAAATGGGTGATAGTGAACTTCAATCTAACCATGGGTTAGAAGAAACCACCACAAGGGGTTTTTTTTATTCAAAACGCCCCGGTGGACTTATTCACTAACCTAAAAGGAAAAGACGATAAGAGAGGAGGGGGACCTAAAAGAAAAAGACGATAAGAGAGGAGGGGGAGGAGGGGCAATGACTCTTCTTCCTCCTGCTCCATCGATGGAATTTTCCTTTAGGACTCACAGAGGGAGATAGCGACTAGGGTTTCATAATCAGTTGTGTTTTGTGTTTGGAATTTGAACGTATCTATATATGTTATGATGGAATAAGTTACCTTATGTAAAACGGGATCTAGTCCAATAACGAAGGACTTTGATTGCAGACCAGTGGTCTCAGGTTGAAACCCTCATGGAAGTAATTGGTAGGGTGTATGAGAAACTTTATAATCTTGTAATTTATACCATCGCTTGTATTTAAAAATAAACTAGTCTCTCTGCATGCGCTTCCGCGCCTGCGAGAGGCTTTTTAAAAAAAACATTAAATTTATTTTAGAATTAAAAAGATAATAGGTAGTTGTGTTCCATAAAAATAGGATCCATTATTTTATTTTTCTTTTAATTTTAATTTTTTAAATATGAAAAGGTGTGAATTTACTGTATTATCCTCATTTAATTAATAATTTCAATTCTTAATGTTTACATTAACTAAGGGCATTTTCTGGTATTTTGAATGTTTCATCATTCTCTGCCTTTTGTTTTATATATATAGATTAAGCAGAAAGTCACTTTTGATTCATGTAGTTTGTCACTTTTACTACTTTGGCTCATGTTATTTCAATTTTGTCAATTTTGTCTTTATAGTTTCAATTTGAAGCAATTCAACGACAATCCTCAATTTTAGTCAAAAATTTTAACTTCTATTAGTTGTGAAGGGGCAATTCAATCCCCAAATTATTAAAAAAAATGCATTCCTTCTAAAAATAAATATTTTAAAATTTAATTTTAAAATATAAATAATATAAATATAAATATTTAAAAAATTAGTTTAAAATTAATTAAATCCTCTCTCTTCTTCTCCATACAACCCAACCCAACCCAACCCACAATATGAATCCCGACTAAACCCCGCAGCCATCACCAACTCTACCCCCAAACTCAGAAACTGTGCCCCTATCCCAACCTCCCCTACCCTCATCCTCAGCCGTAGCTGGCGCAGTCCCTTGTCCTCACCTAAACAGATCGAACAAGCAAAATCATAAACAAACCCAACCCACACCATGATGTTTAGCACCTAAACAAACCCAACAAGCAAAATCATAATAAATTTAAAAAATCCGGTTTTTTTTTAGGGAGTTTCACTAAAACACCCAAAATGGGGGTTGAAATTATAAAAAAACCCAAGCACTAAAACATATAAACACACCCAAAACCCATCATTACACACACTCAAAACCCATTTATAAACACACCCAAAAATTGACTTTGGGGTTGATTTTGGGTGTGTTTCTATGTTTAAATAGTGCTTGTGTTTTTTTATAAATACATGTCTAGGATTGGGTTTATTTATAAATTTGTATTTTTTTTATTCGTTTTCTTCTTGTTCTAGTTTTAATTCCCTAAAGAAAGAAAGAAGAGAGAGAGAGAGAGAGAGAGAGAGAGAGAGAGAGAAGGTTCTGGAGGGTGGGTAGGGGTCGGGTACGAATCAGAACCGCAACAATGTCTTCTCCTATCTTCTTCGGGGAGAGACCCAAAGGACCATTCTTGGGTCGAACATTGGAAGCATGGCTTCTTCGATGGCGCTCTGGGTTTAGGGTTTTGGAGGGAGTCCGTTGCCCATACTTGGCGGACTAAGGGACATGGAAGCTCCGTGCCTAGCAGATTGGGGTCTTTCCTAATTTCTCATTTCATCAATCTCCCAAAACTTAAATCAATTCATTAACCAAAACCCTCAAATCCCAATTTCTCATTGTTTAAGCAGCCGGACCATGATGATATATTGGCTAGCGACAGTGCTCTAGATATGATTCAGAAGGCGGTGGGGAGTAGGATGGGTGATGCGTGGGGGGGATATTGTTTTTTCTTCCTTTTCAAATTTAAGATTTTTTTATTTGTCTTTAATATTTATTTTTATAATGAATGAATTTTTTAATAATTTGTGGACCTAATTATCCCTCCAAAACTAACAGATGTTAAAAAAATTTGATAGAAATTGATGATTGTCCTTGAATTGCTTCAAATTGAAACCACATGTCAAGATTAACAAAATTGAAACGACAGAGACCAAATTGGTAAAAATGGCAAATTATAGGGACCAAAAGTGTCTTTTAGGTTATGTTAGTAGGAGATGAAGTCACGTATAAATAAAATTAATGAGTAATTTCTAACAAGAACGTCTGGGTGGTGTAGTCGGTTATCACGCTAGTCTCACACACTAGAGGTCCCCGGTTCGAACCCGGGCTCAGACATTTTGCTACTACTATATTATAGTATTTTTTTAACTGGCCAAGCTTGGTCGCCATCCGCCAACTAGCTTCTCTCCCACATAAGCACCACCACCGAGATGCTCTTTCTTGTCCCAAAAGCTGTGACATATTTTCCCCTTTCTCTCTCTCTCTCTCTCTCTCTCTCTCTGTAAATGTAACCTACTTATCTATATATTGATCGTTAAATTTACCAAATGAATTCTTCCACTAGCCGGACTCGGATTCATTTTGCTGTGTGATTATGATATACAATTTTGTTTTCTTTGAACCAATCTGTTTGTAGACCGTTTGTTGGATGTGGATTACGCCCATCTACTTATTGGTGTCTATGGTTGCTTGTAGGAGCATGTTATGTTACAACGGCAATTGACACCAATTTGGGCTTAAAATTATGTGCAGAAATGTCGCATGTAAATAAGAAAAAGGTATGGCATGAATAGAAACTAATTTGGTTTCGTAAACTTCGTACTTTAATTTTTCTGATGGAGTTCTGTAAGTGATTTTGTGGCAATGATATTGTCCCGTCTTGTTTCATGCACTGGGGCATTGACAAATTAAAATGCACCTATCTTCCATCATGTGACTAACTCAAATAAACCAAATGCAATGTATGCAAGCCTTTAGTGGGGCAATGAGCCATGGAGTCGGAGGGCAAAAACTTTCTTCTTGTATTCAAATACGAACCATACAGAACCTTAACCCTACAACATTTGCACGGAAATTAACTGATCTAGGTTCATTTTGGATGAAAAGCCTCCTTCAGACAAACTTGCATTGTAGCCAAGGAAATAGTGCCCTCTTATTCAAACGGACAATATCAGCACCAAAGGATCAGCAGGGGATCCGCTTATTTGGGTAAGGTCACAAGTCTTAAAGCACCTGGCAAGATACCTTTCTGCCTGTGAGGACTTATCGTCAACTACAGAAAACACACTTTCCCTTCTCGTTCCATGCCTGAGCCATAATAGTTGCTAACCTATTGAATCTTTTTGAAATTTAACTCCCCTAGAAAACTATAAGATTGCAACTTTGCACTATGCCAAGTCACCCATCATCTCTAACGAAATGTCAAGCACAACATCACAAAAGGAACTAAACACAACCCTATGAATCCAAAGAATGCCTCTGTCGAGCGAAAAACAGCCTCTAACCTAGAACATAAAGAGACTTTTTAATACCCAATAGGAAAATGAAGTGAGCAACGAGGACAGTGTATTATTTACCATCTTGTAGCAAACTATCCACGAAATGCTCCTTCTTGGAGCATTTCTCAGATTCAAAGGGGAAAGGTGCAACCTTTGCATTAGCAAATTAAGCATTTGATGTGTGAAAAGTTTCTACAAACTAATGTTTGATACAATGTTGAGAAAAGTCTCTGCTTAAAAAAGCGCACTGGCTTTATTAAGAACTGCGGTGAACAGCAGTCTAAGGACCATACCCATTCTTATTGACCAGGGCAGGTCAGCGAGATTATTGAATAACCACAAAGAAATAGTTTGACCATTTGTTCAATTATCGAACCACAACCTCTCTGACCATTTAGATTTTTAAGTGGACTTCGTGAAACAGCTAACTGCTTTGAATGGCTGTTAGGAACACTCAAAACATATCACTCATGAAATGTAGGAAGGATCTTGAGAAATCTGAACTACTACCTAGAATACAGGTGTGTGCGGATGTTTAAGATACATCACGGAAGTGAACCAATTACTCTACTGTCTTAAAAAAGATTGAATGTAAACTAATAATTCCTGACTGAGGTATAAGGCACCACGCCAAAAATCGAATTCTATCTATCTGGAAAACACTCAGCTTATGCCATACCATTAATGAATGCTCTTGAAAAATACCTAAATCTCGTATGGTATGGCCAAGGTGCACAATAACTTCACTACTAAATGTACTCATTGAAGCAATATGCATCAAGAAGCAACTGTAGATATGAGAAGTAATTATATAATTAAAGCAATAAACTGAAATTAACAAAATTTATCCAGTAAAGCATGTAAATTAAATGTATTAAGTCAACCTAATCCTTGTATATTATGAGGGGAAATGTACAAAATTCGAAAGAGCAATTGCATTACATATGTCAATTTCCTATACAAATTACTTACATAAACTCATTGGCCCCGAATGGTGTTGTCGAGAACCAACCTCAATCTCTGAGACAATACATCCAACTCAGCAAGCCGTTGGAGCTGCCATTGCCGCTCGAAGTCCAGTGCAGTCTTGCCCTTATTGGAGGAACATGAGCCAGAGCCAGAGCCTGAGCCCGAGACCGAACCAACATGGTCGGGGCAGAGCAGACAATGTTGAACAAGAACCATCCGAACTTCATTCAAAGACTGATCGAACACGTCCAAAACAGCCTTCGCCGCCAGCCCAGCAATGGGCCTAGACAAATTGATCATCTTCACCTCATCGCCATAATCATTTTCCACAAAAAGATCATCCAAAACACTCTGATTCTGATTCACCTTTAAATTATCATCACCCTCGTCGCTCTTGGCTTTGTTACCAAACGGAGAAGTGGACCAGCACTCGGAGCTCCAAAGCTTCCTCGAGAGGTCGTACAAGGCGCGATCATGCGGCGAAAGCTGCGACTCGTGGAGGCCGCGAGCGAGCCGAGCCGAGACGACTCGGAACTTTTTCCGGAAGCGGCGGAGCTTCTCAGAGAGCTGGGATTTGGTGTATTGCTGAGACACGGTGGTGGAGAATCGTGCGTAGAAGAGGTGAAGGTCTTTGGGGAACGAGAAGCCATCTGAGGCGCAGTCAAGGAGGCCTTGGAGGAAGAGAAGCTCGTCGGGCTCGGTCCAGATTCGGTGGTACTTGAACGGCGGGGTTCGCTGCCCATCTTCTGCGGAAAAAACGACGGCGTTGTAGTCGTATATGGCGGTGGATTCGAGGGTTGGGGGGAGAAGATTTGAGTTAGGGTTGGGGATGTGGTCTGGGTTTTTGCGTTTAATGGGGAGCTTGGTAGCGGAGGAGGGTTTAATTGAGTCCATGGCTAGATTTTTGGGTAGAGTTGGCTACGGAATAATATTTGGGGTTTGGGTTGGGTGTGGAATGGGTCAGTGCTCATTGTGCCGTGGCTGATTTGTTGGTTTCTTTCTTTTTAGAGATATTTAGTGATATACCCATTCTTAGCACTAATATTATAGATAAACCCTCTATCATTGAATTTCTATAAACAAACCCAAAAAAAACCCCAAAAATGATAGCTGGCCTTATTGAATTTAATATTGATTATTAAATTACTTTAATGCCATATTGAGTGTTTTGGGTATTTTTATGAGATTTTGGGGTTGGGCTTGTTTTAAGAAATTTATGGTAGTTTTGTAATTTATAAGAAGTTAAAGCCTCTTTGTTATGTTGTAAATGAGTTTTGGGTGTGTTTATAAAGTTCATTTCATATGGGGTATTTTTATAATTTGGGCTCCCATATTGGGTATATTAGTGAATCTCCCTTCTTTTTAATACGTAGTCTTTAGGGGATGCGAGTTTTTCACATACGCATGAATATACTATAACGGATGAGAGTTTTTCACATGCCATGAACATTCAGATCAGATCGAACTTCTTTTCACTGGGCTAAAAGATAGGTTCTTCAACTCTCAAAATTCAATTAATTGATTTCACTAATTTTTTTTCATTAGAGATTGATTTCATGACTATATTAAATTTGATATTTTCAATTCATAAATCAACATTGTTGAAAACTTAGTTAGTAAATTCACGGATACTTCCGTTTCCCTGTATACTTTTTAAAGATAAAGTAAACGCCAAGGAATTTATAGTTCAAGTGATTATGCTTTCATGTATTTAACACTAACGACGGGGAAGATCAACAAGAGCATAAGATTTGAAGCGCCTAACATTAATCGCCAGAGTTTTTTTTTAAATGTTTTGCTTTATGAAAATCCCTTAATAACGTTGAACTCTAGGCGCACATTTATCAGCTCAAGTTTTTAGATCATTTTCACAACTAACAACTGAAATTTGGGAAGATCACCTCCAATCTCTGCTTTAAGTTGTGAAGGGGACAAAAATGGCTAGAGCCTCAACTATATTAACCTACATTGTAAGAAAATGGCATATTACAAAGAACCTGAGTAGCATACAAAATTTACAAGGGAAAAAAATTAATGGCCAAGCATCTATTGGACGCTTCGGTGCTACAAGAAAAAACAAGAGCTATCTCCAGACTTGTTAATTCGAAGCCAAGTTTACTGCACATTGATCCTTTAGATGCTAATAAATTGCTGTCAAAATAATGTTGGCCAACCTCAATACTGCACAGTGCAGAAGATGCAAATCCCATATGGATCATGGGATATATCCAATCAAAATGGAGGATGGGATCACAAATGGTCTGATTATGTAACCACAACCGTTGATTGGAGTAAAGCTAAACGGTTTTTGGTGAGAGTAATCTTCTCTTCTGTTTCTGCCGCCTTTTCTTGGACTCCACGGACAATATCCTCAGGAGCTTTCTCTACAAACTGCATGAGCAAAAGACGATATCGTGACAAGAATTTAACTAAGAAGCCAACTCCAAACCACTTTAACTTTTTTACTATAAAACTAACAAAACTATCAGATGATGGATGTATCGAACAGCCAGAATTGAAGTCTGCATTTTTCCATAAGTTACAGTTATCCTCTTAAGAGAACCATTGTATAGGTAGCTTTTCATATCTAATTATTCCAAATACATCTTACCTAATGCTTTAGGTTTTATTTAATTTTTGTTAATTTTTAACAAATTACCCCTATGATCAAATCTAAATCCAATCGTTTAGCTGAATGGATACTTAGAGAAATTGAAATGTAAAGTACTCCCCCCTGCAAACCAAACCCAAGTGCTTAAACATTAGTAAACAGAATTCATACCTTAGGAGAACTGAGCCGAGCTTTAAGTCCATCATATTCTGTCTGCATCTTGGAAAGTCTCTTAGATAGGCGTTGGATTTCGGCAGTAATATCAATCATATCAGCAAAAGGGAGATATGCCTCTAGTCCTTCACCAGCTACAAGGTGGACTGATTGATCCGCATTCCCTGAAGTAAAATACATGGCATCCACCAAAATATATGGCTCAACATCAGATCATAGAAAAAGCCATTGATAAATGAAAGTAAACATGAATATTTCTGTCCCTTGGGGCCAAATGGAAAATAATCCATAAAGAAACGTGCCTGGAGGAGAATCTGTAAAATGGATGTTTTGCAAATCTAGCCTGGAGAGAAGTGCTAAAACTTCCTTTTCTTTCTGCATCAAAATAGAATATTTAAGTTAGCTAGTGCTAATGATAATTATGTCCAAACCAAATAATTGGATAAATAGTTGAGTCAACCCAAGTTAAAATTGTTGGAAATGGCCCTGCGACAGCAAGTATGCATGGAATATACAAGAAAAACATATATGAATTGAAATAATAAACTTATCAAAAGAAAAGACAGAACAACTAGTCATCTTGATTTCTTTTTCTCTAAACTAAGGGTTTCCCTGTAAAAATTGAAATCTGAGCTCATCCGCGTGCCTTTCCTTTTGTTGCTGATGAGACTTCAGGCACACGGACTCTCCAATATTATATACAAAACTTAATGCTTAACAAATTAAACCCAAGCCCGACTCTTTTTGCTCTAGCAGGGCCATGACCTGGCCCATAATAGTCTAGTGGGGGCATGGACAGCTTTATGATATGATTTCTGATGCTGGCATCAGTGAACTCAAACTAACCTGGCCCAGGACACACATCTCAAGAATGATTCAGTCTATGGCTCTATAGTTACTGAAGGTTCGAATAATGATCCACCAATTCGTTACACCCTGAGTTTATTCATTTCGTTCTCACAAAAGTGCAAAATAATACAGAAACAAAGTTGAAAAGCACCTCATCAGCTCTTACATTTTAATCTTATGCAAAATCATGGCTGGAGAAATGGATACGTACCACTATGTACTCAGTGACTTCTTCATTAGCAACTATTGAGGCTGATATACGCTTTACAGGCTCAACTGAATATTCTGCTCGAGCATTCCGGATGGCTCTAGTCTAAGAAACACAAAGAAGCAAACTTTAGTGATTTAATTATCCATGTTGACTGACTACATGGAAAAGATACAAGAGATCTAAAAGTGACAGCTAGACTTGGATGTGGAGCCAATAAAGGAGAACCAGGAAGAAAGATTTACTCACCAGAGCCTGTAAATTTTCAAACTTCTTAATCGAGTTGCTCTTCCTTGGAAGTGAAGTCAGTGGCCATGGTGATATTATAAGAGCTTCTTTTCGATATGGGAGTGCCTATATTAAATCAACCATTCATTTTATAATGGAAAATAGAGAAACATTATAGTTAACAGTACAATGGAGGTGAAAACAGAGAAATCTAAATTGAAAGCCTACACTTAAGAGTTAACTATCGTCGCAAAAAGAAGCTAAAAGAGATTCTATCCACATGAATAAAAACATAACCATGCCTAAATTTGTCTTGTGAACAGGCAATGTTAAAGACGTGATCCACTTTCCCCTATATTTAGCACAGAACACACCAATGTGGAGATAAGCATTCAAGGGACTTTCTTCGTAGCAATTAACAGCTATTTAACTTCCCATGAAATATTAAACAAGTGAAAACTTATAACTTAGTGGGAACACCAGCCTTCCAATCATCCTAATTGGCTTAAATGTGAGGTCCAATGGATTATGCATCAACCATTTTCACGAAAAATTACCCAAAGAATGTCTGGACAAAGATATATTGCCGCACTGGCTCTGATTCCAAAGAACCATAATTTATTTGAGACAGCAAATATGATAAATCTTTGAGCTCTAAGTCATTCAAATTCCTTCTAAATTGTAAAATCCCAAGAGAGATCCTAGAAGGAGAATGAGATATTATGGAAGAGATGACATCATAGTGGTTCAAGGATATGACATATAAGCCGAGAAATAAGATAGAAATGACAACTCTGCGAACCAAACATCTTCCAAAAACCTAAATCTATTCCAATTCGCAACAACCAGTTTTAATAAATGAGAAAAGGAAAAAGAATCCTGTCAAATGAATTTCTGAGGACTTCAGAGACACCAAGAATCCTACATATTAGGTATATCATATATGATTATTCTCTATACTATATTATTCTGCATGTAATTATGAATTCTTCCTAGGCAATTTTTCTTGTACGTAATCTTAAGGAGAAGAATAACCTAAGACAATTATCTCCATTCCTTCCCGGTAAAAATCTTTATATGGTTCATGGAGAAACAAAATCACGATTCTTTTTTTTCCATTTAACAAATGAGCCTAAAGAAACCAACAAGGACCTTTTAGGTAGAGAAGTTGAGTTCCACACAAGTGTTGAATACCGTAAATCAATTTACCTGCCAGAGCTCCTCAGTCACAAATGGCATGAAGGGGTGTAGCAATTTAAGTATGTTTTCAAAAACATACAACAGAACTGCCTGTGTGACAGAAGCAACTGAATCACCACTGGAGTGGTAAAGACGAGCTTTACTGGCTTCAATATACCTACATAAGTGAAAGAAATTAACAGTTGGCAAACAGGAACATCAGTACATTTGAGTTAGCAGAAGGTATTAACAAAAAGATTTTTTTTTTTAAAAAGGGCTAAAATTATTTTTTCCTTTCTTTGTTTAATAAGAATCACACTTCCAATGATAAAATAGAACAGTACACTACAGGGGACAAGTTGTCCACTAGTCTAGCTAGGCTACGCAAAATAGAGCTAGACCTCATAATATGACATGACAGCAGACAACTACTCCAATCATAAAATAGACTGATAGTTAAACTCTTAAGAACCGAAGCCCAAAGGGAACCCGAAAAATGAACTCATCCCACAAAAGACCCACCTCCACATCCCTTGCTACCACAAATATTAAGAGTTCGAACTTCTTGAAACAAATATAAATATCCAAACAAATCCCAGCAAATAATTTCTCCCTTTTTGGATTTTTTAATATAAACTTTTGGTAAGAATATCCTGTAATTATCATCCTCATAAATCATACCAGACAGAAACGTTATAAGTTGGCATACAAAGTTAGGCCCAGCTGGTTAGCTGACCTAGTAGAGATTTTCTTGGCACAAAATCAACATGCCAGAAAAATTCCTAACCATAAAACCAATCTGCATTGTTGTCAGCCACAGTAACCAATAAAGGCACACTTTCAGAAAAGACTCTGACCACAAACATAAATTGGGTCTTTTATGATTCAAAGTTTTCTTTGGGGAGGTTCAAAATCCTTTAAGACATATAAGAGATTGGATTACTCTTACATAAAGGAATATATAAAAACTGATCATGCCCAGTCAGGCAAATTTTTTTTTGGACAAGATACCAAGACTTTATTAGAATGTTGTCAAAGTAGTATCCAACACAAAACCAGTTCACCATATCCAATCAATATTGTATATTGTCATGCACCGCTTAGAATTCCTGATATGGGATTCTATATTATCAACGAACCCCCTCACATGTGGTGGGAGATGTGAAGCACAAGCAGGAATTGGACCTGACGTATGGATTTTCCATGAATATCATGTTAAAGTTAGAGTATCCAACCAAGTATCCAACCTAAAACCAATTGGAATTGAGCGGATAGTCCCAAAACATTGTGCAATATTCTCAATAAATGCCTTTGGCGTTGTATTCCTACAGTTTTCATTTTCTATGTAGGAACATAATATAAAGCTTTTGATTATTTTCTGATGGAAAATATTTGAATAAAAATTGCAAACTTACCAATCAGCAAAATCACCCCAAAAAAATTCATATGTCTCTCTTCCTACATCTCCAAAGAAAAATTTGTCATAGCTTGCGGTGACTGTGTCAATAAGCAAATGAAGTTTTGAGATCTGAAAAAGGAAGAAAAGTGAGTGATTAAACAAAGAAGTAAAATCAACGGGCAATTCAAAAACTTAACATGACAATTATCTTACCACCCAACATTCTGGTAAAGGTAGCTTGTCCAAGAGCTCCACTTTGTCAAACTGAAAGAGCATGTCTTGATTTAAGAAGCAATACAAGTAATGATTATCATTCTATAATATTAGTGTAATAACAGCTAAAGTAGAATAAGATCAAAATTTCCAATACTTAATAGAGAAATACAAGATACAATGATGGGCCATGATCTGATATAGCACCAGGTAATTGCAATAATTTCCCATCTCATGGAACATGGAGAGATTGAGTGATTAAGACGTGTATGGAAAATCTATTTAGTTTCCATTCCATGAGACAACCAGCCAGTGTGCTATAGGCGTATTTAACACATTTTATAGAAAGATTCAGAGAGTTAGAAAAGTGAAAAGATATTATGACTTAAAGAAAGATTATGGGGGACAGCAAGTGAGGTAACTTCTAAACAACTTGGAAGATAAGTAGTGTTCGAAATCATTTCATGAATTTTCAATTATAAAATAGTTGCATCAAACACCAACAATACGCTTCTACCCATTTGCTTTGTTTATTGAGAATTCAGTAAATTCATTCAGACACATTCAGACATGATGTGCCACTGTTCAAATTATTTGCAGACAAGTTTGTAATACATAATGAGATTGGAGCTAACTTTAGCGATATGTTCTTGTGGAAAGAGGAAGTTATAACTTTACCGATACATATATGAGATTGGGGCTAATTTTGTGATACAGGAACTTTTCACCATAACAAGAAACTAATCACAGGTGGCGCATTTTCTGGTGAATCCTTAAAAAGAGAGAAAACATCCATTGCTAAGCAGGCAAAAGTATGCAATCTAAGTTTTCTGGTATGACTTGAGATTGAGTTCTGTTTTCATTTAGCCTCTCCCATCCATTCCTTATTCCATGTAGGAAATGACAAAAAGAAAGGAAAAAAAAGTTTCACCGTGAAAAACAAAGAATTCAGCATACCCACAAAGGCTGAAGTTGTAATTTATCTCTATCTAAGCAGGAGCAGTTTCAAGGAAATTGTTTTTAAGCTACTAGGGTGTAAGGAAAGCTTTTAGCTAATGCAAGAATACAGAAAGGAAAACTAACAAGAATTGCTCATTAAGGCTGCAGTACTTCAATCATTTGCTTTTTTCACTTTGTTCAGTAAACACGAGCAGGCACAGACATTCACAAATGAAGACATATGCCATCATTCTCTGTGGTTAATTGAAAAGTAATTCACAAGTGAAGGACTGATACATGCAGACATACCAATACCATCATTCACAAAAACCAAGAGTACAATTTTCCACAAGCAAAGCATTAGCGAATAATTTTCACGATAAAAGTACAAATTGAGAGAACAAAACAAACCTTATAAGAGAGTATATTTTCCCAAGCTGATGCATCATTTTGACTGGGTAAATTCTGCAATACAAACTTTCCAGCATTCCATAGTTTGTTAGTGAAGGCCTTATTTGACGTCAACCTCTCAGTGGATAAATTAAGGTCCTGAAAGAAAAGAATACCAAATCAGCCAGAAAGGCAATTGGTACAAGCTAAGAACCATTAACATGCAAAAGTGGAAGACTGCATACGTATATTTCTGGTCAGCAAGTGAAGTAAAATACAACAATGTCTGTATAAGTGACATGCAGAATTGACGCATAAGTGAAGTCAGAACAAAACAAACCTGACCAGCAGTCCCCAGAGCAATTGTAAATCTTAAAGCATCTGTGCCATATTCCTTGATTGTATCTAAAGGATCTATGACATTCCCCAATGTTTTAGACATCTTTCGACCCTGAAATAATAATTACACAAATTGTTTAATACATCAGAGTATCAAAATTAACATAAAGAGTATACTACAAATGCATTAGAGAATTAATGCTGTAAACAACAAGGAACAAACAAGGTTGCAACAAAGAAACATTTGACCATCCACATTCTTTTTTGTTGTATACTATTTGCATAACCAATTTACATGAATAGTATACAAATGTAAGTAACAAGTAAAACAAAGTACAAAAATAAAAGCTCAGACGACACTAAAACTAGTCATCCACATGGAAAGTAATCTTCACATATTAGCCTAATATCAAACAAGTAACGCAACAGTCTGATAAAGTCTTTCCATACATGAGCACCGGATCACACAAGGAGAACAGCACTCCAAATTAATTGATTACTCTTTTAAACAAACTTCATGTAGACATGCCAAGACATTGCAAGAATAAATAAATAAATTCCACAACTCCTATGCCATTAAAGAATGCAAGAAAAAGTGGTTTATAGATTGGTCCACCACTTGCAAAACATCATTTTGCATAAACACTCATTATTTAAGAATCAATCTTGCACGAATTGTGAAAACCAATTAGCGTCTTCTCAGAAATTTGGTCAGAGACAATCTGGAACATAGAAGAGTAAAAAAAAATCCGCAATCCAAAGGGGAAAACCCAACATATCGTGAAAATAATGTAACCAATAAATTAATAGCATTCAAATAATTAGGAACTTCATCAATAAAGAATTTGGAGGATCCTCACAGTAGGGACGCAAGGGAGTATGGGAATAAATAATTCTACACTCAAGAAACAACTAGTAGTTAAACGGACGAAATTAAATACAATATCAACATTGAAGTAGTAGTATTTATCATGCAATTTCTACTCACTTGTGAATCCCGGATGAGACCATGCAGATAAACATATTTAAATGGAACTGTCCCTGTAAACTCAATTCCCATCATGACCATCCTCACAACCCAAAAGAACAGTATGTCATGCCTGTTCAAACATGCAAGCAACAATATCAACTTCAACAACTTTTCAAGTAAGCAAGTTAGTAATAATAAAGTTAACAAACCTTCCAAACTTTTGCAATAACCTAACCATAATAAATCTACCACTGAAAATAAAAGGTGTTATTAAACTAATTATAATATTACCAAAAACAAATAAAATAAAAGGTGACATGGACACTATCTTATTACTAATAAAATATAAATCATGACCCTGACAACCAAATTTGCAGCACCCAAAAGCAGTTCCATTACCAAATGGTTCCTCAAAAACAGATTTAACTCCTATTCTGCGCCTAAGAAGGCTAATCGTGGCGGTGTAAATTATTTCATTGGTATCAGAGAGAATATTTGTCAATTTTTTCCTAGGAGATGGATTAGCACGCCAAACTGCAATGCAAGGGAAAAACCCATTGCTCACACCCTGAGAATGCCATAGAAAAAGACTTTGCGGCAAACACTCCCATCTTGTTCAACCTCCACAACATCATATCAGTCCTTAATTCTCTCATTTAACAGCATAACAGCGTACAAATGGGAGAGACCTCATCATCCAGCCACCACATCATCAAGGGCAGAAGATGGTCAGACTTGGCAGGCAAAGGAAGGGCAGGTGAGAGAACTGTGGGAAAGCTAGTGTTAGACCAGCTGAGGAAGTAGTGATCTAGAAGCTAGGTACAGAAGGAGAGGTATTTGAGAGGCAGGCAAAGTGGGGTTCTGTAGAAGGCCTGATATACTGCAGTTAAGAGAGAGAGAGAGAGAGAGAGAGAGAGAGAGAGAGAGAGAGAGAGAGAGAGAGAGAGATACAATGGACTACTTATTTGACCAAATTATGATAAAGTTGCAGCAAAAGATGAGAAAACGAGAAAAGATGGACATACCCTGTCTCAAGCATTGTAGTAGGATAAAACCGCTTAAAATCCTCGATTGACTCATCTGGCCACCCAAGAGTACTGAAAGGCCACAGTGCACTGTGAAAAGGGAAAGATTTATTTAGTCAAATTACATAGCATAGCATCTAAATAGGGCACGTTAAATCTCAAATCCTGGAAGTGTTGGCTGGAGTCCTCAAAGTTTAAGGTATATGATATAAACAGAAAATAGTAAAGTCCTTACCAAGGATGAAAATGTCAGTCTCCATGAAAATATTGGCAATTCGGATTTATGGAAATAAATGGAATTTGATTTCAAAGCAAGAAAATTTGTATGAAACATTAGGAAATGCTAAACCAATTAATAATGCATTGATTAAACATGTAAAATTCTATTACAAAATGGATGAAAATAGTGTGTGCCACTGCCATCAACACATACATGAACTTAACACTTGAATTCTATTGCAGAGAAGCTTCTTAATTTCATTGAGCATGATGGAGTATACGCATTCTAATGGATAAATTTGAAATATTCAGTTGTTGTCTTTGCTAATAAGATCAGGTCAAACTTATAACTCCATTAGTCCTGACTTTTCCTACCTCCACTCACCACTTGGGCCAGCCCTAAAATCTAGCCCTAAAATCTTTTTATATTCTACATAGCACACAACATGATAATTTTTTCAGGACCTACTGAAAAATTCGACAGTTTTCATAATTGTAAAAGAATAAAGTGGGACCTTTCATAGTTTCTAGAAAACACATTTCAATAAGTGGCAATCTTGTGAACAACAGACCTTGAAAACCATGTGTCAAGAACATCTGGATCCTGATATATTTTTGTATCTCTTCCATACTTCTTTTGAGCTTTCCGAAGAGCTTCATCCTCACTCCTTGCAACAATATATTCTTCTTCACAGTCTTTACCCACAATGTACCAAACTGGTATTCGATGTCCCCACCACAGTTGTCTGCTTATGCACCAATCCTTAATATTTGATAGCCAGTGATTATAGATCTGTTATTTTAAAAAAGGCACAGGTGTGAGTAAAACAATCTAGCAAATCTTTCTGGGTAAGCCACTACCAATTACAAAGTTAATGTGGTTAAACACTCGTTGCATCAATGCCATAAAGTACTCAATTCGTGATGCAATAAAAAGAATTAGAGGGGTGAAACAAACCAGCACATGGCACATCACATATATCTGTACTCGTGCTGGGAATTGAATATCAGACCCATCGAGCATAGTACTAGTGACTTCCATCACATGCTTAATTGAACTATATGTTATTTAAGAAAACCCTATTTTTCCACTGAAGAATACAAAATGTCAATTGTGTCGCCCTTAAGTTCCTTAAGATTAATAATAAGATTTAAAAATTAAGGATAATTCAGTAAATTAACTCACTATTCATACCTATCTTCTCTCTCGCACAGACTAACTTTTCTCTTTCTACAGTAACAAATGAGGTCACATACTGCATACCTTTTCAAATCTTTCAGGTATGATTTCAAATCTCCTTTTTCAACAGCACGAAGGGCTTTCTCAGCTAAGGGCTCCATCGTTACAAACCACTGCTTGCTTACTAGTGGCTCTATAACCTGATATCCAAAAGAAGGAAAACTATATATAATTAAGAACAAAATCTACATAGAGAATTTATATTAATCTTTTCAGAATTTGGAAGTTGAAATACCAAATGCGAAAAACAATCAACTCACTTCTCCACCACGCTGAGATCTGGGAACTCGTAAAGTGTGTGGTTCTTTCTTTACAGCCAAACCAGTCTCCTCCAGATCTGCCCAAAGTTTCTTGCGGGCCTCAAACCGATCAAGGCCACTAACAGAATCATAGGTTTCATTACCAAATAAAAGATATAAGATTAAAAAAATTCTCCAGTGAATTCAAGTTCAACAATCTAAGAAAACTGAAACAGCATTTACCAGTACAGTCCGGCAACCTTGTTTAGAGTTGCATCCTTGTTCATGACATTAAGTATTGGAAGACCAAGCTTTCTTGCAAGATTGTAATCATTATGATCATGTCCAGGGCTTATCTTCAACACACCGGTGCCAAAGTCTTTATCAACATGCTGCCAGATGAAAAACAATTAAAGTTCCACAGATCAAGTTATTTACCTGGACTTGTATGAGAAGCAGGCACTTAGTTAAAGGGTAATGATTCAACAAAAAGCAAAGTACAATTATCAACAAAACAAATATGTATCTTCCATGGATGTTTTTTTTTAATTTTTCTGATTACAGATGATGGCTTATAAAATAAGTAAAGCAATATAGTCCAGGACTCCAGGCCATTGGCCCACTGTCTGCAGTATAATTTAATATGGCGTAATTTGCATAAAATCCTTAATTCAGTTAGCAGATCAGATATAATTTTCCTAAGGGGAGATATGTTAATTTGAAGCACATAACATGGGGCAGAACAATATGTGGTGCATACACAGCAGGCATTATGAAAGCCCTTCACACTCCAGTTCATGGGTGAGACAAAATTAGAGTACAGCAAGCTACAAACCCAAAACCTTGCCCGGAGTATAAAGCAAAAACATAGCAAGAGTAGAAATCAATCTTCATCTCCTTTAATCAAAACATTATTCCTTTTTACTTTTCATGCGCACAGGATTCTAATTAAAGACAAACTCACTGCAACCACTTTATTGTTCTGCAAGGACATAACCACAAAAATTACTCGTGTTTCTTTTCCTTAGCAGGGAGAATATTGAAAGCTTATTCTGGCAACTTGAACTTTACAGCAAGTGAAAGTACTGAAAATGTTCAGTATCAAGAAAAAAAATGAGCACGCAATTGATATCGGAAACTACGAGGAGGTGAAGAAGTATTCAGGCACAAATAAGGAAAAAAAAACTAATAATCCATAGACCAGGTGAATGACCTGGGTAGAACCTTCGACATGATTCAGAAATTAACTTTAAATTCATCACTACTTTTCCTGAGTTCTAACCTTGCACTCGTTTTCTATCATATTTATTAATTAATGTAATGAAATGCACACAGATCCAGGCCCATTTAATGAGGCTTCCATTAATAAATTCACTCTATTAACTTTCTGCTTCTAAATGTCCCTAGACAATACTATTAGAGCACAATATCTAGTCAGAGATCCCACATCAAGAGTAATTGGCATCATACTAACGATCAAATAAGAACATCAAATACAATGATGATATAGAAAAGTAGTCCGAGATACTTTACCTTGTCAGAGATGATAGGGACATGACGGCCATATGTCAAAGGAACTATAGCCATTCTATTAATATATTTAGAATATCGATCATCCTGCATGACATTGTCAAACATTGGACATTACCAAGAATAAATAAAAATAAAAATAAAATATTTCATTCAGACTAACAGCTATGATAGCAATTGGAGTTCAGAAACATGCAAGTTACTGTCCTTCAGCTAAAAAGAAAAGAAAGAAAAACTATGAAATGGGATAAGGAAAACTCCATTATTTCAAAGCATGGAAAAAGAACATAGCCAAATATTATAGAGACCAACATTGTTCAAGGGAATAACAGCCAAAATGATCCATAGAGGAGGCCCTATTCTTCTTTTCATAACTGGTGTATGTCAAACAAAGCAGCAAGTGAATCATCCAAACATATGTTCCAACATTGTCCTTTTGGGACACATATTTGGAGTAGGTTGCGCTTGCTTTCGACATAGAGGGCTCATTTCGTACCTAGGATTGGATAACTCACTAGATTTAAGGTATGTTGAAGGAGGAAACTGGTTTGGAATTTAAATACTAAGCACTATTCATTAATGTAGCTCTTCACAATAAAGCCTAGGTTTGGAATTTATATAAAAGATTAGGTAAATAGATGTTGATCCCAAAAATCAAAAGTGATGTCTGAAGTTGTAAACCTATCACCTGTCTAAATTGCTTAAGCATTACTTACCATAAAAAATTGTCATCACCTGGTCGATCCATAACTAAACTCCTACAGGATACCAGAAAAAGAAATTTAATCTACCTCAGGATGCACAGCAATAGCTACATCACCAAATAAAGTCTCCGGGCGTGTTGTTGCTATTGTCAGATAGTCAGACCTGAGTACAGGAAGGTACCAATCAGAGTGCATCATAGACACACACCACACACAGCAGCAGAATAAATGAACTTACACAACAAGCATGTTATTGTGGTCAACCGAGTTTATCAAAACCAAAATAAGTATTGGACTGATAAAAGAAATCAGAAGAATTAAGGGCTCCTAAAAATCTTCCAAAATCTTGTAAAGCACAATCATCTTTTTGTTCTTTTATTAGTTGGTTGTCAAATCACAAAATAAACTAGCAAGGTTTGATCTCTGAGAAGTCACAGTTATTGTGTCAACAAGTTTTCTTCTGTTGAGAGATAAAGTTGTTGAGAAGATTAACATAAGATCTGAATACCTTATAAGTTATAACACTAGCAACCATATATGTACATAATATTTTGAATCAGCATACAGTAATAGTACAAGGGAAAGCATGTGCTTCTAAATTCTAGTAGACTGAAAGATTAAGAACACATTTCATAAGGGGATCAGAAATGGTAAGCTGGGAATTACTTTGAGCCTCCAGCTACACGATACTTAATATAATAGAGAGTGCCAGATTCTTCATGATATTCTACTTCCTGATCAAAAATATCAAAGACCACGTCAAATATTGCATTTTAAAACATAAGCTGTATCAAGATTAAAGAGAAACGTCTACATGAAACCAGAAGTAACTTACCAAGTCAGAAACAGCAGTCTGTAGACTAGGAGACCAGTTCACCATGTAAGACCCTTGAGGGAAAAAAAAACACAGTTTTACTTGGCTGCTAGTCACACTTGCTTGTCAATGATAAAGCTACAGGTGACTCTCAACAATCAACTCAAAACATAGAGGGAAAATTTCAGGAAAGAAACAAAAAGTATAAAAATAAGCTGAACATCACTTTAACTGTTATTACTAGAGAAATGCTTGATTCTGTCACCGTAGCAACATAACTGTTGTAGACAGAAGAAAGCTAGTTCTTTACATCTTTACTTTTGCTAAATCCTATTGTTCAGAAGAAAAAACTGTCAAGTTGTTCATAAGTTCATAACTGAAGACTTCAATACACAATATTTGAACAGAAATTCTGACTTACCAGTTTCGTCTCGGATTAATATGTAAATCCTCAATTAATGCAATCCTCTCAAATTTTCGTAAACCCAAAAACCTATCCAACACTATGCTAGTAGTATATTTGCAGTACAAAGATGTCACCATATATTTCCTAAAATGGTCACCCCACATAGAATTAAAGAAAAAGGATCATTTAACAGCAAAACTCAACTAAATATATAGCAACTTATGGTAGACAACCAGCCATCCCCCATATGTTATGATAGCTTAAAGTGAAGGCCTTCAAATAATAACAATAGTTGTCACAAACTAAAGTGCATAATAACAAAAACTATAGACTAAGGGATTCAGTAGCAAAACAAACCCACCTACTAAACTCCATTAAAAAAGGACCAGGCCACAACAAAGCTCTTTAGGAGCTAGGATTATGGAGCAACTTTAAGAGGAACTCGGGGATATACCTTGATAGATTAAGCCTTTCTCATGAAGTCTGACAAAGGCCTCAATGACAGCTCCTGCAAGGAGTAAAAGGATATGAGCCTTGACCGAATAAGCCTTTTCTTTTCATATAAAGTTTCAATCTTTTCGGAGAAAATAATAAAAAAGACAATACAAATATTTACTAGCTTATTACAACATTAGCAACCTTTAAAATTTAACTACCCCTTTACTTAGTCTTTAGCAAGGTTTTGAAAAGTGTTTTTGAGGTGTGCCTTGTGGCAGTGTGTTAAGGCGAGGCACCGGCAAGGGGTAGAGTGGTTTAACAGATTGCACAGAAGGTGTATGTGTCCAGCACTAGGCAGTGCAAGGTGTACAGCTTTGCAACTGAAGTGACACCATGGGAGCTGAAGAATACCTCCCGAAAAAGATGAATCCTGCATGCCCTAACTCTTGCTTTCAAGACAAACGAGGGCATCTGTTCAAGTTGTCTTTTTTCCCCTTTAAACAAAATCACCATTTCACTAAAGGCTCATAGATTTTAAAGAACACTGTAGTTTAAGTTCATGAAGACCTCTATTTCTCACTTTCCATCTCTTTTATTGCTGGCTCTACGATAACTCAGCTTCTAATACTTCTTATACAATTTTATCATTTTCATATTATTTAAATAAAAGTATACATAATTCATGTTCAAAAGGCTTACGCCTCGCCTTTTAAAACATTGGTCCCTATGAACAAACATACGTTTGCATACTTCCCTGGATAATTCATTGATTACTCTATTCCGTAGTTACTACTCATAGGAACTGGACTTTTCCGACTCGTTGACTAATTCTGAAACACTTCCCTAGGCATCATTAAATCTTTTGTTCTGCATGACATACACCCCACCCCAATGACAATGTTGTAAACTATCTCATACATTCTTTCTTGATTGACTAGAGTTCAACCAGATAGAAAAATGCCTTACGACTTAGCTGTTCATCAAGAGTGAAATGCTCTCTATTCCAATCACAAGAAGCGCCAAGTCTTTTGATCTGATTTGTAATGGTTCCACCATACCTGATATAAAAAATAACTAATCTGTTAAGAAATAACAAGCATAATTGGAAATAACAATTTTCAGTTAAACATAAATAAAAGCAGTTCACCTTTTTTCTGGAAATTATATGTAGTATAGTAGATTAGTAAATTGCAAATCTACGCCTATATGGTTCTGTAAATGTTTGAATATACAAGGGAGGATTCAGAACAACAGAATCATAACTGCTACAAGATTTTGATTCAAGGTAATTCTTCAAAAACAGACATGCCTTTTGCATGAATGACTGATTTAAGGTACTTTTCGGTAAAATCTTTAACTGTAATAATCTTCAGAAGCAGATGCTGCATGTATAAATAGTAAGAGTAAGGTGATCATTCTTTTTCTACATTGCTCGGTTGTGAGGGTGGTATTTTGAAGAGAAACGGCAATTTATTAATGTATAAAAGCTAATCACAAAGAGTGGATGAGGAATCCACAATTTGAAGAGAGAAGAGAAAATACAATAAAAGACCACTCAAACAAATATGGAAGTTTGTATTTGCATTGGCTAGCATGGGGTGCATTTACCATAGGATTTCTGAATTACATCAAGAAAATGCATTTTCCAGTATCTTCTTCTCGTCTAGTGGGTCCTTCTGCCAGTCAAGGTTAATTTACCCTTAATTCTCATCGGTTTTCAGCCCTACCTGAATTCAGTCCTTCGATATTTTTCCTTTTATCTATCAATATAATCAGGGTCATAAACAACTAGAAAGCGTTTCTATTTATTTCTGATTGTCTGCCAGTCAATGAAGTCATAAACAATTTAGAGTCGAAACAAAGTGTTTTAATCTTTCAAAAGAAAGTATACATTAGCATCCAGAGATTTCCGTTTCATTCAAGAAAACACAATCTATGTTAGGGAACTTGGCTAAAGGGTATGATAAAGGAAGTGATGAGAGCAGCCTGCTAAACACTGTAAATTCAGTGTCTTAATATCTTTATATTTTCTTAAAAGGACCACTTTTTGTCCCACCTAATGTTAACTTGTGAAATGAGACTTCCATACGATCCTAGCTTGCTTTCAGCATTTTTCATGATGTGCCCACTCTCCAAAAAGTCATCTTTAAATAAAGAAATAACTAGATATTTAGAAGAGATGATGCATAAAACTGCAAGAGAAAACTAATAAGTTCAGGAGATGTGCCATAGACGAAAGTATCTATTTATCAGTGACTCAGTGTACTAGGGCCATCTCAAAAACATCCAGGTCAAAATATGGTTTTCAACCAAAATTGCTTTATAAAGGGCATAACAACCGGTACAAAGAATTCAATGTGTTGCAACAAGGAAACAACAATTTTTCTTTCATGATGTAAAAAATATGAATATGCACAAGTTAATGACGATACAACTCATAATCGAAGAAGGTAGAAAGGATAAACAATGTAAGATAGATAAGCATATATACTTCTCTTTCCACTCCCAAACTCGATTCACAAACTCATCTCGACCCAATTCAACCCTTTTAATTCCTTCAGATGCAAGCATTTTTTCTACAACCAGCTGGTAGGAAAAGAGTAATGGTAGTATGAGCAACAACAAAAAATCAAACTAATATATGCAAGTTACAATTTTAGTACTAAGTCATACCAAAAGTACAAAGTAAGACAAAATCGAAGCCAATGAACAAATATAGAATCAGAAATTGAACATAGAAAGTTAAATCATTAAGAAAATCAAATCTCCAATAAAAAAAAAAAAACAAAAGGGAAAAAGATCAATCAGCCGTTTCAACTCTTCAAGAATTATAAAGGAAGTTGTAATAATGAAAGCAGTTGTAGAACACCGAAAATTGGAAATGAAGATGGTGCGAGGCATAGCAATAAAAATGTGAATCAGTGGAAACACTTGTCTGGAAACATAGGCTTATGGTACAGAGACAAACCTGAGTTGCTATACCAGCATGATCAGTCCCAGGAAGCCAAAGCGTGGGTCTTCCCTTCATACGATGGTATCTAACCATAATGTCCTACAGCAGTAATTAATGAAAAATGAATAGAAGAAATAAGCAGCAGTTGAGTTACAGTTTAGGTTCATCAACAAAAAAAAAAAATTAAGTATGACAAAATGCCAATGCATAAGAACACCTTTCACAACCTCAAGAGTCACAAACATCGCGTGTCCCATGTGCAGGGAACCAGTAACATTTGGAGGCGGCATTGAAATCACAAAAGGATCACTTCCTCGGTCAAGGTTTGGCCTAAAATACCCTTGAGACTCCCACCTAACAATCACATGAGTTCATAAATAATATGCAATGATTTTTACATAACAAATAGATAGTAAGCACTACTTGATCAAATCTGCAAACTGACATGTGAAAATGCAGGAAAAATAAGAATTAAGAACACGTGCATGAAGCAATACAATTTTTTTTTTCTTTTTGGTTAAGATTAGAATGTGTATTTCGTCAGGAATTATTAAAAAGAACCACAAACACTAAATTTAATACGTGCAGATGCAAATACCATTTTGTATAGGCAAAGCATGAAAGTGAAATTTTTATCACCAAGGGACTTAATCTTTAGTTCTAGTGCGGAACAATAATCTAAACAAATTATAACTAGGAACATACTAAAAGGTAATTACCAAGAAAAAGGTGATTCTCTCTTAATTGAGCCACAAGAGACCCATATACTCTGGACACATATGGTTTGTGGATTTTCATAGGAATCAAACATTCAATAATAAGCTCTAATCATGATTACACTGCCAGAGAGATTTGCACACACTGATACGGCATCAATAAGGGGCATGTGGAGTTAAAAGTGTAGATTGGAAAACTAGCCATTTGTTTTATACACCGAAGTACACAAAAGAAAAAAAATCAAAATAATTGACATTAACTTTGAACCTTCGTAAGTCTCAGGACCAGCCCTGCATAATGCACTTCGAAGCATCACTAGAAAACTTGAAAACTAACCACTGAAAGTGCAGACAAGAGACCTTGTTTTTAGGGAATACTTCTTTTTCTTTAAGCCTTGGTTTAGGGAAGCTTCAATATGGAAAGAGTTGGAAAAAGATCTCTGGTGCACTGCACTAGTATCACCTCAAGAAAGATTGGTAATGTGATCACTTCAAGAAAGATGACAAATGTGGACTCCAACCCAAATATTATCCCGGAAACAAAATTTGATAATGACTGAATAGAAGTAAAAGTTTTCCTCAAAAACACTCCAGTTCAACAAATGGGAAAACTCATCTCTGATCCCACCAACAAAAAACTTCAGTTTCAAATTTTTAGATCATTTTTCACATGAATGGAATTTACAAAATAAGGAGTACATTACCATAGTATTCTTCCAGATTAATTTTATTGGATTAGAGGAAGTCAAAAACCAAAAGATATTTTGAAATATTATCTAAATTCTCAGGGGGGCTGATAAATTTTTTGGTTTTAGGATAGGAAACAAAGTAAGTTTATTACTACGAACAAAGAAGCAATACAACAGCAGAGAAGCAGCAGTCCATCAAACATTTACAGTAGAACGATAGCATTGTATCAGACAACATAATAATGGTTAAGGGCTCTGTCCAGAATAATGTACCAATTGTATATCCCTTCTTCTGAAGTAAAATCAAAGGTCTTTGCAATCTCTGGAGAAGTGAACACGCCATTCTCGGAGGCGGCAACTGAAACATAACAAGAAATGATAAATGCATGCACCACCCTCATCACAATGTGACCTAACTGCGACTAGAATGGTTTTGAAAAATTGGAAGTGAAATAAAATAGACAATTTTATAAACCCGACTAGAATGAATAAACTTTAATTAATTCAAATATGTTAATGTTCACGTATTTTATTATTAAGTTCAATTCTCAATACTTTCCAATTGATACATGAAAGCGAAGTTATTTCTGAGTTTTCTCAGCAACCAAACAAAGACTTGGAAGAAGAAGAGAATAATCACCTGCGAAGAGCCTAGGCCTAAGACGATTGAAATGCCAGTAGGAGAGACTACTGCGACGACGTCGTTTGGAGAAGAGAAAAGGATGGAACCTGTGAGCGGAGCACGACGACCAGAGAGAGTGGCCAGGGAAGGTCGTTTGGAGAATCATCGTTTTGATAGAAACTCTTTTGAGGTCGAAAATTCCAGTGAGTGAATGATGATTAAGCATAAACCCTGCTAGGACTTTAGCTACGAAGAAGAAGAAGGGTATTAGTGGCAGAGAAACAGCAGAGTAGTGGATATCACGATATCACTTCGGATGTGGTCGGGGTTCGTTGGGGTGTTTTTTTTTTTTTTTTTTTTTTTTTTTTTATTTATAATTTTTTTTTTTTTTATTTAAGCCAAGTTACAATATCCTCGGTAATTTAGGCAGTATTTAAAAACTCATTTTATGTGACATCTTATACAAAAACTCATATAAAACCTATTTAAAGAGAAAAACTTAAAACTAGCCACTTGTCATTTCCTAATTGGTTTTTGTATATTATGTCATGCTTAAATGGGTTTATTAGTGACATCTTCTTTTTACCTAAAGTTTCATTCTGTTTTCTATTTGTGTACCCATCTTCTCGTTTCAAAAGGTCAATTTTGAATTTGTTTGTTTTTGCTTAACGTGAGCTTGGAGTTTTCAATGTATATTTCAATCTTGATCAAGGTTTTAAATGTCAAGAGTTGTAAAAATATCGGTGGTCCAAAAACACAGAAATATCGATAGTATTGGAAAATCGATATTGATAAAAATTAAATGAAAGAAAATGAAACACACCTTAATAATTTATTTTGATTTTTTTTTACTACAATATTTTAAACTTTATATATTTTATGGTACGATACATGAGTAAATTAATATCACATAGAATTCTTATGAGGTTCAAACTTTTCACGTTCTTCACTAGAAATGGTAGACATTTTTATATTTATCATCAATTGAAAAATAACGAATGATGTAAACCAATTTTATTTGTCATAAAAATTAGGTACTTTATCATGCTTAAAAAATAATAATGAAGGTTAAAGATTAACCAAGAACATAAATAAAATTGTCTAGGGAAGAATTAAATAGGAAATAAAGAAAATGATTATATAGATTTAAATAATTAAGCAACAATTTGAAAGGGAATTGAGTGATGGAAGCAAATGGATTAAATAGGAAAGAAATAAATTATCTTAAGAAATTAAGTATTTGATTAACAATATAAAATAATAAGTAATTATTTTAATTTCTAGTTTGAGAAACAGCTCAAAGAATGTTATAAATACAGAATCTGTTACCTAATAATCACAATTTAAGACATTTTTGAAAGCTCATACCGCGAAAAAATCGATGAAATTTTCAAAAAGATGACGATAAATGGATGGATATATGTTAAAATATTGATGCAAAAAAAAAAACGATTATTTTGCCGAAATTATTGATATTTCATTCCTTCATCTTGATTTTTATAATCATATCATAAACTGATTAAGCTTTGAAATTTCTCATAGTTTGATCTTGAAAACTAATATACGACTAAAGCTCATAATAAAACAAGTTATTTGAATCAATTTAAAGAATTTCAAAGAATAATTTAAAGATGTCATTTACAATCAAAGAAAATCAAGACAGAAAACCAGCACTGCATCCGCTAAAGGCTTATCCCTTCTCATCTTTTCAAATTTTCTTCTAATACAATAAGTTGGTTTCTAAGAGAATAAAAACACAAAATCATCGTCATATCATCCATTCATCCTAGACTATGTTGTTGTGTAAGAAATCAATGAATAAAGAATGAAAATTGAACATGAGCTCCAAGATTTCTCAATTGATCTATTGGTTTTCCTCACAAAAGAACTCATGCCAAATGTGGAGAGTCACGAATTAAAGGCTTTTTGTTATAAGCTAGAAGCAGAGTTCGCCTACCTTCCAAAAACTAATGGCTAGTTTGGCGTTGCTGTGCTTTTAAAAAAAACTGCTTCTGCTGTGTTGCAAGAATAATCAACTGTGAAAAAAAATATGTTAGACATTTGGTAAACTATATTTGAAAAAGTGTTGTAAGTAATCAAAATGTTTGGTAAACTTTTATACAGAAGCACTTTGAGTATGTATAATGACCAAAAAGCCATGAGATGTAAAAATTAGTTGAAAATGAGCCATTAAATGTTAATAAATAAATAAAACTTAATAATAAATTGAAAATAGCCTTAAGTTCTCTTTGAAGACAAGAAACAGGGAAGTGAAAAAAAAAAACAAACAAAACAAAAAGAAGAAGAAAGTGGCACATTTACTCAACTCTCTTCTCTTCTTTGTCTAGCAAATTGCACAGCCCCTTTGGAATTTGTTTTATGTTGGATCGCATACAAACAGAGCAATGAAAGACAAAGGAAAATAGAGGGCTCAACTAAAAGAAAGAAAGAAAGTTTGATGGGGGGTTGGCCACGTTGCATGCACTTTGTGTTTTGTGTTTGTGCGTGCAAACAATCAAAATTAAAGATGGGTTTTGGTGTTTGTAAACAAACAAAACAAAAGATGGGTTGCTTTAAGTACGGGAGAGAGTCTGGTGCAATTGTTCTCCAATTTTATAAGGGCTACAGTTCCTTCACATGTCCAATTCCTTTGCGTCTCTAATTCCTGAAGTCCCAATTGGAGTATGACTGATCCACCTAAAGAATGAGCTTCACACTGGTTTTTTATTTTTTGTCACGAAGACTACAGTTGTGAATCAATTTATTTTCATGGGTCAGTCAAAATAACGAGGCCCGAAACAGATTAATGGGTTCTCAAAATATTTGCCCATTAGTTCTCAAAGGCCCAAAATATTTAATAGGTGATGCAAATAATTACCCATTAAATTTACAGAGGCCCAAATTGCCTATTATATGGTTCATGGATCAATTTTAAAAATCCTCATAGTCATATTTGGGTCCAAGTGCAAATGACAATTTTAGAAAATTAGTGGAAGAGGTGGGGCCTTGGCTACCAAAAGGGCTTCACGTTGTGAGTGGCGACTGGTGTATTTGACCACCGTAGCATAACAACTCTAGGCACCAAGTTGGTCGCCTTGCACTGTGCCCGTGTCATGGAGAGTAGGGAATTTTAGCATCAGCATGTGTGTAGAAATGAATACCCTCATTTGTGCTAAAGTTGGGTGTCTAAGGATGACGTTATAGGCAGTGGGACAATCAACGATCAGAAAATGAGTGGTAACCGTGGTCTGCTAAGGTGCCGAACCGATTGAGATCCAAAGGTGGATGCTCTCTATAGGTTGGACAACATCTCTGGAAAAACTCACGATGGGCATGATAAGTTTATGGTGTTAATTAGTATGAGGAAGGGTATCGGATGGCGAAGATTTGTGGTGTTGAGGAGGTGGTAGTGGATAAGTTTCGCATTCTCTAAAAGCTTCGGAATGGTAAGGCTTCCAATCCTCAGGGTGATAAGTTTCCCAATTGTCAGAATCACCAACCTCCTCCTAGAAAGGGAGATAAGTAGGCTTCGGCGAAGCTCTGAGATGTGATCTTGTAATTCTTGTAAATCTATAGGAATCGAGATGGGCTTTGGTCAAAGCTCTGATATGCAATCCCTGCAATCCTTGTAAATCTTGGTTGGGGAATTAGGTCGGTCTTTTGGTGGGGAAATTTGAAGAAGTCATGACATTGTTGCTTCAGGATGAATGTGGCATTTGCCTTTGTCAGGCCTAGGCTGCGTTGGAGCACTGTGAAAGGAGACGACCAGCTGGTTCAGCAGGGTGTGCTCGATACCTTGGGTGGTGTCATGTTGGGTGAGTTGGTGGTGAGTATTCTCCCAATTACGCTTCAAGGTTCAACAGTCATGCTCTAACTCGACATTTTTGGTACAGAGAATGTCGCTGCTTTCCATCAATTTGTCAATGTCAGCACAAACTCGCTCCACTTCGACCTAGAGGTGCATGTCAGTTGAAGGTTTCCTTTTAGAGGACTCCACATGGGGGGTATGGTATTGAGTGTCAAGGCTAGAGTCGCTCAGCATTTTGAAGTGTAATAAACTGAAGAGGCGACAGGGTCGGATAAGTGAAAGAGCCAGCAAAACTAGTAGAGGTGTGAGATTCAAAAGTTGGGTTCCCACAGACAGCGCTAAATTGTTGATGCCTGAAATCGAGTGTCAACTTAGATGAAAGAAGTACGGGACCTTCAGCAGGATAAGCAGTTGTGGACCTTTGGCAAGAAGAGATCCTACAAGAGAAATAAGGAGGAAGCAATCGTTAAAGGTCCGGGAACCGATGTGGTACCTGACGAAGGCTCTCTGATACATAAGTCAGCAAGTGTGGGATGTACAGTAATTTTGGCAGAGTAACAGTAGAGGTGAAAAGTAGTTCCCCCCTTTTACTTGGGTATTATTCCTCTTTTATAGAGAGGTGAAAGTGGGAATTTACAAAAAGTTTCAATGTGGGACTTTGTGCAAATCACTATAGTGGTGACATGTGTCCAAGTTTTAGGTTTTGTAGCTTAGAGCTTCGACAATCGTCTTCGGGTGACAACCGCCGCTTCGAAGGAGAGGTCTTCAGTAGCTGGGATCATGATGGTGCTATCAGTTTTACCTTTTTCATGTTATGGGTCTAGTTGTGCTTCGGTCCTCTAGTGTCGAATGTACTCGGTTAATTGGGATATAAACATAGACAATTCTAGAACAAAAAAATAGCATGATTCTCAACTTTATCGTATTAATCTTGTTGTCCACACGGTACCTGGTGATTCTCAACAACACATGGTGCCTCTTTATCATCTGCTTTTGCTGTTGGCACTTCAAACACCAGAGGTAAGGACTTAGATGAAATACCCTCGGTGGTTGGTGCTGCTGCCTACGGCGGGAGTATTTGGGAAGATGAACAACAGCCTAACTTTCACCTATTCAAGGAGGAAGATATCTCAAAAACAGTTGTCCAATTCAAATTAAAACTACTAGTTTTGACTCATGAGAAGACTAAAGAGTTATTAAAATTTAAAATTCGTGAGCATATGAACAATGGTGTAGAGCTACTGGGGCTTCTCAACCGACATACTAACCTTGCACCTTTGGATAGCGATCTTATTAATGAACTACCCATCAAGGTTACAACTCTGGAGAAGGTACACCCAAAGTCTGAAGAGGCTTTTCAACAATGGGAGGTATGTATTAATTATATACCTTAATTTTTGAACTATAGCTCCTTATTTATTACCCCCAACCTGTTCATTTTAATTTGCATTGGTTGGTTCAATCACACATCAGTTTAACTGAATCATTATGTTATATATATTAAGGTATCGGTGGTTCTTTGTATTCGGCAATTAGGAGTGTTTGCCTGGACAGACCGTCAGCAAACACGTGCCTACTCATTTCAATCGATAGGTCTTTGGTCATACCTTTTTGTTGTGTTGAGTTTGGTGCTTGCATGTGCTTGTTATATGAATTGTCATGCTGCCGAAACGGTAAAATTGAACTAATCGTATTTTTTTTTTGGTAGGTTCTGTGAAGTGCTGACTATCAAATTAGAGGGAGGAAAAGATAGAGTTGGTGAGGATACTGGTTTAGGCAGAAAGGCGAGAGTTCATGACTTTGTTGATGCCGAATCTCTTGCTTGAATTGGGGTTGCTGCAAGAAAGTAAGTTGTGTTTGTTTGGTGTCTTTGTTTGGTACATATATATTATTGACTAACTTCTTGTTTGTCGGTATGGCAGTGGCAAGGATTCTGAAAGGGGTGACTACAGTGGAGTAGTCACCAAAGGTGGTGAAGATTGATGAAGAGAAGAAGCAATCGAAGCTCACGAAGAGGCAGGATAAGTAAAAGGCTGTTAGGGCCAAAAAGGCAGAAGAGAGGCAGGCCAAAGGCCTAAATGGCAGGTCGTGCTGTCGGTAAGTGGACTCGGGATGATGACGACAAGTTGGTGGCAGCAACCTTAGACAATAAGAGGAAGGGGTTGGAAGCGGCCATTCGAGACATCATGGCAAGTCAGGGTACCTCCGTTTAATGTAGAGCCCCTGCCGAAGCTTCCGCTCGGCATATAGGAGTTACTAGACAACTCATTAAAAAATTTAGCATCATAAGTCATATGATCAAAAGCACCAGTGTCAATTATCCAAGTATTGGAGCCAGTACCTAGAATAGAATCAGAAACACACAATTTTGCAGAAGAAGCAGCAACAGCACCAACAATAGAGTTATCACACATGATTGACTTAACAAAATATAAAGTCTCATATAATAAATGGTTCCACCCCTAATAACATCGAGGCCTTTTGTATAATGTTTGCAGCACCAATACTTTGTTACTTGATTCCTCTATATCTAATCCTTTGCCTCCAATTTCTTTGGCAAGAATTCCCTTGACAAATATTGACTACCTTTCAAACTCAAATTCTCAATATTTATAATCTTTCCGATCTTCAACATTTTTTCTATATCACTAACCCAATTTTTGTCATTCGTCACAAACTGTTGTTTCAAAAAGCTATTTGTTGTAGAGACATTAGTCCCTTCCAATGGTATGTCTCATGGATGAACTTCATATTTGTCTATATTTGACGGCCTCAGACCCAACCATTTAATGTTTGGAGTGGCTAAGTCACGACTATCAAATGATTTCCTAACTGAACCATATTTGTAATAAAAGAAATATGTGAAGTCCAGATGGATTGCAATCCACAATGGCTAGCACTGAAAGCTTTAACCCATAATAAAGCTTTTTCAAGAATAACTTGGTAGCTCTGTGACCAAATTCTTTTTCGGTCACCATAATGCAACGAGCCTCCTTATGAAAATTATCCTTAACGAAATGAGTAAACACAGTATTCTTCTCAACAAATAAGATGAATAATGCCTCATGGTTCTTGAAATTATCTACTATATGTTCACAAGACGGGATACGTAAGGCAAACAAAGAGCAATCAAAAAGAGAATTGTTGCACCTGAAGCTAAATAGACCAATAATCTCACCGTGTGAGTCAACGAAGACCATGAGATTCGGCCTTGTGCAGCCAATCATGCAACATATGTCATCAATTACTCTATCTGAACCGCACTCAGTCCCAAACAGCTTATAATCAACATAAAAAACCTCACGCTTCTTTATGTGTTGGTTATTGATGAAGCAGCGTTCATGGATGATCAACAAAACCAAAAATGTACGTATGCATAAGCCTTGTGACTTCTATTAGACTACGAACGTGTTATTGCATGTCTCGTCAGCAACCTACGACATAACTCATCGTTGAAAACCGTGCGGGTTGAACTTCTAGAAGGCACAATGAACTTGAAGTCCTTCTTAACTAGGATGGATCCCAGGGTATCATGGATTAGTTCTTGTAATTTCTTTTGTACAAATTCTACGAAAAGATCATACACATCAACAAATTCTTTTTTTTCTTGTAGTGATAAATCTCGAATACGGTCATAATTCAATTTCATAGCCTTAAACTGTTTTTGGTTCCTAGAGCTCAACCCCAGTTCTTTTGTGCTGATCTTAAGCTTTGTATTTTGAGAAAATTTTCCTCTCCAAATCTAAGTGGCGTGATAATATAGATTGGAGTATCATTGTGTTTGATTTTACTTGTTGAAGAATACACGAATCCCACATCGGAAACTTAACAAAATAGAAAGTCTAATATAAGCAAAATTGCTTATTTAACGATGCGCTGCTTATAAGCAAAATTGCACATTTGGGCCTGGTCACTAAGCTCGTTGATGAGGTCCAGGTTGAGGGCCAATTGCTCGTCATTTGCTTCAGCATCATATGCTGATGTTTAGTGGAAGGGCTGACCAATCTCTACTGGTACAACAGATTCGGTACCGAAGGAAATAAAGAGAGGCGTTTCTCCAATAGAAGTGTAAAAAGTGGTGCGATAAGACCATAAGACCTCTGGAAGTAGGTCATGCCAATAATCTTTGGCTTTGTCAAGCTTTGTCTTCAAAGTCTTTTTTATGATATTGTTCACAGCTTTTACCTGGCCATGGGACTGGGGATTGGCCAGAGAAGCGAAGTAAAGATGGATCTTAAGGTTGGAGCAAAATTGCTTAAATTTGGTGTTATCAAATTGTCAGCTATTGTTCGTGACAATTGTCTAAGGTATGCCAAAGCGACATACGATATTTTGCTAAACGAAGCGAGTAATTGTGATGGTAGCTAGGGCTTCAGCATGTTATAAGCCTAGCTATGTACTGATAGTTGGGATCATGATGGTGCCATCAGTTTTACCTCCGGCATGTTATAGGCCTAGTTGCACCCCTGTCTTCTAGTGTCGAATGAACTCGGTTGATTGTGGTATAAACATAGACAATTCTAGAACAAAAAATAGCCTGAATTTAAAAAGTAACAATGTGCTTTTCTTGTTGTCTGATCAAAGGTTTCTTGCGAAACTCTTAATCAAGAATAATAGGGAACACAATGACTATGGAGAATGAAATAGAATCGAATAAAAACTGATTGATTAATTCATTCTAACAGTCAATTTATATACGGAATGAGTTTTCTAAAAATGGAAAACTAAAAATAACAATTGATTTTAAACCTTACGTCATGTATGGTTTAAAAAGTTTAATTAATATAAACCTTTAAGTTTGAGCGGTTTCAAATCCATTAGGTTTGAACCGCAAACTTTTAATGGGTTTATAATAATTAAATAAAATGATAATTAAGTAACATAATATGATATGGATTTAATATCATATTGTATTACGTACAGAAGATCCACCGGGATCATGGCTCCCCATTTTAGGGAAGCTCAAGCTCCTGCGAAAGCTAAAACTGCAAATGAGTGAACTCTTGAATTCCTTTTTCCTTGAAAAACCATTTTGACTTGGTTGGCAACTACCCTTTTCTTCCAATGTGATAGGATTCTATTTGACCACATCAAGTCATAGTGGCCTTTTTCTCAAGATTGCAGTCTGCCGTCAATAGGTCTTCCCTCTCAAACCATAGATTGTCTAGCGGGGGAAGTCGAGAATCCTTTACGTCTTCATCATCATCCAATAATGATGGCTTAAAGGGTTTTAAATACTTGGCATTTATTACTGAATACATCTGCATATAAGGTGGCAGCTCAAGTCGAAATGCATTCTCTCCAATCTTTATACAAGATCTTGAATGACCCATATTGAATTAGCTTTAATTTCCTTCCTACACCATGTAATCTTTCCTTGTTGAGTTTTAACCAAACCAGATCACCTGCTTTGAAGTCATGCTGGAACCTATGTTTGTCATGTCGCGCTTTATATCGTTGTTGTGACTTATGTAATTGCTCCTCAACTTCTTTATGGATCTTCGAAATGCACTCCAACAGTCGTTGTGCTTTTAGCCTATCATCATTTTCTTCTCCATTTTGTTTGTCACCAACTGAAAAGACTATATCAAATGGACTCGAAGGTAGATAGCCCAAACAGACTTCGAAATGTGACTTCAAAGTAGAACTATGAATTGCCCTATTAAAGGCAAATTGTAAATAAGGTAAACTCGCATCCCGAGTATGAGGATGCTTAGAGTTATATCCTCTCAATAGATGAACCATGGTCCGTTTACCACTTCTGTTTGTCCATCCATTTGAGGATGAAAAGTAGTACTATGTTTTAACTTTGTGTCCATCAATCCCCATAAAAACTTCCAAAAGAGACCAAGAAATCTGTTATCTCGATCCGAAATGATAGAAGTAGGTAACCCGAAATGTTTCCAAACACGGTGGAAAAACAACTTTGCGGCACGTTCTCCTGAGATTGTCTTCTGACAAGGAATTAAGATCACCATTTTGCTGAATCTGTCCACCACAACAAACAAGTAATCAAGCTCAATAGTAGTTGTAGGCAAACCACCCAAGAAATCCATTGAGATACCTTCCCAAGGTCTATTTGGAACTGGAAGTGGTGTGTACAACCCCAACTTCCTCGATGGTTTTGAGGTGTTGCATAACATGCAACCTCGAATAAAATGATAAACATCCACATGCATCTGAGGCCAATAGACATAACATTGTAGATTGAGGAGGGTTTTGTCAACTCCAAAGTGACATGCACATCTAGAAGTATGAGACTCCCTGATCCACTGCATTCGGTCTCCATTGTTGGGGATGCATAATTGTTTTCCCTTGAACATTAAGCCATCCTTCATTTGAAATTGGAATGGCTTCCCACGTTGTAGCTTATCAAAGAACATTTTGAATTCTTGATCACTATCATAACTTGTTACATACTTAGAAAGTACCGCAGGTTGGAGTTGCATAGCCACCAATAAAGCGGAATGTCCTGGAGGTCTAGACAACATATCTGCCAACTTGTTTGTAACCCATTTCTTGTACTTGATAATGATGTTGAATTGTTGCAAGTAGGACATCCACTTCATGTGTCGAGCTTGCTGCAACTTGGACTGTGTCTGTAAGTACTATAAATGCTTGTGGTCTGAGTGCACTATCACTTCCTTACCTAATAAGTAGCATCTCCAATGTTTCACACACTGGTGTAAGGAAAACAACTCCTTATCGTAGGTAGGATAATTTCGCACTGCAGCATTGAACATCTCAAAATAATACTCAACTAGCTTCCCATCTTGCTTCAAAATGCCACCCAATGTGTAATTACTCGCATCTGTTTCTACCTCAAATGATCTTTGCAAATTGGACAAAACTAAAACTGAAGCTTTTGAGATATTCTTTTTAAGCAATCTAAAGGTATCTTCATGTTTATCTAACCATTCAAACTTTCTTCCTGCCTTAGTCAATTCAAATAATGGCCCAAAAATTTGAGAAAAATGGCGGATAAACTTACTTAGATACTGACAAGCTCTCATAAAGCTACGTACTTCAGTTACTGTACAAGGTCTAGGCCAATCTGTAATAGCTTGCACCTTGGACAGATCAACTTTCAATTCTTCGTCACCAACTATAAAACCAAGATACACAAGAGAACTCTTCCCAAACTCGCAATTCTTCAGATTCAGTCATAACTGATATTACCTTAATGTCTTCAACACTTTCTCAACATGAATCAAATGTTCTTCCCAAGTAGGACTAAACACCAAGATATCGTCCAAGTAAACAATGACAAAATCATCAATGTATGAACAAAGTACCTCATTCATGAGACGCATAAATGTTGCCGGAGCATTGCATAAACCAAACGGCATCTGTAGCCACTCGTAGAGGCCCTGTTTGGTTTTGAATGCGGTTTTCCATGTATCTTCTTCTTTGATTCTGAATTGATGATAACCAGACTTCAAATCTAGTTTGGTGAACCATCGAGCTGACTGTAGTTGATCCATTAAATCATCTATCCTCGATAATGGATACCGGTTTTTAATAGTGACTTTTTTGAGCGCCCAAAAATCAATACACATACGCCAACTGCCATCTTTCTTTGGGACCAACAATATTGGGGATCCACAAGGTGAGCAGCTTGGCTTCAATACTCCTTGCTCTATGAGCTCTTTGACTTGTCTCTTGATTTCTTTGCTCTCCTGCACTGAATGACAATACATACCAAAATTAGGCAATGAAGATTCTCCAACGAGTTGTATCTCATGCTTTACTGGGAGCTGTGGTGGTAAGCCTTCAACATTATCAAACAAGTCTGAGAATTGGAATTGTAACTCCTCCATATCAAGTTTATGTCTAGGAGTAAGTATCATAGTAGATAACACATATGTAGATGGGGTGTTTTCTCGTGGTCGAACCACTAGTAAGACGAACTTCCCACAAGCATTCACCATCCCTTTAGCTTGATTAGCACTAATCAAACTATTACTCAAGGAAACTTTGCTGGCATGAATGAAGTACTCTACTCCATCCTTCAGAAATCTATACTTTTGATGTCATTGATAGAACACTGCATCACGATCCCACAAGTATGGACTACCAAAAATTACTTGGCATACATCCAATGGTACTACCTCACAAGTCACTTCGTCAATGTATTCTCTAGTACATTTTCGAGTAATCTGTGACTTAACATCTTTCTGTATCCATCCCAACGGGTATGGGTTAGGATGAGGAGTGGTTGTTAACCGCAACTTCCGGATTAATGCCTCTAAAATGAGATTCTTTTGGCTTCCCGGATCAATTATAGTGTTTATCAAATCGTGCTTTACCTGTATATGAACATTAAACAGGTCTTCACGACCTTTAGGATGAACAAGTTTCTGGGTCATGAGAGTCAACTTCGTGTCGGGTTGCACCATTTCTGGAATCTCCACAGTCTTGTTAGCATTCAATGCTCTTTTAAGATCTTTTTGGTTACTTCTTTTCTCTTTTCTTTCTCCCTAAGCTCAGGATGAATAACGTAACATGTTTCTTTACTATGACCTGACTTGTTGCAATGCTCACAGTTTGTCTGCTTCTTTCCAGAACTTTGCTCCCTATTTTTACTACTGCTACTCCCAACTTCAAATTTCCTTGAATCCTTCTTGTCCTCCTTTTTGTCCACTTTCTTGTTCTTTGATTCGATGGCAATTGTCATTACTATTGCCTCTTCAAAGTCTTCAACCTTGAACAATCACAACTCTTTGCGAATATACACTTGCAAGCCCCCAATAAACTTCATAAGGAGTTCATGGTCTTCCAAGTCTAGGTCCAACACCATAGCCTGATTTTGAGACTCAGCTTCATAATCTTGTACCAACTATCCAAAACTCTGCCTCAAATGCTGCCACTTGAACCATCTATCATCTTCGAAGCCAACAGGGTAAAACTGCTTTCTTATGGCTCGCTTAAACTTTTTCCACGTCATAGTCGTTATACTATAACGTTTGTTATAAGCCTTCCACCATGTCAAAGCATTCTTGGTTAACTTTAACGTTGCAACGTTGATCTTCTGACGATTATTATACTCATAAATTGTATAATAAGTTTCTAACTGGTCTATCCAATTATCCAACTTCTCGGTATTGATTTCACCATCATTCGCTGGAATATCAATCTTAACATCAATTTTAAGACCATTCATAGAAGTTTTGGACTTACCAGCTTTATCAGCATCTAATTCCTTCTCTTGGCTTTGACCTGCACCAAACTCCTCTTCAGTCTCCTCTTCCTCATCGGAATCTTCCTTTTCACTAAATTGCACCTTTTTCTTAACTTTGGATGTTTAAGTTCTTGAGGTCTTCCTCCTGGAATCTTCGGGAATCTCATCTTGAGGTTTGCATGCAAGATCTTCCACCAACTTTGCCATCATTAGAGTCATTTTCTCTATTTGTTGCGCCAACGACGCAATCTTAGCATCGGTTCCTTCTCCTTCTGCCATTGCTTTCTTCTTCTTTTGTCGAAGAGCTTTTTCTGAAATTAATGGTCCAACAAGTTCTTCACCCGAAACCTCGATTTGTTTGCGAGTTGAGACCATAAACCACAGGCTACAACAGAATCTGTTCGCTCTAATACCACTTGATCAAAGGTTTCTTGTGGAACTCTTAATCAAGAATAATAAACACAATGACTATGGAGAATGGAATAGAATCGAATAAAAACTGATTGATTAATTCATTCTAATAGTCGATTTATATACAAAATGAGTTTTCTATAAATGAAAACTAAAAATAACAATTGATTTTAAACCTTACGTCATGTATGGTTTAAAAAGTTTAATTAATATAAACCTTTAAGTTTGAGCGGTTTCAAATCCATTAGGTTTGAACAGAAAACTTTTAATGGGTTTATAATAATTAAATAAAATGATAATTAAGTAACATAATATGATATGGATTTAATGTCATATTGTATTACGTACGGAAGATCCACCTGGATCATTGTCCATACTTGGTGCTTATCAACTGTTATCTTATTAATCTTTTCTTATATTAATTGTTGTACCAATTTTAATTTACATATTTTGATACAACATGTGGTGTCTCTTCATCATCTGCTTTTGCTGCTAGTCCTTCAAACACCGGGGGTGGGGACTTGGACAAACACCTTCCATGGTTGCTGCTATTGCCTATAGCGGGACTATTTTGGAAGAGAGACAACAACCTAACTTTCACCTATTCAAGGAGGAAGATCTCTAAAAATAACTATCTAGTTCAAATTTAAACTACTAGTTTTGAAACGTGAGAAGACTAAAGAGTTATTAAAATTTAAAATTCGTGAGCATAGGAACATCAATATGGTGCTACTGAGGCTTCTCAACCGACATACTAACCTTGGACCTTTGGATAGCGATCTTATTAATGAGCTACCGATCAAGATTACAATTCTGCATAAGGTACACCCAAAGTTTGAAAAGGCTTTTCAACAATGGGAGGTATGTATTAATTATATACCTTAATTTTTTAACTATAGTTCATTTTAATTTGTATTGGTTGATTCAATCACACATCAGTTTAATTGAATCATTATGTTATATATATATATATATATTAAGGTATAATATATTCTTATCCAATTAATATTAATATTATAGCCAATAAATTAATTATTGTAATTATCTTAATTAGCGCTGGACCTTTTTATTATTATTATTTATTAAGTTCTAGCATTGGACTTGGAGGTAGATAAATTAATTATTGTAATTATGTTAATTAGCGCATGTCCTCGCTTTTTAATTCCAAGATGTGAAATGAAAAGCAAACTCTTGCATGAACAGAGATTTGATTTTCCAGAAATTAAAACATATGTTATTAAATCATTTTTGTTTGAAGACAACTTAATTATTTTCAAAAGTGTACTTGTAAATCATGAAGATTGGGTTCAATCCTCGAATTTGGTGACTTTGATACAAGTGAGGATTAAACACAGATACTGTTGATGAAGATTTAATAGTAAGATATGAATCAATTTATTATATGTGATCAATTGGCCTATTGCTTGATTGTGCATTATAGTTAGAGTGCTACTATTTTAATCAAAATGTAAAATTAACTAAATACACCCTATTTAACTACCAAAATACACAACATCCTAATATCAATCCTAAACTAGGTTTCTCTTTTTACATGAATTTGTGTCCTCTTTTCAGATTTTGGGTTTGCATCAAAATCTTTAATTTCGTAAGTTGTTGTGGGAGTAGATTTGCTAACTCCTTCAATTCGAAGCTTGAATCTTGTAAATCCTTGTGATTTTCTTCGAAATATGTGGAGGGGACTCAAACATCTCTGTCAAATTACTAGCTAAATGCATCATCACCAGTATGAAATCCTTGAGAATTTTGGATGCTTCCAAGTTAGAAGAAAAGTTTAAACCCTGGGATTTTAAAGTCATCCACTTCAACTTTATTGTATGGATGATGTTGAGCTAAGAAGTCAGACTGGAACAAACTTTTTCATTCAAATATGGCTACCCATCTTTTGCATCATGAAGAATCAAGTACATGGAGAAACGCTGACACTTGTCTTTCTCGTGTTTGTAAGGAAGCTCTAAGCCTTTGAAGCATCAAAGGCCCTTAAAATTATACGAAAACTTCTCTACGTTTGATTAGGGTTGAATATGATGAGTACAGTGTACTTATTAAAATTATATTTATTTCACAATTCTATATATCCTTTTTTGTCATTTTATATTAGAGTAAATTAGTAATTCAATAAATACTTTAGTAGTAAGATGTACTCAGTTAATTTTAGGGTTCGTTTAGCAGCACTCTTATAGTTATCACAACACCTAATGAGTAGGAAAATATAGATTTGATGAACTCAGAGAGTTTTTACTTCTTATTATATGGTCCTGATTTTTTGGTATTGGAATTTGACAGGGAGAGCAAAAATGGTTAAAGAGGCTTGTTCATGAAAATTTCCTCCATCCTCTTTGTACTCTAGTTATAATTTCATGTATGGCTTCGATAGTTCTTTCAATACTGTGTTTGTCGTGTATCTATCAATTGAACAAGGAAGCTTGAGATATATCCTCGCCAGCAACAATGTCACTTTATCTTGGGACAACCAAATCTCCATAGTTGTTCAAGTGGTGAGGGGACTGGCTTTTTTGCATAGTGTGCCAATGGGATTTATACCCTGTTTTAAGGATGCTAATATCCTCCTAGGCCGGGTATTTAAATTCATTTTTTATATCTCAATTAACTATACATATATATATATATATATATATTATATTAGGATTACCCTTAATTATATTAACTAACTGTGTTTTGTTTATTTTTTGCAGGATTTTAATGTCAAACTGTCAGGTTTTGGCATGAAAAGTTTGGGGCACAAATCTAGGAATATACTCCCACGTGTGCTGTATTTACCTCCCGAGTATCCTCATCCTGGTAATTAAGAAACTTTTTTCCTACAGAAATCAATTTAGCTTTTCCTGTTTATTAATTGTGGTTTTTTCCTACTTTCTCATTGTACTTAATTAAATCTTTTTGCTCTATTAATAAATCTAAAATTTCAAAAGAAAAAAATACACTTAATATTTAATTAGTGCAAAAATGTGTGTGTGCTCTTAATTTGAGTCACCGTACTAAATTCTTTGTTAGTCCAATGTTGAAAATTACTGTAGTCTAGCAAATGTTTTCCATTACACATGAATCTGAGAAAGAAATAGGTGTGAGAAAAAACCATTGTTTTTTCAATCAATCTCATAAGCTTAATTAAGGGAGACAAGGGTATAGTTAGTGCTTAATGATTGCTAAAAACTAATTAATCTCATTAATTGACCCTCACTCATCACTCTGCAATAAATAATACATATTTTTTTTCGCAAAAGAAGGTATTCAAATTTGAAATATATATTAAGGTAATGTGTTGGACTCTCTCTCCCTAGTATTTACTATTGGCATATTGCATGATACAATGTTATAAAATCTTGAGAATTTTTCTTTTGGAAAACAATCTGTCACGATGCATCATGCATGCTTGATGGGAGTTGGTTTCCTCGGAGAATCTAATCTTGTAGGCAAGCTAAGCAGGTTCGGAATCAAACAGGGCTGGCTGTAGATAACAACAGCAATTCCAAAACTACTGCAACACAATGACGGGTGCATACATAAATTAGTCAAATTAAAAAATTCAAATTCTTGCATATCAAATAGGAAATACATAAATAAATCTCAAATAGAGTGTGACCAACTGTCATCACCACAACAAGATCCAAAACGTTAACGTCCAAATAAATAAATAATGAGACACTAGAGTCCAAGCCAGATCAAAAGGAATAACTTTGAGCTATGGAAATTGACACCTTAAACGGCATCTTTACTTCTTTAATCTCTCCTATATCATTAGTTTATAACTTCCCACAAGGCCACCGTTCACCCAACAATCAATATCAACAAGGAATTCTGGTCTTCCAATCAATGGCTCTTTTCTCAACCATTCCAAGCTATGAAAACTCACTCCTCCTCAGAAACCCTAATATTGGTCTCAACAAAAGTCCTAGACCTAGAACATCAAATGGTAGCCTCAGGCTCATTTCCTTGAAGATTAGGGCCACTCGTACACAAGTTGCTGACTCATCTTCAGTCCAACCATTGCTCACCAAACCACTTGAAATTACCCAATTGCCCATATTCCAATTTGATGAGTACCTGTCCATGAAGGCAAAGAAGGTGGAGCAAGCTTTGAATGAGGCTGTGCCTTTGCAATACCCCAAGAAAATCCATAGGGCAATGAGGTACTCACTTTTAGCCGGCGGAAAGCGTGTGCGTCCAGTTCTATGCCTTGCTTCGTGTGAATTAGTTGGAGGGGATCAGTCTCTTGCAATCCCAACAGCTTGTGCCGTTGAAATGATCCACACCATGTCACTTATTCATGATGATCTTCCTTGCATGGACAACGACGATCTTCGTCGCGGAAAGCCCACAAACCACAAGGCTTTTGGGGAAGAAACCGCTATTTTAGCCGGTGATGCCCTCCTCTCCCTTGCCTTTGAGCACATAGCGGCTAAGACCACAAAAGTGGTCTCCCCTGAACGCGTGGTTCGGGCCATTGCCGAGCTTGGTTCAGCCGTAGGGTCATCAGGCCTCGTGGCGGGTCAAATTGTCGACGTTTTGAGTGAAGGTAAAGAAGTGACACTAGAAGAATTGGAGTACATACATGTGCATAAAACCGCGAAGCTCCTTGAGGCTTCGGTGGTTTGCGGGGCAATAATTGGAGGAGGGAATGAAGGTGAGGTAGAGAGGATGAGGAAGTATGCAAGGTGCATAGGGTTGTTGTTTCAAGTTGTTGACGACATTTTGGATGTGACAAAGTCGTCGAAGGAATTGGGAAAGACGGCTGGGAAGGACTTGGCAAGCGATAAGGCGACATATCCAAAGCTCATGGGCATTGAAGGGGCAAAGAATTTTGCTGCTAAGTTGGTGGCTCAAGCAATAGAAGAGCTTGCTCATTTTGATGCTGCTATGGCTGCCCCATTATATTGTTTAGCCAACTACATTGCCAATAGACAGACTTAGAGGAGCAATTAACAAAGACTGCATGCGCTTCCTTTATTTAATTTTTCTGAACTTCTTGGTGGGTTTTCGCCTATAGTGATTAGTGTCTAAGCAGTAAATATATATGTGTGGAATTGTTTTACATTATGATATTTTACATGTGTAGTAGTGAACAGTGTAATATATACTATAATATTTGTGAAGAAGTATGGCTAGATAGGGCAAAACTCTTGTCCTTTATGGTGTGCTTGCAGACCTGTTGCTGTGTCTACTAGATTAATTAATCATTATTTATAAGAAAAGAAACCTGACTGCAAAAATATCTCATAATTCTAAATAATGAGATTAATATCTCATAATTTAATTAGCCATATATGGCAAAGCAAACAGCTATTTTTCTAATTCATGGGGGGTGTTAGTTGGATTAGCTTAGGCCTTTGGTGTGCTCTCAAGTGGTCTTAGGTTCAAACTCCCGCAGTACCCATGTGAATCTCACCCCTCTCTCTTCCTAACTTTGGCAACAAAAAAACCACAGCTATATTTCTGGGATATATATTTGTTGTGGTAGTAGATGCCATCTCTAGTAAGAAATCAATAGAGAAGAACAAACTACAAAACTGTTGTCTCATTGAAAAAAACACTGAAGAATTACACGAGTAAAATTACATAACACAGAAAAGTTTAAATAAAGATTTTCCTACAAGGAAAAGACAATATCATGGATACAATACAACAGCAATTATATAAGCGATATTGAGGGGGAATTTGAACACAAGACCTTAGGGTGTAGGGGTAACTACTTTTAATCACTTGAGCTACAAGTCACTTGTCATTAATTCTTAAGTTAGAAATATATGAAATTGACTTGTGATTTCGATCACACTTAAGGTAAGCAAGCACAACGCGATTCATGACCCTTCCTAATTCAATGCGATTTCTTCTTTTCTTGACTTCTGCAATCTTTTCCTTGATGCCTATATTGACGCAACAACCACTCTGTTTCCAAGACAACTCGCAACAGGATATCCTGCAGTTAACAATCAACATCAGAAAACACCAACTCTACCAGCCAATAGCTATTGGCTGGTTCAAGGATAACATGAGTGCAAAACAATACAAGTTTCTAGGGACATCAGCCCTTTGATAAGTGGACAGTATAGCTTAACCATACAAAATGAAACTAAATACTAAGATAACACCCAAAACACCAAACATTCATCAAAGAGCAAGATATTTCAGCAACAAAATTTGAAGTGAACATCAAAAATAATTTAAACAAACAAAGGTCTTCTGACACCAAGCATGCCTCTATGGATATCAAAGCCATAATACGACTATGGGGCGCATCGTTTACAGAGAAAAAAACTGCATTGAAAAAAGAGCCGTAATTAGATATATAAGCAAATGACTTGCTCTGGCTAAGCAAAAGGAACTCATCTACTTCCCATTGTCCTCCAGAGACACTCGCTGAGGCACCAAATCTGTACTAGATACGACATCTAGCAACAATTTAAAGACAACAATAATATGTTCAGAAAAATCATCAAATAAAGTACAATAAAAGAGTCCCACATGATATATTGCATATTCTCATAGTAACAAGAAAAGTCCTGCATGAACCTTAATCTTCCTGGTTAGATAATCTGTTTCATCGCTTTCTTCCACCACGCTCTCTTAATGAAAGAGTAAGTGTTTCTCCTGCTCCGACATTGTAATATGCAAGCGACATATTGTCCTTGAGAAAACCAGGTTTTCCACTCAGTTTCTGCTTGTTTGCAGGAAGCTGGGTCTCCTCAGAAATTTTTTCTTTCAGACTTCCAACATTTTCAGATAAAGACTGCACCATAATCTCCAAAAGTTGTCCCTTCAGATTACCTTCACCAACATTGGGGACGGATACTGTGATGTGGACAGGTCCCGAATGCTGTGCCAAAAACTGATCTTCTGGAATAAGCGTAGAATCATCAAGCTTCTGCCGCTTTGGCGCAGGTTCTTCTGGAAGTGGTGGTGGAGGCATCCCCTGAGGCAAAGGTGGTGGTGGCATCATCTGTATTGTAGGTGGAGGAACAGCAAGGGGGTTATAAGCTCGGGGAACTTGCATGACTGTAAACTGAGAACCGGGTGGGGGTGGTCTAACTGATTGATATTGGACAACTGGGGGTCTAGACAGAGGAGGAGCTGCAGGACCAGGAAGGTTCCTTGCATCATTGTTAAGGACATGATTTTCTGTGCTGCTAGTGCTTCCAGTGTGACCATCCCGGATGACCTGTTGTGGTTGCTCATATTTCTTTCTTTCAACCTCAGCCTTGACAGCGTCAGAAACTTCTTCCTCTGTGGTACCGAAAATGTCAGGGCGGGTTCGTGCAAGGCCCAGTATGTTTCTTGAGATTTCGTCATCCTGAGCAAGCGTAGTCTCCCGAAGCTTAGCAAACATCCTTTCTTTCTGCTCTTGATATTTTGGATCAATCAGAGAAATCCTCATGTGTTCAGACATCTCATTGATAGAGATAAGCTCCCCAGTGATTGGAGAAATGACATACTTTGTTGGGTCTCTTTGGGCAAGGATCCTGTCCTCGGGTCTCTTCCAATTGTTCACAATTCTCAGCGGTGGTTCTGGATCCTCTGTCATGAAGCCCTCCTCAACAAGTTGCATCTCTTCTTCATCCATTTCCATTTCCACCTGCTCACCAGGCTGAACAATATCTTCTTCCATATCTGTGTCCTTGCTTCTCCTTATAACCTCGTCAAGGGCCATTGGAGGAGGTAAATCCTCGACCTCATCATCAGCAAAGTTTATTGTTTCAACCACAGAAAAATCATACCAATCAATCATAGCCATTTGTATCCTTTCCTGCTCAATCTCATCTTCAGCCTTCTGCTTTGCCTGCTCTTGTGAACGTTCCCACTCCAGCCGATGCACACACTTTTCAAGCACAGTTTCCATGTCTGCAACACTTTTCTTAAGCTTCTCTGTCAAACCCTTGGGCGGCATCACCACCTTCGAATACGCATCTACAAGAGAAGAGAAAAACGTGAACATTCTGTGGGTAGGAATCATCAGAAAATGGAACTGGGGGTTATTGATTTCCCTGTTTACCAATCCTGTCAAAAACGATTTCCCATTTCGAGCCACGTACTGGGCTGTGAGCATAATAATATCCAACTCTTCCCCAGTAATTCCTTGAGGAAGCCGAACAGTATACTCCTCAGCTTCGGGTGTTTCGAGCACTTTGAGCACTGGTTTAAACTGGGCAGAGGGATCTGCAGCAGAAGCTGCAGGCTGCTGCAAAGAAGGTTGCTGCTGCTGTTGCTGTTGCTGTCCAGAAGACTGATTTTGAGCACAGAACTCAAGCAAGCGATGCTGATAGTATGCGTGAAAAGGGCTTGAGGAAATCAAAAAGTTGAACTTTTGATTTCCAGCATTCTCAGCAACGACCCTTTTCTCAAATCCGGGTCCGTTCTTTGCCACGAATTCGGCAGTTTTGTCCAGAACGATTCTGATTTCTAGGGGAGGATGAATGATCCCAATAGCCCTAGTATGCGTCGAAACTGAAGAAGAAGAAGAAGAAGACAAGTTGGTTGTGGTTTTGGTTTTGGTTTTGCTCACCTCCTCACCCAATTGCTTCTCATCCTTCACTTGGGATGCTGGAATAGGACCAAGGTTTCCGTCATCAGGAGGAACCGCTAATGGCAAAAAGGAACCCATCTGATCTGAGCTGAGCACCATTTACAAGAGAGAGAGAGAGAGAGAGAGCGCGAGAGAGAGAGAGCGAGAGAGAGATTGTGCTTGTGCCTGGGTTTTATGGAAGAGAGGGACTTAGTCCTTGTACTTATAGGTATGGGAAAGCCTTAACCTAATAGTATTGGACTTTGTTTTTTTGTTGGATAAGGATTGGATGGACGTTACCTGTATGACTTCAGTTTTGACTTTAGCGTCAAACTAGTTTTTCTATTCTTCTTTTTTCTTTTTCTTTTTTCTTTGCACAGATTTTTTTTCCTTCCTCTTTTGATTGAAAGATATCAGCACAAGATTTTGCTAATAAGTGGAGGAAGAAGAAGGTGGCTAATTGAAGTTCTTTTCTTTTTTTGGGTCGAAGTTCCAATTCATTGTAATCCTCCAAAAAGGTAGAGAATAGAACAAATAAAGCTAGCCAGAAAATCAACAGGAAACAAACATGAACAAATCTAGTTAAAACCATTACAGTATAGCATGAAGATCATGTTTCCAAGCAAAAAAATTGATAGTAGCTAATTGAAGTTCAAACTCAAAGGAATCATATAAATTTGGGAGATTATTATGCCCAATATATGGGCTCAAATTATAAATAAATAAAAATCTCATATGAAATGGACTTTAGAAACACACTTAATGCCCATTTACAACATAACAAAAAAGCTTTGAACTTCCTATAAATTACAAAACTGCCATCAATTTCTTAAAACAAACCCAACCCCAAAACCTCATTAAAAAAACCTCAAAACACTCAATAGGGTATCAAAGTAATTTAATAATCAAAATTAAATTCAATAGGATTAGCTATTATTTTTTGAATTTTTTTTATAGAAATTAAATGATATTATCTATATCACTAGAATGAGTATATAACTAAATATCTCTATAAACTTCCATTGGCATCGCTCTTTCTTCCCAAAAGGCAAAAGAAAAAAATATGTGCATTGGAAGAAAAAAAGAAAACTAATTTTACTTGATTTGTTGAGAATTGAATTTTTTTGCAAACATGGGGGATTTTCCATTACATACAAAGTTCAACGTCAATTAAGAAAATTTTTTTAACTCAAAGCTTGATGATGTGGCATCTCTTAAGCAATTAGATTATTAGAAAGACTTGAATGTAGCGAAATACGGATAAATACACAGGCTTAGAATCCGTATAGATACCTGAATAATTTATCATAATTTTCAGTCACTTGCCCTTTTTTATATTTCCCCATAGTTGCCATGAGACTTATTCTAATTTATGGAAAAGTTATACTTGAGAAATAATAAGTCCTAAGTTTTCCTTATAAATTGGCTTCTTTAAGCCCTAAGATGGTAAGAAGATGGGTAAAAATTGAAGGCAAAAAATAGAGTGCTGCTATTTTCAATTTTTCATAGACTAATAATAAAGAGAGCTTTCATTTTAAAACACTATATAGTTTACTAATTTGGAATATAAAAATATAATTTCACCTAATTAGCATAAGGCCAAAGACCAAAAAGCAGTACCCAATTTTACAATAAGGTAATTTAAAAACATCAAAATTACAAATAATGCCACTCCTTTTAAGTCATGACCAATTCTATTGCCCTTTATGCACCCTTAAAATATATATATATATATATATTATGTGTGATGCCTCCCATCGCGGGGGACCAACTCCCTTGCAATATTCACCTTAAAAAAATATAAGATTTTGTGTGATTGAAGGGACTTGAACCTTGATCGTCAAAGGAGAAAGCCTCATTCACAAACCACTACACCAAACTTATTTTTGTGATATTTATTCAGTTAAACAATTTTTATATAAACAACCAACGGTTTAAAAATATATATATATATATATATTCATTTCAACACCAATTCGCGCAACATTTGTATCAAATCCCTCATGCGGTAGAGTTATACATAACAAAACAATGTATATATCAATGATGTAAATAAAAACAAAAAATGCAACAAAAAGAAAAACCAATTCTATAGAAATATAAACTGCAATACATTGTGTTAATAATGATCAATCTGCAATCTAAAAGGCAAAGTCATCATGAAAACAAGCAACTAAACTAAGTCTAAAATCCATTAATGACACAATTGTATAATTTCCATTAACTTCAAAAATCAGTGCAATGCAATTTGTGCAAAATTGCAATGTAGTTCGTGGAAAAATGAGCGGTTCTTTTTTCATAATGTAAGTGATTAAAGCATTATATTGAACTAAAGTACGCAAAACTTGCAGGCATAAATTGAACTACAAGAAACATGAGGTAGATATTTCATACCTCCCAAGGTGCTACGCTTTTCATGTAGGAAGGAAGACCAAAAACTACATGACAAAACTTAAGAACAAACAACCTAAACAAATCAAAGCAAAAAATAAAAATATAAACTCTAGTGCAACACATAAAAAAACAACAGCCTAAAGAAATCAAAACAACAACTTAAATCAAAACAAAATATAATCAAAAACCAAAAATAATCAACAAAATAATACCAAAATTATAAACAAACAAGAGATTCATTATTGAAAAAAAAAAACTATATTTCATCAAATCAGATATAATTGTTAATGTTTATAAGATTCTACTTCCAATGCTAGGAAATGATAAAACTATTTAGCCAATTGTTAATTAAATGGAAACTGCAATGTAGCATGTGCAAAACTGCAACGCAACACCTGTCTGAAAATTCATCAACTAGTAAGGATAGACCTAAACCAATCAAAGCAGCAACTAAAAACAAAAAAATTCATGCCAACAGCTAGTAAGAAACAACCAAAACTAATAAATCACATAATCGAATTAGAAACTGCAATGCAGCACCTAGTAAGTCACATCCCAAAATAACTAAAAACCAAAAACTACATGACCGCATCTAGTAAAAAGAGACCTAACCCAATCAAATCAGCAACTAAAAACCAAAAAATACGTGCCAACAACTAGTAAGAAACAACCAAAACCAATAAAATCATATAATCAAATTAGAAACTGCAATACAACACCTAGTAAGCCACATCCCAAAATAACTAAAAACAAAAAACTACATGACCGCAACTAGTAAAAAGAGACGTAAACCAATCAAATCAGCACCTAAAAACCAAAAAATTCATGCCATCAACTAGAAAGAAACAACCAAAACCAGTAAAATCATATAATCAAATTAGAAATTGCAACGCAGCACCTAGAGAGAGAGAGAGAGAGAGAGATTGGTTGGTTTTTTTTTTTTTTTTTTTTCTAACTTTATTTATGTGTAATCTGAACTTTTTTGTTTCTTATTATTTTTAATTAATTTAAATGTGACAATCGTAGATTTAAATAATGTTTTTAAAAAAAATGATAAGTATATGTTGTGTGGTTGAATTTGTTTTTCTAAAAAAAAGTATTGGTTTTATTATCATGTTCCTTTTTGGCATTATACATAATAAAAGCACTTTTGATAAAACTTTACCAAACACTTTAATTACTCACATCACTTCTTCAAATGTCATTTACCAAATGTCTAACTACTTTATTTCACAGTTGATTATTCTTGCAATACAGTATAATTTTTTTTTTTTTTTTTTTTTTTTTTTTTTTTTTAAATTTGGTTAGCAGTTAGATCAAATTAGTTAGTTTAATCTAACAGTCAAGAGATAGAATCTCAACTAAGGGTCTTAGGTGTTTGTAAGCCTCAGGCCATTGTTTAACATTTTTCAATTAGGCTTTAGTCCCCTTTTTTCTTTTTTCTTTTTTCAAAAAGAACATAGATTATTAAACAAGTTTATAACATTCTAATTAAGCCCAAATCAGGATTTTGTGCGTGGTCTCTTGCGTTTTTTTTTAATTTAAAAAAAAATCAGTTTTACAATTTTTTTGTTTAAAAAAAAATTATTCGAAAGGCCTTAAATTGCCGAAGTTGCTGGCGAATTGGTGGCTCAAGCATTTGAAGAGCTTGCTCGCTTCGATGCTGTTAGGGGTGCTCCACTATATTATTTAGCTGACTTGATCTATCGCTTGTATTAAAGATGGCGAATTTTCAAGTGAGGATGTTTTGCATGAGCGCTATATGTACTGTTGTCTAATTTAATGAGTTCAGTCCGGATATTTTTAAGTTCGCCAAATATTGAGCGAACATTTAAATAATCCAATCCAATGCGAGACACCAAATGCGTCCAAATACTTTGTTTTAAAATGAGATATTTTGTTAAGTTGTTAGTTAAGCGACAAAGTTTTGATGTTTGGTTTAGTTTACATTTCAGTATCATTATAAATTTGGAATGACAATTGTTGTCCTAGGATGTACCCCTAAGATAATATGCGGGTGAAGCCCTTAGCAAGCAACTATGAGACCATGTTAGTTGAACTGGTTTGTGCATGTGTTATATTAAACTACTTTAAACCATTAATTCATCGATTGCTTAAGCTACTACCCCTATGAGGTCAATCATTGCAAACCTGTTTAAGCTACCTTGAAGAATTGCATGCCCAAAATGACCTCTGTTTTTGGGTCGAAGTTCGGAGGGGGGGGAAGGGGAAGGCTTTATTGGGATTCGAATCTAAACCATTGATCTGCAAGCAAATGCTCTTACCTCTGAGCTATGGACCTGTTGGCCCCAAAATGACATGTTTACATCTTTTTGTTGTTATTGAAATAATTAAACAGTATTAACCTTATATGGCAATAATTCAGCTCAACAATAAGAACCGAAAAAGAAAATGTACAAAGGGATGCAACTGCTTCACAAAAGCAACCTACAACGTCAGAAAATTTATTTGCGGTATGTCTATCGAAATAAGGAGACAGCAGCAACCCAAGGGCACAAGGCTCAAGCTTTCCCCTATTCTAGTTGCCTTCGTAAAGAATCCATGACAGCCAAAGTCTCTCCATATGTTGGAGGAGTTGTTTACTTTTTGCATTTTTGTACTATCATTTTTGTACTAGAAGACGAGTTGTTGCCCGATGGCATTCAAACAGACAAAAATTTTGGTTTAGCCTCTGCCTACTGTGATTCACTGAGCTTTTTGTAGCGAACAGAAAGGAAAAAAAAAAGTTCGGTATAGTTGAGATATTCCATTTTTTGGATTAACATTTGAAAACGCCAAGTAGTAATTCTTACACATCTACGTGAGGAGTTCTGAAATTACTATACCAGTAATACACTCCAAATTCTAAACACCAGATATACAAACTCGTTCTTTTTCTTCCTTTTTTTTTGCTATCTATGAACTCATTGTACTCTCTTGTTTCACAGTAAGAAAATGAAATCCAACATAGAAGGCAATAATAGAGGAATTCATTTGATTAAGGTACAGAACAGGTGAAGGTAAGGTATGTACCTAAGGTGTCCCACAGAAAGAGAACAGCAAGACAATTTTAACCCAAGACTTTCGGCCGCCAACCCGCAATGACGTCTTCTTTCAGGGCACTAGTTTTGACGAATGAATCCAGTGAGAATAAACTCTGCATATCAGAAATTCATCAGTATTAGGAACATAGAACATTATCTGGTAAAAAGGGGTAGTAGTCCTTGCACAAACATGTTTACATAAAACTGCTTCTGCATTGTTAATGTCATCCAATTTTGTATCCTATAGATTTACTTTTCAATCAACAATACGATCTCTTGTTCATTACAAGTGGAAGCTTGTTAGCTACATATCACATACCTTCGTGTAAGACTTCACATATGGAAGGGAATCTGGAACTGACCAATCTTTAAAATGCTCCAAAGCAATCTCTAGATGATACAACTTGGGTCCAAGTGAAAAATCTACAGCAGAAACCTTCTTCCCATTGATGAAAGGACCCTGATATAAATAAAAAGATAAACGTCAAAATATCCATTCAATTTGGTTTTTAAAAACATGCCTGTACAAGAAGACATCAAACTTCACAAGTTATGTATGCATCAAGGGACCATTACATTACACAGAAAGACCACATCATAAATTTGATTTCTTATTTTGGTAAATGAGAATTTATTAACTGCATCCCGAATTGTCCCTTACATCATAAATTTGTTTTTAATCATAAGTTTTAGCCATTAATGGTTGAATCCAATATGGATGAAGTAGGAAAATAATTCTAAGATACCAACTGATGGAGGACAGAGAGAGAAGCTGAAAGAAAATAAGAAAAAAAATAAAAGAACAGAGGAAGTAGAAGCCTCACATTTTCTTTGAGATAATCATTGAAAGAGCTAAGTTCATTTAGCAATGCTTGTTCTGTTCCATCTTTGGGGTCTTTGCTCTTAAGGAACCCAATAAATGTGGAGAAGATCTTAGACCCACTGCGAAGAACAACCAAAATTGCTTCTCATAGCGCTTTGAAAAGTATTCTGAGCTAATGATATTATGGCAAGCCAAAAAAGTCGAAACTAGAATAAATAAATAAATAATTAAAAGTATTGAGTAACAAACAAACAAACTGGAGGCCAACTTAACATGAGATATTTCACTAAACAGCAACAACACATCAGGTATATAAATTTGGTGACTGCAATGTTACAGCACGGTATTAATTATGATGGCAACTTCTTATTGACTGCATATAGTAACGTATTCAGCATAAGCAACATTAAAGTCCAGAAAAGACTACCATGGATGCTCAGATATTTAATACTTCAGCTTCCAGTTCATATTAGCAAAATCATTATCAGACTGCCTCTATTGAAGGAATACATACGGCTTCCATTGACCAAAAGCACATTCGGAATTTCAGACCAAACTCTTACTCCAAGATCAAGAATAGATGCAGAAAGAAACACACCATCAAAAGACAAGATTTTACGTGATTCATCCCAAATTGGGATACGTCTCTGGACGATCACAATGATCCACTAATGTTGAAAGGATAAGATTACAAACCCAAAGAATTTAATAGGTTCTTCCAACCACATTAACTAATCTCCCACTCCTCTCAACGTTACTCGACAGAGAATCTCAATCACAATCAAAGGATCACAATTGCTCGATCTTGCTAGGTTTTTCTCTCAATTGGTTTATCTAAACCTTACAAGAGATAAAACAAGCATCCCGACAACCTAAGAAGGACAAAGCTCTGCAAGACCTATTTAAAGGCTCACTAAAACCCTAAAACTGATTAGGAAACGTCATAAAGTCATAATACAACTAACAGAATGAGATAGGTACCAAACAGGACTCAAAAATGCATCAAAACTAAAACAGGAAAGCTAAAACCACATGGCATGCTCCAGCTTCCCTCAAGACTTCCCTTGGAACATCGAGCTTCGTCAATTTACCCTCTGGACGCTGAAGCACCAATTATCAAGCTTGTAATATTGGAGCCCTTCTCCAATAATTTCGAGCCACAGCCTCAACAATTCTCTTCTGCCTAACTTATTTAATGCCACAATCAAAGTGGGAACTTCTTACTCAAGCTCTCAAAACTCAAGGATGAATTTTGTCCCCTCCAATTAGGGGAAAATGATGAAGACAACAAGAAGCTCAAGAAAAAGCAAACTCAAAGACCAAAATATCTTAAATTTTAGTTTAATTTTTACATTGGACCTGATTTCCTATTGCTCAACATACATATCTAAGTTAGTTACTGTAAGAATATAAAATAAATGTCAGACCCTACCAGCTTAAACTTTTGGGAATACTGGTTATCAACAAACATTTTCAAAGTAAGAGTTGGGGATCCTAAGTTAGAATCCCAGCAATTGTAAGTCCACGTTTTGGACACTAATAATGAAGAGAGACCCCATATGAGAGGGAATGTTAGAATTTAAAATAAACATCAGCTGCATTCAAACAGCTTAAACTTTTGCAATAGTGATAGACCAACAAACTCAATCGTTACATTCTTGCCTTTAGGTCGATTTTAGTTTGTGAGTTTAAAAAGGTAGGGGTGTTCATTTGTAACATGTTTTTTAGGAATTTCATTCTCACCAAAAAACAAATAAATAAAAATCCTTTTCTTGCTTTAGTTAGATAGTTCCTACAGACTTTTGCATAGGTTCTCCTGCTTGCATACTCCTTGTGCGGTTGGGTAGACAACACATTTGGATATTTTTGATAAATTTACTTCTAAGAGAAAACAACTACCCGTGTTAGAGTTCAAAATGAAAACAAAAATCCATTATGACATTTTTCCCCTTTTCTCTCGCCATTAGGCTGTACTTCAAGCCATAACATATGTCTTAGCAATGAGTAAAACTATCAGAAATTCATAGTACTGGATATGTAGCATACACTGAAGCCTTCTCAGGGGGGACTGCCAAAGGTGGATCTGGATACTTTTCTTCCAAAGCTTGTGTGATAACATCTGAATCTGCAACCCATTTCTCATTCAGATTTATCACAGGTACTTTACCTTCTGGATTAATCTTTAAGAACCTAAACACAGAAACAAAATAAAGAAACTCATAGAACTCAAAAGATGAAACAAAATATAAGCAGATATTTGCACTTTAATCTTTGTGCACTAGGGCATAGCTAAGTGACAATTTTTCCACAACACCGAATGAAATTTAATCCCAGATAAATTCGGAAAATCACCACTCTGGCTTGTTAGCCAAGTCCACCAACTTCAGGTCATAAGGGAGATTCTTTTCCTCTAGAGTCAGCAACACCCTTTGACAAAATGGACCTAGGAGAGACAATTAAACAATCAATCATTCGCGCCCATGATTTAAATGCACCACTAAAAGTACAGTGACAAATTAAACAATTTCCCACCTCAACAATTATAAACCACTATGCAACAATGAAAGCAATATGAGAATTTAAATAAACACTGATATCAGACGTTTCCTGCCATCTTATAAACTCTTCAATGCCTATCAGAATATCAGTTTTTCTTTGGTTAAATTTGATTCCATAACCTGCACTCTCAAACTCATTATACCCCTCAGTCTATGTATTAAAGCTCCAAGGTAAAGATAGCCTCTTTTCACATAATGTCCATAATTTCTATAACCACAAATTCCCAATCCTTCACATTCATTTTTTCTTCCTCCAACACACAGATAAACACAACTTATTAAGTAAAAACGAACACAAGTAAAGAGAAAGAGGCTTTTCACTACAACATGTTTCACAAAATTTTCAGTTTATATGAATTTGGCGCCTTATGTGCGCTGACACTGCAATGCTACGAAATCTGCCACCTGGGTACTCTACAAAAGGCTAAACCTAGAAAGACCCCGTTGAAAATTTTTCATTTTCCGGCAGTTTCTGGGAGACCAAACAGCACCAGACTTTTTATTTTCCTTTATCAAACAGAAACAGACTTACAGTCGCCGAGTTTGTTGGGGACAGTGACGGAGGCTTTGGCGCAAACTTCAAAAGGGGCAGCCGCTGCCACAGTGAGGGTTCTTATGGTTCCGCGACGCCTGACGGAGTTGGGATTGGTTCTGAAAACGACGGCGTTTGGAGGGGGTCGGAGGAGGTGGTGTTTGATGGTGGAGGAGAACACTGTAGAGGCTGCGGGATGAATTCTGGCGGTCGTCGACATTGCTATATCTATATGTATCTAAAGCTTACCGTGGAGATGAGGATCTTGTTGCCTTCTATTGTAGAAGTGAGGAAGAGTGCCAGTGGTTTAACGACACAGAGCTTTTCCGTACAGCCAAGTTTGTGCACCAGAAAATTCCAACTTTTTTTTTTTTTTTTTTTTTTTAAATTATATAAACATTCTATAAAGGAGGATGAGGCTTCAATAGAAGAAAAGAAAAAGGGAAGGTATTTTCCCCCTTTTTCTCTTATACGCATGGTATGTTACCCTTTACATGATTCTTGGTATAAACATTTTTATTTTCGTGTAATTGACCCATAGTAATGTAATAACTACTTACTTTTGGGAAGACTTGTGCTACTCTCTTTTTTTGTCCGAAATTTCTTCTTTTCGAGATTTTTTTTATGGTAAGATTTTAACCAGGTCACTCTACGACTCCTTCTCCTGTTGATAATTGGTTGTACTATTTGTTTATCAGTTGCTAATGAAATTATTCCATCTGGACAAAAAAAACTACAATTCTTAACTTTTATTTAAAGCCTTTGGGAAAAGAAAAAAGTGTAAAACTAAATCAAAGGGCTAGAAGAATGTGTGAAACTAATTGTGAGTAGCACATTGTCAGTGTAAGGTATGTGCTACAAAACTTACCACCTACTGTTGCTCACTCATTTTGGAAGTAGCTTTTTCAGGTAAGATATATGTTTTGAAAGCCAATTCGAACCAAGGTTTTTTGTGATTACCAAGGGTGTGTGCGAGAGACTTCCTCTTCATTGCTCTAGATATTGTCGTTAAAAGAAAAGATTTCTAGATATTTGCTCCAAAAATCTGTTTGGTAAGCCCATTTTTAAAAATCCAAACCCAAAAAAATAAATAAATAACACCCATATTATTAAAAACAAAAAATTGAGGTTTTACTTCTCTCTCTCTCTCTCTTGCACCACCAAAATTGATAGGGTTTATGCCTCACATCTTTTTTCTTTTCTTTTGTTAATTTCAATTTGGGGATTAGGGTTTTAATTTTTAATTAAAAACAGTTTGGAGTTCAATAACAAAAAGTTTTTAGATCTTAAAATCACTATTTGAACATATTTTAAATTTATTTTTTGAGTAGGATACCAGACAAGCCCTTAATATTTTAACAATTTTTTTTATTGTTCATCATGTAGCAATTATAAATGTGATTTTCCATGTAATTAATGTATTGATCCAAGCTTCGAGCTATTTACTTTTTAGGTACATCATAATACAAACATCATACTTTAAAAGATTATTCAACTTAAAAATCATTTATTCAACGAATCGTTACTAATGAATGTAGACATCATCTTGTAATGTGCCAAATGTTCATTGTTTAGGTCACTTTAAAGTGATCATGTTCCATGATGACCGAATGGTTAGACAATTTCTCACTTAGGAGGTGTATTCAATTGAGATTTAAAAAGATTTTAAAGAAATTTAGAAGTCCGAGTGTATTCAATCATGATTGAAGACCTAAAAATACACAGTTTGGATTGTTATCCAACATATGTTTGGGTCAACAAAACAAGCCCAAAAGAGATCAAACACAAAGAGAAAAAAGCTCATGACAGCCCAAAAAAGCGGACTTGGGCCTACTTAGCCAATATTTTTATTTTTTCTGGGAACATGGTCAACCCAACAATCTGGAACTTTCTTTTACTAATAAAAAGAGGATGTACTTTCTTTCTTTCAATTTTATTTGTGTATTAGTTAATTTACTCCCATATGCTTGGGTTTTAATAAGAAATATTATTTTATGCACTGCAGATTGCTTCAGTTGCCATAGAAGGGTATGCCAGGCTTTATTGAGGGAAAGTTGTTTGTGTCTCAAATGAGCCAGCCTGACCGTAAAGAGCGGGCTGTCATTTGTGGAAGAGGAAATGGATACTAGAAAAGTTTTAGTTGACCCTTATGGCCCAAAAATTTGGATTAGAGAAGGGCCCAAAATCAATTTTGCTTACTTTCCTTTGCATTTTTTGGGATACACGTGATAATCTAAACTCACACATGCACTATGAAGGTGTCATGAGAGTTCAAACTTGAAACTACTAGACTTTTCCACTAGGTTAGACCTCGTTGACACCCTTTGCATTTTTTTAATACCAACGATTAGGAAACAAAGGAATCGAACATGAATCTAGGTATATGAATCTATCCTCATAACAACTTAAGTTACAAATTTCTTGTCACAATCTTTTTTGCAGTTGAATTTGGATGTATCTGCCTCAGCTTAATAAATAAGTAATAGTTTTCCATTATAAAAAAAAAAGTAAGTTAATAGTAAGTTTAATGAGTTAACTAGTGTATGGGAGTTCTAGCAACAGAAAGAAGTAAGGTATGTTGGGTAGTTTGCAAAAATTCATTAATGTCCTAACTGTTCCAACTTGATTTTCGAGAAAGTGGAAACAAAAATCACCTCCACTCCTGCTTTCCCAAACTGTTGTCGTTGATAGCGAATTTCTCAAATAATCGCGTTCTCTTCTTTTTACCAAACACGCTGACACACACATCACTTTCAAAGAAAGTGATTTTCCCCTAAATAATCAATGTCAAACGAGTACTTAGGGCCAGTTTGGCATTGCTGTGCTGTGAAAATAATCGCTGTCAGATTTGCTGTGAGAGAAATCAGCTGTGAAAGAAAGCAGTTTGGCGTTTGGTAAAATTTTTGTTAAAAGTGTTGTTGGTATTGATTTTACTCAAAATCAGAAAATAATTGCTGCATAATCATTAAACCCAACACCTCTTCAAAACTGATTCCTGCATAATGAGAAAATGAAAGCACCTCATTAGCTGCTTTCCCTTATAGCTTTCTCTCACAGCAATTTTTAATAATAAGTGATTTTTTCGCAGTTTACCAAACGGGTTGGGCTTCTCAAAATTTTTTAAAAATCACTTATCACCCCAAATAAGCAATGCCAAACTGGCACTTAGTGTCCATTTGACATTACTTATTTGGGGTGATAAGTGATTTTTTAAAAAATTTGATAAGCCCAGTCCATTTGGTAAATTATGAGAAAATCAATTATTGTTAAAAATTGTTATGAGAGAAAGTTATAAAGAAAAGCAGCTAATGAGATGCTTTTATTTTCTGATTATGTGGGAATCAATTTCGAAGATGCGCTAGGTTTAATGATTATGCTGGAATTAGTACCAACAACATTTTTAACCAAAAGTTTATCAAACGCCAAATTACTTTCTCCCACAACAAATCTAACAGTGATTATTTCCACAGCACAACAATGTCAAATTGACCCAACTCAAAACCTCAACTCTTCCTCTAACACTTTTTGTCAAAAAAAAAAATTAAAATTAAAAAGGAGTAAACGAGTAATATGGGGACCATGTGATTTGACCTTATTTTAATCCCATTACAAGCACAATTAAATATAAAATTTGAAACCAGGTCACTCGTCCTTTTTATAATCAGCTTTCAATGGGTCAGTTGTCCAATTATTTTCATGATCTCATCGATGGTGGCAATTTCTACATAATTGATCGTTATTTTAAGGTTACATTTCAAATTTCTAGGGACAAATTGTGGTAATCAACAGGAGCCTAGAAAAGGATGTGTGATTACTTAAATCTTAATCAATTTGTTGTATGTACTTGGTTCATATCGTGAATCGCCGGCGCGAATACTTAAGAAATAATAATCTAAAGTATGTATGCATAATTAAGTAAATCATTAACAAAACCATCAACATCTAAAACACTATCACGTATATTATTATCATAATAAATGCATGTGTACGTATACGTGCATCAAGATTAATTAGAGATTGAATAAGATTTTGGTGTGTAAAAAATTGTATGTCTACGTACGTAATGCGACAACATGGTACCCCTTCGATGAGATTGTAATTTGCTAGAAAGGAATCTTATTGGCTTCTATTTGGACGAGAAATTCTGTTTAACATTTCAAGGAATAAACAAAGTCCAAGTGCAGGGAATAGTACTTGCATTAGGGTGCAATGACAAAATTACAAAAGCAAGAAATTGATAATGGTTCAATGAGCTTCCAACACGTATTGGACTCGATGATTCTTAGACTCAAGTTCACTAGCTAGTATGATTTTGGTGCATAACAATATTTTAAAAAATAAAATAAAATTACTATCACTCGTTTTAAAATAATAATAATTTGTTTACATAGTTATATTATATGGAAATGTTTAGCTTATTATTTACGGACAAATTTCGCATTGCCTTTGAATTTTGGACCTTGCTCCACTTTGTCATATGAACTTTCAATTTAGCTTTAAGCGTTCCTGAACTTTCAATCTGTGCCAGTGTTCCCCAATCGTAAATTTTGGTACAACATTTCTTCAATTTTCCTCACATGTTAGACACATGACTAACTTTGTAGGGATGTATATGTCAATTGATGTCGTAACCAAGCATTTGCTTAAGTTTTCTCAACCCCAAACCCCCATTATCAAGTAGACGAGTGCATTATGTTGGTACATGAGTACATCCCAACACATGTATTGTGGTGACCTCAGCTTTTTGTATGGGAATTTATGCATTTTCGCATTTCACGATTTCTGTTGACCAACTTAGTCAAGCAAATTATTTAGTTGGTACAATTAGGGTGTCCTAACACATACGCTGTGGTGACATCAGTTTTTTGCCTAGGAATTCGCGATTTTCGCATTTCACGGTTTCTGTTGGCCGAGTTAATTAAGTGAGGCGGATTATCATCGATTATAATTCCATCTAGTTTTACTGTTCATGTTTAACTTTTACCCTTTTATGTTCAAACTGCTTTCACATTCTTGTTTAATGAGCGAATTTTCTTTACATGTTGAGTAAATAGAGGTTAGTTTTATCCCAAAAACAAATTATGATTAACCACATTACAATAATATGGTAAATTAATGTTTTAAAGAAATAGAAGAATAAGGAGGGCCAAAGCCCACAAATAAGAAACAAAGCACAAGTGCAAATAGAAGAATAGGGAGTCTGGAGGAGGATTTTTCCTTTTTTAGCCAAAGTAGCTAGGGATGAGAGGATAAAGAGTCTGTTAGAGAACTAACTTTTGGCTATGTAGGGAGGAGGAGAGAGAGAGAGAGAGAGAGATAGAGACATTTGGGAGGTTGGTGAGATTGGGTTTCTACTTTTTTTTTATAAATATATTTGATTTGCAAAATGAAGAGGGAGAAAAAGAAAAAGAAAATAATAATAAAATATTTTAAATTAGTTAAAATAGAGAACATTGCTGGAGGAAACACATTTTAAATAGTTTGCTATATTAACTTTTTAGCAATTTTAGTTAAAATTTGGCTAAAATTTAGAAACTCTTATGGAGATGCTTTTACATCTCAATATGGGGCAGGCATTTTACCGGCTTTAAAAATTTATATTTAAAAAAAAGAAAAAAAGAGTGAAGTGGAAGATAAATATAGGGCCCAGAAATACATACATAGATCGTGGACTGCATAGGGCGGGACGAAGAGGTGTGGGGACAACCATGATAACAGAGAATCTTGTCAACGTGGCAGAATCACATGGCGAGGGGCCAATTTTTCAGTGAGAGGTGTCAGCCCCAGCTCCCACTGGTTTCGTTGTCACACCTTCCAAATTTAGAAAAATAAATAAAATTCCAAAAAATTAAAAACGTCAGCTTCAGATATTTTCCCTTTTAAAATTAAATAAAGGCCGTTACACAAAACGCCGTTAAGTTCCAACGTGCTGTTGCAGTGGGCGCCCCTTTCCGCGTATAAAAAAAATATATATTTCAAGTGGGCCCAACAATATATTTAAGTGGGCCCCACGAAGAGTTGATGGTCCACAGAAACTGAAATTGACGTCTGGGGCCCCCACTCCCACCCTCATCGTGGGCCCTACATGAATGCATAAACTGGGTGTTGTAGTTTCAAATGATCATACACTGTGCGAGCGTGCGGTGCACTTGCACTGACGTACCTCCACGTGCCGGCTCACTGACACTAAGCTCGATCTGATTGGGGAGGTGTTATTCTTGATGTTGAGGTGCGTTGAAGTTAAAGTTGACCCCCCGATCCCTCCCTCATGTGGGTTTGTGTCTGCTGGAAACTGTTCTTCTCACTCGAGCTAAGGCAGGTGCGGCGCACTCTCTTACATCTCGAATTTCAAATAATACATAAAAATTCATATATTATACACGTATTTTTCACATATTATTAAATAAAATATTTGTTTATAAGGAGGAATCGCTCTAAGTTTATAAGGAGGAATCGCATATGCGTGTATAATTTATTTTTTTATATAATTTTAATAAGTTAGTTTTCCACGCAGTGTCTATCAAGAACACAAAAATATTATAGCCCACCCGGTGGAAATTTTTTGTACTGCCTTGGTCCAGACTTTTCCTATAAATGAATCTGCCTGGGATTAGACAAACGCAATCAGCGGTTTTTGCCTACGAGTTGAGACAGGTGGTCCACAAATGGTTGAATCATCCAATGGAGTTCATACTTATCTGTTTTACCATTCTCTATTACGATTTTATAGTGAACCACATTATTCAATTTGCAAATTTTGAGAAAAATTATCAAACAGATCCTCGTTATTGCATGGCAAAATTAAAAAGTCCTAAGAATATTTCCTGAAAATGAAGTACTGAAAGGAAATAGCCAACAAATGATAACTGTCATGCAACTAAAAGGAAAGGAGAAACTGACTCTGGGTGATGATGTGGAGTTCTTTTAGAAATGAAGTACTAGAAACTAGACTTGTAAACATGTCGGATTTGGATTGGATATACTTAAATCTGAATCCAAATCCATTTATAATTAGATTATCATATTTGGATTGCATTTGGACTATCAGATTGCACATATCAATCCATATTCATTACGCTTCGGATCAGATTATTATCGGATTTTATTTTGTGATGTACAAAAAATCAAAATTTCATTAGTAGCCTAGTTCTTTTATTGTATTTATGTACTTTTTATATCAAATTTTGATATTTTATCATGAAATTAGTTTTAAATGTATTCTTAGTGCAAATAAAACTAAAATTACTCATTTGCACATATAAAATATTAATATAAAGCATAGAAAAATTAAAATTATACTTCATACTAAGTTGGATCAGATTATTACTGGATCAGATCAACTATAATCCATATATGGATCCATTATAATCAGATTATCAAAATGAGAAGTCCAATCCATATCCTATTAATTACACAGAATTTGAATCAAAATCCGATCCATTGACAAGTCTACTAGAAATTAGTACATAAGAATATCTTAAAATGCAACTCTTAATTAAATAAGTATCAATTATTGATATATACAACAAATCTTGAGTGTGTTTGTACCCAAATATGCATTTTCGGTTCTAAATTCCTCATATGTGAAATTATGGTGTGCAACGAGTTTATAGAAGATATGAGTTTATCTTATGAGGCTTTAATTTATTTTTTTATAAGTGAGGCCAATGATTTCTTGATTTATTAAAGAACGTTGAAATAGGGAAAAAAGAGTTTAAGCGTTTGGATTTGTCAACGTCAATCATGGTGATATATAACCTGATTTGTCAATGCCAAGAAGTATATTGTTCCAATTGTACTCCAAGTAATCCTATCTGCCGTGGAGTTGGATTTCTACTCAAGTTAGATTAAACACTGGCACATAAGGAAGAGTCATAAGAAGAGAGAAAGGTCGTCACCACAATTATCATAACTGATATCAAATTGAGTTGTATATTTGCAACTAGTTTGGTCTTGTTATGTGCAAAAGTTTCTTATATGCACTAGATTAATATTGAAGTCCGTATAAAATAGAAAAAAAATTTGAGCCCGTTTTCGTTCGAAGAACAATATTTTGATTAGAAGTCATGCTACTTAAACCATAAACTGTCATTCACTTATCAATCTATTAGGCTTTCTCAATGCTAATAGTAGCACACTCGCATCTAATACCGTTGTTTGGCCCTTGCTACGTCTAGAACAATTTGGGTAACATATTTTAGCACCCTCAGAAACAAATGCAAATATTAACAAATAACCAAAAAAATAAAATCACCATCCATGTGTATGACAGTATGACACTGAAAAGAGCGTGCAGAGACGCGGTGATGAAGGGTGGTGAGATGCAAACCTGCAATCCGAGCTGGACCTCGCATTTCATTCTGAGTCGGGAAATTGATGAAACGTACGGCCGTATGCCCTATTCTGCCCACTACCATCAGCATCTTTTTTTTTTCTTTTTTTTTAAAAAAATAAAAAATAAAAAATAAAAAATAAAAAATAATTTTAATAATTTTAAAATTTAAAATTAAAAATAATTTACTTTTTTATAAATTACATGACGCTGCTGCTGCTACGGCTCTTTTACGCTTTTAAGTACTTGCCGGACCAAAATTTTACGTTCACCACATAAACCGCCAGTAAAAAATAATTAAAAACTCGGAATCCCAAAAATAAAATAAATAAAAAGATGGAAGAAAAATATCCCAATTATTATGGCCTCCAATGTTCCTTATCTCTTCCAAACTCAGCCCTTCCTGTTCCTTCATTGGACCTCCCACCCAACACCCGCCCCTACTCATCATCTCTCTCTCTCTCTCATGAGAAAATAAATAATAAAGAGCCTCAAAAACCCATTTGACCAACATGTACAGACCCTAGTGGTTGTGGTTTGGTTTATATCTCTCAGTGCTTCTTCTTTCCTGTTTCTTCTTCCTCCTCACAACAATCAAACTAAAAAAAAAGAAAAAAAAGATGAAGAGAGATCACCGAGATACCTGCACGGATCAAAATGGTTCCAAGGGCGAATACTCGTCGTCCTCATCCTCAGTGCTGAATGGCAAGGCCAAAATTTGGGAACAAGACCAAGATGGCTGCGGCGGCAGTGGCGGCGGTGGCGGCGGCGGCATGGATGAGTTGCTTGCCGTTTTGGGTTACAAGGTTCGGGCCTCAGACATGGCCGAGGTGGCGGAGAAGCTCGAGCAGCTGGAGATGGTCATGGGCTCTGCTCAGGAAGATGGGATTTCTCAGCTTTCTGATACAGTCCACTACAACCCATCTGATCTCTCTGGCTGGGTTCAGAGCATGCTCTCTGAGTTCAACACGGTTGACGGGTCAGCAATCGACGACCCACTTTTTGTTGCAGCTGGTTCTTCCTCAATCACCTCCATACATTTCTCCAATTCTCACCAGATTGAAAACCCAGCATCTCGGGTTTTCCACGACGATTCGGAATACGATCTCAGAGCAATTCCTGGCGTTGCGGCTTACCCACAAACCCATTTGGACTCGGAGGCTGAGAGCAGGAGAAAGCGATTGAAAACCGCAATTGGGTCCAATTCAATCGGGTCGAATTCCGGGGTTGGAGCCGACTCGGGTTCTGTATCGGACCCAGCTCGGCCTCTGGTCCTGGTTGACTCACAAGAAACAGGCGTTAGACTCGTCCATACACTCGTGGCTTGTGCTGAGGCTGTTCAGCAAGAGAACCTGAAGCTCGCAGACGCGCTTGTGAAGCACGTGGGTCTACTCGCGGCCTCCCAAGCCGGCGCTATGAGAAAAGTCGCCACTTACTTTGCCGAAGCTCTGGCTCGTCGAATTTACCGAATTTACCCTCAGGACAGTCTGGATTCTTCATATTCAGATATTCTCCAGATGCACTTTTACGAGACCTGCCCCTATCTCAAGTTTGCTCACTTCACCGCAAACCAGGCCATTCTCGAAGCCTTTGCCACGGCAAGTAGAGTCCACGTCATTGATTTTGGGCTTAAGCAGGGGATGCAATGGCCAGCGCTCATGCAGGCCCTAGCATTGAGGCCCGGCGGGCCGCCCGCGTTTCGGCTTACAGGAATTGGCCCGCCGCAGCCCGACAACACGGACGCCTTGCAGCAGGTGGGATGGAAGCTGGCCCAATTGGCCGAAACTATTGGCGTAGAGTTTGAATTTCGGGGATTCGTCGCCAATAGTTTGGCGGATCTCGAACCCTCGATGCTCGAGATCCGCCCTCCAGATGTCGAGACAGTGGCCGTGAACTCGTGTTTTGAGCTCCACCCTCTCCTGGCTCGACCCGGGGCGGTTGAAAAGGTCTTGTCATCAATCAAGGCCATGAAGCCTAAGATTGTGACAATTGTGGAGCAGGAGGCAAACCATAATGGACCGATTTTCCTGGACCGGTTCAACGAGGCCTTGCATTATTACTCCAACTTGTTTGACTCGCTGGAGGGATCGTCCGGTCCGAGTCAGGATTTGGTCATGTCCGAGGTGTACTTGGGTCGACAGATATGCAACGTGGTAGCATGTGAAGGTCAGGACCGAGTCGAGCGACACGAGACTCTGACTCAGTGGCGAGGCCGGATGGACTCGGCCGGGTTCGACCTGGTTCACCTCGGGTCGAACGCGTTCAAGCAGGCCAGTATGTTGCTGGCTCTTTTCGCCGGCGGAGATGGGTACAGGGTGGAGGAGAACAATGGGTCTCTCATGCTTGGGTGGCACACACGACCCCTCATAGCCACCTCAGCATGGCAGCTGGCGAGTTCTACTGAGTCAACCCGGTGAGTTGAACCGAGTGACTCAGTGAGCTACAAAACTGACCTCTGAAGACCCTTTGGGTGATTATCGATTGACTACTAGATGAAAAAAGGGGCGTGTCGTACTCGTATGGTGCGTACACAAACCCACTACGGGGGGGTGTGGCTAGCTTGTCAGTAGAAAAGAGTGGTGGGTCTGCAGTAAAAAGTGAAACTGTAAAACCAATCCAATCCAATCAAGTTTGTAATTGTAACCGTAAAATGGTGGGTTTTTATTTTTACCCTTCTGTGGCTCCTAGTCTCGGTCAGATTTTCACCCCATCTGTGTTTTTTAAACATGGTTTAGTTTAATGTAATTTCTATTCTGGTCTAGATTTTTTACTTTTTTTTTAGCTTTTTGTGTGAAGTTTTTTTGGGCCCCTTGCATAATTTCAAGGGAGGGATCAATGTGGATCGTTGAGAATGTATCTATCTATCTTTCTTTGTTGAATAAAAATGATGAGCATTGATTCTGAATGAGAAAGAAAAAAGAAAAGAAAAGTCGCTATTGAGATATGCATCTCTCTCTAAATTTTGACACTTCGTGTTTGTTTGTGTGCCACTTCTTCTTTCTCATCCTTCTCTTCGCCTGCAAACACTGGACTTAGCCGATGATGATGAGTCTAAACATAGAAACGTGGCCTGCATATGCTGTGTCACCATCTGAAAGAAACTGTTGGTGACACAAGCATGACAAATATTTAAGTCCATGTCCCTATTTATAACCCTAGTATAGTACCTATCAATTCAAAATTGGGCTCAGTGTTTTCTTCCGATATATATACCGAGCGATATTCTTATGGGTTCATTGATGCATTTGTATTTTAATGATCTGAATCGTAAGTGGTAGTTTAGTTTGCATTGGCTATGTTGCAATTGGGATTATGAAACTAATTTAACCAGGTTATTATTTCGTCTGAGATGTTCATAATTTTCTCTGAAACTATTGTGTCATTGGTACATTTGAGATACTGGAAACACAAAAACACAGAGAATATGTTAGTACATAAAAGATCAGATTGGCATATTAAAAATAAGCAGGTGTTCAACACTTCATGTGATTGAAAGTGCATGCGACAATTTCAGCTGGTACGTTCTGGGGTCCATGTTTCTCTTTACTCTTCTCAGCCCAACATGTATATGTGTAATGGCTCAGATCAGACAAACTGAGTTACGAAATCTTGATCTGAAGTAGCTATGCCTTCAATTTTCAATTTAGTTTTGAGCAGAAAAGATTAAGGCCTTGCAAAAAGTAATTTAGATCCAATGAAAACTTGTAAAGATTGCTTCCACTAGGTTTACAAAAACCAACAAGCAGCTGCTTGAATGTACTCAACCAACCTATGAATTTCAAGCATGTTGTGGCCATTCGACATAATTCAATGCATCATTTATTCATCTGTCTATCCATAGCATACGGTCCTACTACCCTAAGCATACTATATGCATTATTACCATATTGTGTGAACCCACCCTAGCCCCATGTAGTTTAGATCTGTGGCAAACAAGAATAGTAACTATACTAGACCTCATCATGAAGATTATTCCAAACTACTAGTTTGATGCCAAATTTTTTTTACTTTTTTAGATAAAAGAGGAGTAAAATTACACTAGCTCAAGGTTTTTTCAAATTTTGTTTTTGTTTTTATGAGAGAATTGGATTAATGTTTGAAGAGTATTGAGATTTGATTTTGGGTCTCCAAATGGCGATTGACATTTGAAATCGAATCTATAGAAAAGTACTTCGCTATGTTTCCGAACTTAGATGGGGTAATCAAGGTATGAGAATCGGATCAACTACTCCCCCCTAGTTGATTCCATTCCAGATTTTGAGGGTATTTAATTATAGATTTTAATGTGGAACCCACATAATTTTTTATTCTTTATGTGTTAGTAAACGCATGAGAAGTCAGGAATTAAAATCATTCCAATACTCATTCCTTATGTGTTTAGGGCATGTTCGGTATTCTATTTTAATCCAGTTTTTTAAATTTAAAAACATAATTTGAGTCCACAGCTCAAAAAATATGTTTGGTAAGTCCAATTTTGAAAACTCAAACTACAAAAATACCTAAATACTTGAAAACAGAAAAAATTTGTTTTTTAAGGAATTTTTTTGTTCTTCTAGAAACAATTTTCAAGTTGCATACAAAATAAATTTTTAAATAATAAAATGGATTTTAGGCCCCCCCCTCCCCCCCCTCTCAAGCTCTTAGAGAATGAACCCACAATTGTATATCAAAGTAATGAAGAGAAGTGTAAAAGTTCCCCAAAAAGCAAAGGAACTAAGTTCTATATGGTTACTGTGCTCTTTACATATACTCTGATCTTACCCAAATATGAAGGTACTTATAAAGGACAAAGGTTATACGTAAACCAATTGTGTAGAGTTATATTATATTGACACCTTTTGGCTTTTGGTTTTTTTTTTTTTTTTTTTTTTTTGTGTGTGGTATTTTTACAAAAATATCCCCCGATAGAGAGATGTCAGTGTAATTAACTCGTGTAATTCAAGTAGCTAGGTAATTCCTAAGCTAAGACGATATGGTACTAAACTATGACCATCCCTAGAGATTACAGTATGCAGTATTTTGGAGAGAGAGAGAGAGAGAGAGAGAGAGAGAGAGAGAGAGAGAGAGAGAGAGATTAGATATGGATAAACATTTGGATTTGCAATGACTAAAATGAGGTGTTTCAATGGACCACACAAAGGCATGATGAATAATAATCGTAGCAGGCACCACCACCTTTGTTCTAAGTTTGGACCACCTGCGCTGAGCTTCATTGGGTCTACAGGTGACATTAAAATTGGTAGACATCATTGTCTTTAGCTGAAAATAATCATGATGAAAAAAACTGAACTTGGTCATTTTTTCGAAAAACTTTTACTTGCATTCAGATTTAGGGTTCCTGGCTAAGCTAGCCTAATATGAAAAGCAGCTCTACTAAGCCTTGAACTTATACGAGTTGCAGTGGGGATTCGGGTAGGTATTTTCGTCAAAAATTCATAATGCAGGGACAATAATGGGGATTGCATGCATGAGGCATCTAGGTAAACAGGAATGAAATTTAAACATGAATGGTAGATGGTGTAGATACAAAAAGACAAAAGAAGATGCAATAATTCTAGTAAGTTTTTATGGCGTTGTAAATTCTAAGTACATTGGAGAAAATATGCTGTACTGTCGCGTTTAATATAAGGCAACTACATTGCTATTTATAGCAACTTTAATGAGTTGATGAGTCTTATTACTCTACCATATTATTGGTAAGAAGAATGTTTATGACTTGTTTACATACTTGGATTCGAGTCGAAACAAGAAATATTGAAAATGAATCATAATCAATCGTTCTCATTAAAGTCAAGCTGATTCCAGTTAAACTGTTTACATTTAAGGCGCGCGCTGATTCCAATTAAACTGTTTATTAATTATTATGATGAGAGTGAATGATAATTGACTGGTGCATGAATATATTGCATTGCATTGCATTTGTGATCTGTTTTCTTGACACGTCTCTTTTGGATAATTGTTCTGAAATTTATTCAGTAAGTATTTCCGGCGTTGGTGAGTACTATGGTTTTTCCGTAGTGGTACTTTCTGGGTCCTGCATATAATTTGGATTCGAAAGGCATGGGGACAAGTACTTGAACATGATAGCTGGTTTAGGAAAACTACCGAAGTGATCGATTTGCCTTTTACTGCATGGTAAAATTAATAATTATGGATGCTCAAAGATTTTTTGCCAAAAAGATAGGTGAGCTCGGGAGGCCAAAGCCTTGGTAGGCCTAGCGGTACGGAGTGGTTAGGTGGTGCATATGGATCCCAACTCGAAGTGTGAAAAGTGATTTGAACTTGAAACCTGTTTCGATATTATTTACTGCTAAGATACGATTTTCTAACATGTCGACATCTCATCATATTTTGGCAATGGGCAGTTAATTTTTAAACAGGTTTATCAAATTTTTTATTTTTCTTTCTCCATTACAAGGAACTTGCCCATGCAATATTATGAAGTTGAGTTATTTATACTAACATTTGTTGGGGTTTTCGGTGTTTAAAAAAAAATCCCCTAAAGTTTCAAAAATTATACAAACACTCCTTGAGGTTTGAAATTGTTTTCACAAAACCCTTTTCTATTGATTTTTCATCTAAAGATTGATGATTTTATATAAATAATTTCTCCAAATGACAAAGTTAGCCTTTAAGATTATATTGCAAATACATTCATTGAGGTTAATTTTGTCATTTGTGTAAATTTCTTTTATAAGATGATCATTTTTTTACGAACACTCGATGATTTGGACGAACAATCAATGAAAAGGGGTTTTGTGAAAACAATTTGAAACCTTAGGAGGTGTTCTTGTAATTTTTAAAATCTCAGGAGATGTTAGTGTAAATAACTCTTCTGAAGTTTTATTTGGACACTTTATTACAAAATTCTTCTCATCTAGCAATATAGAAAGATAAACAAGCTGCCTAATAAAAACAAGGTGTAATTTTGAAAAAAATATACTGCGTGTAAAAGTCAAAATGAACGAGTTTGGCAGCACTATGCTGCACATGGTAGACAAATAGGTACGTGATAAAAACTTATTGTTGGAAGGACCATATATTTCTTGAACTCATGCAACCCCTTTCTCTCATAAATTTTTGATTAGTTGTAGACATTATGAAGTAACTAAATGCCTTCAGCCGAAGGGAGAGGCCAACGGATCCTTAGTTCAGTAGTAAGAGTATTTTCTTATTGATTAATCATCTCATGTTCGAAATTCAATGATATCTTCCTTTTCCCCTTTCAACATAAAAAGAAAAAGAAGGGAGAAAAAGAAAAAAAACCGACAATTAGTTAATGATTCATGAGGGGTAGCTTTCCCATTGAGAAGCAAGAGGTCGGTATATGGTTTTTTTCTGGCTGTGGGGTACATGTCACATCCTCTCTTTTACTTATTTTTGTAGTATAAGGCCGTGAGAAAAACGAGTTACTCAGAGAAAAGAGTTTTCATAAGCATCACGGTAATCCCATGAAAGAAAAAGAAAAATGGTGTCTCCAACGGCTTAAAATTCTAATAGAGTTTCCATCAATAGTAATCGATTTCACTTTAAGAGTAGTGTGTTTAGGACAATCGTCGACGTGCACGTAGATATCTCCCGATCGTTGATATAATGAGTATCACAATGAGGTTCACATGAACTAAACCATTAAAAGTCACTTACACACGTGTGTTGTTGTTATTAGGATTTCTTTTTACATATTTACCAAAAAATACCACTCATAAAGAAGCCAAGCGAACATAAGATGGGTGGTGGTCTTGCTAAGCTTTGCATTGAGGGTATGGCACCAAGACGATGCTTGATTATAATTATTAGTGTCAAATTAATTATAACAATACACTCTCTTTAAATTAAACTTCATCCAATAATCTTATTAATTCAATAGAAACACAAATGAATTGGGATCAAGGGTCAATTTCTCTAAGATAAGCCTAGCAGACAATTTCATTGTGCTGGGGCCTTGAAATTGACTGGTGGTTCAATTGATTTTGACAACCTCATCACACATGCACTATGTTTGCTTCTTTTGACAAACACAAGGGCCCTTCAAAGCTTCTTTACAGCTCCCATTTTTTCAAGTGCAAAGTCTTCTCAATAACTACTCCTAAAGTCTCTTTTTTCATGAGTGTAAAATGCTTTCTCCACTTTCTACACAATTAAATAATTAATTAACTATTTATTTATCTAAAGATGTGATTAAAGAATAGGATTTGCTTGATCACTCCATTTGTAGTCAAGCTTCAATCTCCCTCAGTGTTGGAAAATTAAAGGTATTGCAATCACTATAATTGACCCATTGTCACTAACACGATCTACTAGTTAGATTTATCAATTTCTCAGCGTGCCGTCCACGTATCATATAAATAAAATAATATATTAGAAGCCAAAGTAGAAAAAAATATATTTCTATACTTAGCCTATGATTGGAAGGCCATCAACTTTATGATGTGAAATCTGCTAGATTGCAAGTCTTGCATGCCCTAAGAGCTGAACCAATGTCTTAAATTATTAGTAGGATAATTAATTCTATCTTGTTTCATTAGGATGAGTTATTAAACAGAAAATACAGTGTGAGTGAGTGTGACTATGTGACCTTTCCATTTCATTTAATTTTTATACCAAATGGTGCATTGTGAAAGTGGAGTCCATGCCACCAGAGGCCAAAGTGGTCTCCATTGAAAGTTCAAATAACCTAAATTTAATGATTTTTTTGGTTATTTTCATTTTTTTTCCAAAGAAAAGCGAGCTTTATTCAATTTCACTATTTGGTATTTTTGTACATCAAAGTGTAGCTCTTGTTTGTTAGCTGGGGTTCTGGATCAAGAAAATTTGAGGTGGCGGTTTGTGTTTGATTGGATATGTTATGATGCTTACAATACTTTTTTTACTATGTACGAAGGACTATGATGCTTTCTTTAGATCATATGAGGCTTTCTTTGACAATATCTGCGTAGTGATGGGATTTGTTTCAATGGTTTTGCGGTTGGGTGATTGGCCAGATCTATTTTGATACCCATAGTACGTTTTTGACTCTGTACGAAGAACTATGATGCTTTTTTCAGATCATAGGAGGACTTCTTTGACAGTACCTACGTAGTGATAAGATGTTGTTTTAAGGGTTTTGTGGTTGGGTTTTAGGTTGGTTTGTTTTGTAAAAGTTATTTGATTCTTCTGTTTAGTCAATAGCATGGGTGATACTTTTTCATACTCTGGAATTTTGTTTCTCTAGGAAGGTTTTAACGAGGCTGCCATTAACATGCTAGTTCTTACCATGTAATGTTCCTTTCGGTTTAATGAAATACCATATTTTCTCAAACAAAAAAAGTGTTGCAACATATATATATATATATTTAATACAAGTTAATTGAGAGAGAGAGAGAGAGAGAGAGGTTTTTTCACACACACACTACCAAGGTGCAATAAAAATTCGAACATGAGATTACTGATTTACAAATAAAAGCCGTTCTGCTGCCTCAACATATATTCTATATTCATTATTCAAATATTGGGGCTAGGGCCTATATCAATTAAACGTTCAAGGCTCAGTTCTTGAATACTAAGTTTATATAGGACTAACAAATATACAAGTTAATTTAAAACTCCATTCTTCCGTACTCCAACAACTATACATATGAATTGAAAATAAATGTCAAAACATGGATGTTCATAGTGAATCAAGTGTTTCAGACCAAAAATAAAATAAAATAGTATATCAAGTATTTGGACCCATTTTTACATGGACTTGGGCTGAGTCAAAAATAAAGGATACAGAGCCCAAAACGGCCCAAGTAAGCGAGATTGGGTCACAATTTAAATAAGCACGTGATCCATCATTTGGATATGGCTATTTAGCCCGGAGGTTCTAAACCGGAAAGAATGTCGGCAGGATTAAGAAACTTAAAAATTGTCAAATTTAAACCTTATAAATGCAAGGAGGTGCAATTACACCTCCTCTCGTTGGAAAAGTCTTGGAAGGTGCTGCATATTGCACCTTTAGTGGTGCACTCAAGGTGTTCAACGAATTGTCTAAATTAAGCTTGTCTTTATGTGCTGCTCTGCTGCTTGAAGTGTGCCTCTTTTTAACAAAAAAATCATGGCCAAAACGATGTCGTTTTGAATCAGGCTTAAGAAAATAAAGGAGAAAGTTGGACTGGGCTTTAATAAGGATTCTAGGGCATGCTTAATAAATGATAAAGATTAATAAAACTTTTAGCCTTTCAAAATTGCATATCCGTTAAAAAATTCTGAGTTCGCCAGAGGACCTACGGTCGAAAGGTATTTATTCCTCGGCCATATTTGTATGAAGAAGTTATTCACGCGCAAACCATCATTTCAAGTGTATAATTTACTGATTGATATCCAGCAATCACAACTACTGCAACAAATAGACTAGCCACTCATATATCATCTTGTACCATCATCAGATGTTTACCGTCCATCCAAATGCTGTCGTACGAGTGAGCAACACAAACATTCATATATTGGTTTCCGTTAGCTAGGTTTGAAAGCCATTGAACTACACAACTTTTAAATCATAACCATAATACTTCAACATCGAAACTTAATTCTTGATTGTTACAAACCAGTAACGAAGAATTAGGATGCTGGTAAAGTGCTCCAAGTCACACAGCCACTTTTTCTTTTTCTTCTTACCCAAAAAAAGTAGCTTTGTTGAAGCTGAGCCTCTATTTTGACAAAGTTATATTCGTATTCTCCCATGAATGAATGAATGTGATGAAAGTTCTTCGAACAACCTCCTCCACCTCCACCGACCAAGTAATCCTCTGAAAAATTCATCAAGGCATCCCTTTCTTAAAGTAGGAGGACCAATATGACGGCCGGAAAATCAAAGGCAGGAACATATTTCAAAGGACTCTATTGAAATTAATTAAAAGTCAGGAATATATGCCAAAACAATGTGGCTCATATTTAATTAATTATTAAGGCATAAGTTTACATGGTTGGCAGCAGCAGAGAATATAACATAAAACCTTTAATAATTTCAATCGTCTGAGAGACTTGATTGAAACATCAGATTATGGTAATGAGAAGGATTCAGTAGCCTCAGTGAGATGATATCTTGAAAGGAAATGATTTGTTGAGCCATGCCTTCCAGCTACTAACTGATCCCTTTGGAGCTGTCATCTCTGGCTTTCTCTCTGCAACATTCTGCACTGCCTTCTGCTTTTTGCTCAGCACAAAGTTCCTTCCCCCATGAGATCCTATACTTTCCCATGGACTTAAGGCTACAAGTTATATATAGAATTAAAATGTAATTAACAGGCCTATTAATTAAGTGAATATATGTTATTCCAAACAAATTACAGTTTGATATGTATGCATAGCGACGTAGATTTTAACACATGAACATGAAAGAATGAATCCTTTTTTTATTGTACCGTCAGATCCTGCGTTAGCGCAGTAGAGAAGGAAATCCTTGACATCGGAACCAAGAAGTGGTAGGCGGCCTTCACGAGCATAGGACTTGAGAGCAGTGTCGATGACCCCAGCAACAAGATCATCTTCATTCACCACAAACCTTATTGGCCCTGCGCTTCCAACAACATTCACTGTGATCAAAAACCTGTTTTTCTTCACACTGTGAACTTCATTATTGTTGATCTTCTTATTCTTCTGCTGTAAAGTAGTTCTCTCTAAAACATTCCTCCTCTTCAGCATTCTTTCTTTCTGAATTTTTTTTTCTTTTCCAAACGCCTAAGTGAAATCAACCCAAACAAGAGACACAGCACAACACAAATGAACTTTCAGAGAGAGAGATAGAGAGAGATTAAGTGTTTAGGGGGTCAAGGCCAAGGCAGCGATGGTACCAAGCCTGTTTGCAGGAACCAAAGGTGGTGGAGGAAGAGGAGAAGGAGGAGGACAGCGCGCAAAGGGCACGCGCAGAAGTCCTCTGAGGAAGGAAAGGAAGGAAGTGCATGAAGGAACAACAAACCTCTACCATTCAAGACTCAAAGGTATTTCACAAGAAGAGGGAAATAAATTTGTGAAAGAAGAATATCTTCAGCGGACATGGAAGGCTTCGTGTTAAGTATGACAACTTCCGTTTCATTGTTGTTATACAATGTAAAGAAAGGAAGCGAATCCTCAGATTTCCACGCACTCCTTGGGAAAGAAATTGCGTGTCACCCTAATACAATGACAAAGTGATGTTATTGATACATGTGTTATAATATGATCATGTTAAAAATTACATTTAAAATATAATAGTAACAATTATTCACACATATTCTTGTAAAAAAATTATTTACACACGCGACTTTATTTGCAGTATTGAGTTTTTTTAAAAAAAATAAAAAATACAAGCAATAGTCTAAATTACAAGGAGAATGAGTTTCTTATACACACACATTATCAATGTGTCATGAGGGTTCAAACATAAGACCACTGATATATATAAATCTTCTTTTGAAAAAAAAACTGAATAAATGTCTCATACTCTTTAATTTTATTTAGTTTTTGATACATTCAATAGTAGGAGAGGGGGAATTCAACATAACATCTCAAATATAAAGGCAAATACGACTAACCACTTGAGTTACAAAGTTTCTTACAATTTCTTGCACTCTTGAGTGCGAAAAGAAAAATTGATATTGGTAAACATATTGTTCGTCAAGGAATATGTTATGAACTATTACCTTTATTATTTACAAAGATATATTCATATAAACTTAAACGTCAAGGTTTATTTATATATTTATGTTTTTATAAATATAAATTTTTTACTTTCCATTATTTCCTACTATTACCCTCATATGAGAATCCTTCTATGATTTACTAGAATTTCAGCTCTAGTGGTCATAAATTTTCAAAGGAAAATGAGTGTGAAAAATCAAACTTCGAAAATATTTTTCCCGTTTACTCTGAGCCAAAGGTGACATAAATTTTGTGTCACACAAATAATAACAGAGCCAGACATCCGGGAGAAAATGGGACTTATGACAACATGGGAATTACGCTACAGCACAAGGCCGACTAACATTGTTGTTGGTCAGTCATATTGGATATGCCAAACCCAGACCTGTACGTATTGAATGCTAGCCCAATTCTTTTCTCAAGCCCAAATTTATTTTCCCAATTTGAAGTTTTACATGGTTTTTGTTTTTTTCCCAGTTAGGAAGGGGAGAGGGAATACTCGCATACACAGATACCATGGGGGTTCGAAGCCAATATCACTTAGGAGCACACCAAGGACCTGATCCAATCCAACTAACACTCCATTAATAAGAATATTTTTACATTCAATAACATTAAGTTAAGCTAGGATTAAACATAAATAAAACACAAATGGACTACCAGTTGTTGAACATTGCATGTGTAATTAACGAAAATGGTTTACGTATATGTCAAATTGTAATTTGTATGTAAAATGATGACTCATTGCATAACTATGTAAGGAGTCAAATATTTTCTTCGAGAGCGCCCTCCCTTAAGGAGTCGATGCCAAATGGTGGCCAGGCATGCATGAACTTTCATTAGCTCTTTATCTTGTTGAATGAATGAATATTGGGATATTTATTTTGGGACATATTATTCATGAGTCAAAAGATGTTGAAAGGTTCATTATTGGCAACAGCCAATGTAACCAATGAATGATGAAGTATATAAGTGGGTTACAAGTACAATGTTGCTTCTAGAATTTATTTTATGAGTTTAATTCAAGAATTTATTTTTGACTTACTAATCATATTACGTCTCGTGAACAAGTCCAGAAAGACTACGAAGACATTGGTCAAGGTTCACATTTTGACAACAATTTGAAGTGTGGGATACTCATGAACAATCTATGTGAGTTGGTCATATTGCATTTCCCTATATAATCCATTCACAATATCAATTAAAAGAACAATACCATAACAAATGACATTTAACAAATACTTGCACAAAATTTGATCATTTGTTGACAACATAAGTCATATACTTACTGCATAACATCCGCATTGCAACAATTTTAAAAGGTGCATATATGAAAATATTACGATTGAAAATACCGTTATTAACATTTCTAATATGGAAAAGTTCAGAGCACTAAACTGAAATTAACCGCAAACTTCCATAAGAATACGAGGAGAAAGTAATTATTACGGGCAACTGAAAATGTGACATGGAAAACCCCATTCATATATCCTTTGGGAGAAGAAAAGGATAACTTAATTGAGAAGAAGTCAACCCCACACCAATAAGCATCTTCCAACAAATTAGGTATAGCACACCAGATTTTGTGTTCTTTCAAAAAGAAAACAAACAAAAAGGGCAGATCGAGAAAATTAAATGAAATATTCCTAGATTCCATTTTAATAAGGAGAAGCAAAAAAATATTCTATAGATTAAAAAGTAACGCTACAATATTTAAACTACCTAACTAACTAATATAATGCATGCAGATGCTTTTTCAACAATTCTAGAATGCATGAAATTAATTTAAAACAACGTGCGAAAGAAACTACCTCGAATCTCTTATCTTATTTGTCTTGTTGGTTGCATGTTTTCTAGTGGGGTCCGCCAGTCCGGCAGTTGTTTTTTAAATATTAGTTTTGTGTTCACAATTTTCTTTTTCTCATCTATTATTATTGAGTGAATACTATTTGTCAACTAACTTTGATTAATTATAAACTAATTACAGTTTTTTTTGTTGTTGAGATAAACTAATAATTAAAGTTGTTATCCCCGATCAAATTACACGCATTGGATGTGACATGTCTGATCTATTAGTATTATATTTAAAATAAATTTGACAACTGAATGTATACAAACAACAAATAAAATAAATTGAGATTGTGACTTAGAAAATTAACGGAGTGACAGTAATGTAAATACTATTGAGTTTGTGAAAGAAAACACTTTGCATCCCAAATTAATTCATTCTCTATTACTTCTGGTCATAAATTCATAAAAACTAAGACTTATGTGCGATAAAAATTTAAGACCGTTGCTCGTGACCTAAGATGGGACGTAGTTTAATGCTTGTAGCTAAAGCAACGGACAATTTCAATGTGGTTTTTATTTTATTTTATGTATGTTGGTTTATCAAAGTATAAACTTTTTTTTTAATGCAATGACTTTTGAGATCTTCATTGACTACTTATGCAATGACTTTTGAGTCTCATATGAATATACGAAATCAGCTCACTACACTTCTAAAAAGCTTTAAAAACTGTAATAATAATTCAAAGTTGAAAACGAAATTTTTTTGTTCAGACAAAGAGAGGGAGACCTTTAGATATATAATATTGTAATTGAATAGTGTTAAATCGAATCAAACTGGAAGTATAATTATTTATTTAACGTCATTTTAAAAAAGGTGCTAATTTTTCCGCTCCCCCTTCCATTATTATGGTGATGACTAGAGTCTAGAGCTTCAACACAATTAACAAGCAACTGTCAACATTTCTTTCTTTTCTTTTAATGTTGGTTCATCAACACCAACGGTCAATTTGAACAAAGACTTGTAGGGATAATTATTTGATAAACTATGGCTCTCTTTTTTTATTTTTTTTGGGTTAGATAATGTAAACAGTTCATTTTTTACCTCTTCCTTCAAAGATCGTTCTCGATACAAAGTCAGACAATTGAGTCATGTCATTACCACCACCATCGTCTCAGTGTATTGGCCACAAACAATCTTTTCTCATCATAAATAAAAAAGAATATAAAGTTGATCTTTCAAACCATATTTGTCTCTTTGTTTGTAATCTTCTCACGCCATCACATGTGGAGGTGATATTTGTTTGTACAAATTTCTCACGTTATTTAGGTGTAGATTTTTCGCATTTCGAGTTTCTTTTTCTCTCTTCTTCAATTTTTGTGAAATAAACATGAATAAATAGACCACACCCAGAGATGTTGGCCAAAGACCCTCTGGTGCATAAGTTAGTTCAATTGGATCTTTGATAAAAGATGTGGTAATGGTCAAAATGAATTGAGTTTTCTTTTACGGGGAGAGCCGGATGGGCTTAGCCATGTGTGGTGGCAGTTAGCTGTGTGGGAGAGGTAGAGATGAGATGGGCGACGACAAGGAGAGAGAGAGAAAGATAGAGAGAGAGAGAGGATTTTTGTAGAGTTATTGGAATTATCTTGAATGCTTGGTGGAGCCATGCATTTATAGCCTCCTTGTGTGCTACGATTTTGGGAGAATAATTCTTATTTGGTTATGATTATTCTTCCTCAAAAAGATGATAGAAATTACTCTAAGAGATTTGGTGGAGATTGGTTTCTTGATTTATGGAGATGTTCTTATAATAAATTAAAGATAATTTCTCTAATTAAATAGGCAATTAGTTTGACCTAAAGAATATTCCTCTTTCATGTGTCGTCTTCTTATTGATTGATGAAATATATGCTCTCAAAATATTCATGCCGTTACTAACAGAGATAAGAGAGAAATGAGCTAATAACACCAAAAGCTTTCCTCATCAAGGCAATATCCCAATGTGTTATCTCAACCTACTTGTCATTATCGATCCTCTCCCACATTTCGCTGTGAATGACCAACTGTAACACAGTATTATTATTATTAAAGATATGATTAGGAAACACCTAATTACATACATATTTACATTAATTATACTCGCTGTAATCTCGTACAGTGCAAGACGAGTTGAATCAAACAAGCCCACAATCTGACGCCTTGGATTCCCCGGTCAATTTATAAACAAACAAAACCCGACCCGTAAGCCAGTCTACCCTAAGTCAAACTTTGTACACACTCTAAATGAAAAAATGCAAAATGAAAGAGAAAAAGGAAGAACGAAGGAAAGGCAAAGTGAAAAAGTCTAGAGGAGCGCGTGAGACTTGCTGGTTTTGATGTTGATTGGAACCATAACTCACGTTGAAAATATTAAAGGCGTATGGGATAATGGGAAGCTTCTAGCTAAAGCACAAAGCCATAGCCTTCACAAACTTTTGTGTATAAAAAGGCAAGGAAAGCTTAAAACAAGACTCATCCAACTGTTTAGAATCAGAGCCTTTAAATTCCTTTGGGATTTTCGGTGCTACTTGAATTGTGAAAACCATAAAACCAGTTTGATTAATCTGATCTTGATCTAATATTTGATGGAGAACTTGATGGGTCTTCTGAGAATTCACATCCAAAGAGGAGTGAACCTTGCTGTTAGAGACATGAGAAGCAGTGACCCTTATGTTGTTATCAAAATGGGCAAGCAGGTAACTCATTTCTTTGATCATGAAAATGGTCTATTTTTCTTTTGTTTTTTCTTGAATCTTGATCCATTTGGACTCATGGGTTTCTGGGTTTTGAGTTGATGTTTGTTCATTTCAATTGATTGCTTATGAAACCAATTTTCTGATATTGCAGAAGTTGAAAACTCGAGTGGTGAAGAGGAATGTGAATCCTGAGTGGGATGAAAGATTGACTCTTTCCGTTGCAGATGCAAATCTTCCGATCATGGTCTGTGTGTATGATAAAGATACGTTTAGTTTTGATGACAAAATGGGAGATGCAGAGTTTGAGATTGGTTCATTCATTAAAGCCTTGAAGATGCGCTCGGAAGGCTTAACAGATGGAACCATAATTGACAGAGTGAAACCAAATAGGGAAAACTGCCTTGCTGAAGAGAGCTGCATCATGTGGTCCAACGGAAAACTTGTCCAGAACATACTCCTCAGACTCAGAAATGTGGAGTGTGGGGAAGTTGAACTTCAATTGCAGTGGATTGATGTTCCAATTTCTAGGGGTCTCTAGATTGCATCCTCTCTCTCTCTCTCTCTCTCTCTCTCTCTCCCTTTTTGTTTTCCTGTATATTTGTATTTGGGGGCCCTGCTTCTTCAATTCTTTTGTTCATAGATATGAGAGATAGAGTGGTGTTTTTAAGTTTTTATCCTCCCATGTATTGGTGTCAATCCTATGGGATGTGAGAAAAGTTTGAACATATTCATTTTCATTTCCTAATAAAATTACAATTTATTTGATTAATTCAAATCACTGTGTGTGAAGCTGTTGATGCCAAAATTGTAATCAACAGTCAGTCAGTTCAATCAGGTGGATTCAACAAAGGTTGCCGAGCAGTGGACCTGGAAAGCTCTGTTACTCAACCACCGCTGTCTCTCATACATGTTTTGGTGTCTGATGGTCTTCCAGGTCCTCCTTAATTTTTATTTTTAGAGTAGGAGATTTCCTTCTTTTGATGGATTGTAGCGATTCAGATGAAGGTGCTTCTGTAGTTTGTCTCAAATACTGCTTTCTATGTATTTCCTTGCGGTTGCCTTTTGGCTTCGAATCTAATTCATGGTTGACCAAAAAAATAAAATAAACTTCACTGTCATTCCTTAGGATTCCACCAGCACCAATCTGACCAGAATTACCTCTTCACAAAATGCGACCACTTGCTTACTCTCTTTCAGCATCCTAAACCACATCGCAACAATTTCATAAAATACGAATACTGAAATGTTAAACTTGAAAACACGAGTAACATTCATTATGATTGAAAATTAAGAGTACTAAATTGAAATTAACCGTAAACCTCTTTAACGATTTACTAAACCAATGTTACCAGGAGAAAGTAATTATGCGCAACTGAAATTAGGTATAGCACACCAGATTTTTTGTTCTTGAAAAAGGAAACAAGAGAAGGGAAGATGGAGAAAATTACAATAAATATTCCTAGATTCCTTTTTTAATTAGTCTTTTCTGAAAGGAGGAGCACATTCTATGAAGTAAGGGTATCTACCTTAACTTTGGCTAGAATTCACGTGTCCGCAGCTGCCGCGGCTCTCGCCTTTTCAAGAATTCTAGAATCCATGACATCACTTCAAAACAACCCCAAAGCGAAGAAACTACCCCGAATATCTTATCTCAGACTTTTTTGTCTTGTTGGTTACATGTCTCTGCTTTATATGAGACTTTTTTTGGGTATGCAAGTCAGTTTTTCTACAACATAGAAAAAGGGAACCGGGGGGGACTGCAATGTGTGCCACAAAAGGGAAGAAACTACCCTTATGCCTTCACCATGTTCACTGTGAATAATAGAAAACAAGGGACAAAAGGGAAGAAACTAATAAAATACGAGCCTACAGACAACTGCGTTTTTGGCTGGAATGCTAGCAACCTTCTTTATAACTTTCTTTTTTGGACCTTCACTTTTTTTCTCATGACATATGTCACTTATGTTACACTTGAAATAATATAATTAATACATGAGATAATTTGGCTTTTATTTTGTAAATTTACCCTTTTGCCTTGATACTTGACACTGCTAAATCCAAAAAAATAAAAAATTGCATTAAAAAAATCCTTTATTTTATATATGTTTTTAGTTCTTTTATTTTAATTTTTATATATGTTGGTTACCAATTATAAACTTGTTACATAAAATAACTCTTTTCTAGATGCAATGACTATTGAGATCTTCACTGACTACTTATGCTCATTAGGCATTTCAAGAGTCTCATATGAACATATATATGAAATCAGCTCCCTATATCTCAAAAAAGCTTTAAAAAATTGTAATAATATACTTCAAAGTTGAAAGCAAATTGTTTTATTTGAGAGAGAGAGAGAGAGAGAGAGAGAGAGAGAGAGAGAGAGAGAGAGAGAGAGAGAGAGAGAGAGAGGAGAGAGAGAGAGAGAGAGAGAGAGAGAGTACTGGACTTTCGATATATAATGTGTCTAATGATACAACAGGCTCAGCCACGTTTCAAAAAATTTAGAAGCTCACAACCGTGGCATAAAAGGAATTATGGGACATCGAGCTACTTCTCGGAACTTGAGCTTATCAGAGAGTAGAAGCCTAGAAACTTGAAAAGAAGGCGGGTGTAGGGAACAAACATCAAAACTTGTGATCGAGAAGAATTTAGGCAGTGAGAAGGCGGCTCACGCAATAGATTTAGGTGGTGGCCTTAGAGCACTTCCACCAGTTAGCCCCTTGCCATGGCAAGGGGAGCCCTAGGGCAGTTACTATTTATGTGAATAGTGGCTGCCCTAGCTCCCCCCAGCAAATGTGTGTTTCCAGCAGTTAGCCCATTGCCATGGCAAATACTATTCATTTTTTTGTTTTTTTTTCACAACTTTGTTTATTTAAACAATTAATTTGGATAATATTTTCGGATAAGATTTTTGGGTTCCTACGTGTCAATACTATTCATATCGGATAAGATTTTCGGTTTCAAATTTCAGATAAATTTCAGATACATTTCAAAATTCAAATTTGAGATAAATTCAAAATTTGAATTTCAGATACATTTCGAAATTCAAATTCCAGATAAATTACCAATTCCAAATTTCATTTGAATTTCAAATTTCAGATAAGATTTTCATCCTCTAAAATTGCGCCACATGTCATCTCTATCTGTCTAAATTTTTCTATAAAACCAGAGGCTCAGCTCATACCTCTCACACCATATCTTTTCTGCATCTTCATTTCTCATATTTTAGATTTCATTTCTCAGATTTTAGATTTCATTCTCCATTCTCAATGTCAGACATGGAAGATGTTTTGGATAGGCAAGAGCGAGAAAGGCGAGCAAGAATGCGCAGAAGAGCTGCAAGCAAAAGGGCGCAGAGAGAACTAGATGAGCAACTTGGTGTGGCCGTTGCTTTGATGGAGGAAGAAAACTAGAGCCGTCGTGGTTCACGAGAAGGCCGGGCATCGAATGTGGACAGACATAGACATTCTCGGGGTAAGAATCTTCTGGAAGATTATTTTATACCACAATCTCTGTACTCTGATGTTAATTTTCGAGCAAGATATAGAATGCAACCCCCATTTGTTCAATAAAGTCATGCATGATATTTGCAATTATGATGACTACTTTGTTCAAAAGAAAAATTGTGCTGGAGATTTGGGGCTGCTTCCCGAGCAAAAGTTCACAGCTGTGATACGAATGTTGGTGTATGGGTCATCTGTTGATCAGGTGGATGAGATTGCTCGGATGGGGAAGTCCACTATTTTGGAGAGCTTGGTGTGATTTTGTGATGCAGTGGAAATCTGTACACCATGGACTACTTGCGCAGACCTACGCCCAGGGACCTGCAACGGCTTCTACAAAAAGCTGAGTCTCGTGGATTTCCTGGAATGATTGGTAGCATTGACTGCATGCACTGGTAATGGAAAAATTGTCCATCTCCTTGGCAAGGGGATTATGGTAATCGGAAAGGGCAGAAAAGCATCATCCTCGAAGCAGTTGCTGGTTTTGATACCTGGGTTTTTAAATAAAATACATGAATTACCACTAATTTTTTAAATAAATAAAAATACAATGAAATGAAAGGCAAGCAAACTAATTTAATGGTACAATGAAATGAAAGGCAAGCAAACTAACTTAATTGTTTTGATCATTTAACCAATCCGTGTTGCTAGGTCCATCGTCACGAAAAAGTCTTCGTCTCATAACATCCCTTCGTTCTAGCTTCCAATATTGTTTTGTTTCAGGGGACATATGGGTTGTATCCATGGCCATTGTTTCCCGATCCTTATTTTCAATCTTTTCTTGCCGTGCATACTCCCTTTCTTGGCGTGCATACTCCCTTTGTTGGCGTACATACTCCCTTTCTTTTGCATTTTCTACATCAATTGCCCTATCGTGCTCTTGTTGTTTCATGTCCATTTCAATTCTCATGGCTTGCATCCTTGAAAGTTCCTCCAAAAATTTAGATGATGACTTGGTAGAATTACTCCCTCTCTTCGCCTTCGCCGCCTTCCTCCCAATAGGCCTCGGCTCCTTTTCGATAGGTGAGTCTTGACTCATCGGGGAATCCATAGGTGAATCCGATGCCGGTGTCTCATGGAGTGGCGTCTCGTTCAAGACTACCGTCGGACCCGTTGGAATAATTTGGAATTTCTTACAATTCTTCACCACCTCCCAACAATGGGTATGGTTGAAGCTTTTTTTTTCCTTGCCCAGTAGCACCAAAAAACATTTGTGCTTGTATAGTCTATAAAAAAAAATGAGAATGCAAGAAACTTTAAAAATTATTGGCAATTCAACAAGTATAAAAAAATAATAATGGAAATACAAGAAACCTTAACAATTTATTAGAAATGAAAAACAAAATTTAAATATTGCAACAAACATTCATATTAATATTGGAAATACAAGAAATATTAACAAAATATATAAATTGCAAGAAATATTTAAATAAACTTTAATATGACATAGAAATTAATAAAACAAAAATTACAAATAATTTACCTCACTGGTAAGGTTTTCCCCGCTTCTATGGTTGTCCATCGCCTTTGCCAAGGCATCCCTCCATTTCGCCAACTCTTTGTTAAGAATTTTCCACCTACTAGATAGTGCCTGATCTGTACGGGTCGAACCAATTACCCTTTCACAAAAATCCTGATGATTTTTTTCCACATATGACAGAATTTCATCTCATTGCCCGTTACGGGACAATGACTAATGTGGAGCCAAGACTCACACAAGCTAACATCTTCCATGACACTCCATGCCCCTCCGGTTTCACTAGAAGAACCCATAAATTTTTCTAGAAAAATTCAACTTCAAAGTGAAAAAAATATAGACTACAAAGTGAATAATGGTAGAATGAGAAGAAAATGTATGAAGAGTTGGTGTTAAAAGTGAAGAGTATTTGTTGGTATTTATAGGAAAAAACATCAGTATTTTTTTGGGTATTTTTTCAAATTTTTTTTGATTTTTTTTTGATTATTTTTTGGCCAGAATGAACAGCTGCCGTTGGATTGCTGGAAGAACTTAATCGGAGCGCCCAGAGCATCGCCA